TCAAGGAGAAACCAAAGTGTATTCCAACAATATTTATTATAGCGAGAGTGAATTCTACTACACTTACGAAGTGAACTTTGTATAAAACAACCAATTTTAATCTCAAAAAGAAACATCAGCCGATTTACAACACAAATCTCATCATCATAAAAATACGAAAACAAAAACGTTCTTCACCGTTCCGGTTCGTACGGAATGAAAAAATTCACTCGGCCTCAAAACTAACATTAATAAGCCCTTAATAATTGAGCGTGAGGTCTTCACGGACCGAGGTAGAGGTACGATATTTCGCAGGAAAGACAGAGAAAGCGAGATCATTAAAAGGTTTATTATATGGCATTATTTGCCCTGAAACCAAGCTTGCTTTATTTCTTGTCCTGGCTGCTTTGAACGGGTTGGCTTTCACTTTTCAAGTTTTCGTCAGTAAAAAATAAATGGTTTTAAATTGTATCGTCTGGATAACTAAACTGTTTTCCTTCGACTCACATTCCTAAATGTTTTTTTGTATCCTTCTTCTTGCATTTTGCTGTTTGCTTTACAAGTTTGCTTACATTTGACTGTAAAATTACGCGTTTTGGACCTTGTCCATTACAGAAAATAATGGACGGGCAAAAATGTTTCTGAGCCAATCAAAGCGCGTCAATTTGCCATATAATAATAAAATTTGATTTAAAACATTTTCATTCACGAAACAAGACGCCAGCTCAGGCGTTAACTCTGGGTACAAAGTTGTGTGTGAAAATCCAGTACCTACACCTCAGTATGAATTACGCGTCTAAATTACTATCCTAATTTAACGGATACAGCATCTACAAGTCGTATTGATAAGTGTAACTTTGTTATGAAATACAGTATACACTATCTTGTGTCACAGCTATCAAGGCCTAAAATAACATGAGAAAATGATCTATGAAATTGAATAACAATGTACAGTATAAGACAAGCGAAGTTGAGAAGTGTCACAAAACAATTAAAAGTGTTGCAGGCTCACAATGTGAAAAAACTTCAAGTTAAAACAAATATCTCAAGTTTACCCAAAATTATCTTAAAAACCATAGCTTAAATTTTACCATGACCCTAACACATTCTGGCAGTCTTTCATATTGAAACTTCTTAGAGTGAAACAAAATTTGCTGTCCTTTTGTCACATTGCCGCGGAGCGAGTGGCAGAGTTTTCTCAAGACAACTTAAATAGCAAACAATTTCAAAGGGTTTCAATTTCAAACTCGTTGTCGTTGCTGGAAATGGGTTAAGGTGGTCTTACATAAGAACAGATATATTCGATATATTAGATAAACTCACTAAGGTGTACAAGACCGAAACATTTTAACACGAATAAGTTGAAATGGATGTCATCTTTTCTTTCTCCCAGCTCATCTTTTCTACACAACTGGTAACGAAAAAAAAATCAAGTGAACTAAATTATTTCGTGATGCTGGCAACTTCAAGTTGCACGAGTTAAGCTATAATCATGCTGCACAAGTGGAGGAAACTCTGGCTATGCATTTACCTTAAAACAAGATTGGAGAATCGAAAAGTCAGGGGCTGCTATTTAAAAGGGAACTTGAGGATTTATCCATAATCGTTCAAAGGGAAAAAAGTTCAGGACTAAGCAAAAATTGTTTAGCAAATTGGTCCTATCCACTAAAGGAATTGCAGCTCCTTCTGCCGTAAAAAGAAAGATACTTTTAAAGGAAAGGAAAAAGTGTCATGGGGTGCACAGTAGAGCCACTCATTAAAATGTCACTGGGATTCTTGATGGAACAACTTTCCAGACAAAGTAACAAAACGCTATTAGCTTCTAGTAATTCAGTGAACTTATCCTCACATTAGTAATATTATTCAATATGTGAGCATTCTCGACTGTGATTGGTCAACTACCCGCAGATAATTCACGATATCTGCAATTATGACGTCATATCTACAGATAATAGTTTCTACAAACACGGACGCCATTAAAAACCGGTTTTGAAAAAATCAAAACAACGATGTTCACCACAGTTTCTAAAAACGATAATCAAAAACTTTTGCGCAAAAAAGAAGTTGAAAACATTAAAAAGCGACGAAGCTGGCTTTGAACATATTTAGCTTTGCTTCCGCTCAGCCTCGATTCGGCAGATAACATTGACCTCAGTCTGAATAATTCTTGATATCATGCTCAACCTCTTCCAATAATTGCTTATTATATGTTCTGTTGTTAGTGAAAGAACAAATAAAACTCAAAGTTCTAGTTATTGGAAAAGGTCAACAGGCAAAAGATGGCCTAATCATCCCCAGATTGGAACTCAAATCACCTCATATGACAACTTAGGTTTTGTAGATATGAGAAAATCCTTGAATTATCTTCCATTGATGTAAAAAAAATTTTTGTTAGATAGCACAGTTGTAGTACACAAATTGTTGGTGAGAGCTAATATAAATAATTGTTCTCCAACCATGTCCACGTGATACTCCACAATCCCAAAATAAACCCGCTGTAGCTTCTAATAGCCAAAAATCTAGAAGATCTGAACATTAGAGAAGATATATTAGATAAACGATGATCCCATTGTTCAGAAAAGTAATTTCCAAGGTTCAACAGGAATTGCGAATGCATAACGGTTGTTCACGTCAATGAATAACTGCTAACTACAAGTGAAGACTAAGGGATAACTAACCGTGACCTGGATCCATCAAACGAAACCAAGATGCGTTAAACAAACCGAAAACAAGTCGAATGAGAACGCAAGATCTTTATATCTACAGGAAGGTATAGTCGAAAACTAAGGCAGAATTGAGAGACTATCTAGCTTACATACTTGCAATGGAATTATATGGAATGAAGAAATGAATGGGAGAGACCTTGTGCTGATCAAATTCCGTGAAAGAAGCACGAAAAAAGGCTTATCAAAATAGATTTAAAAACCTTTTCCAGGAACATGGTTTATCCAATAAAGTTGGTCAGTGATCGACCGCCTAGATAGTCTCTAACCAAACTTTTCCGAAAATGCTGAAACAAAAAAAAAAACTAAGACTATCCGAGTATTTGCTGACGAAAATACAAATGTACAAGTTGTAACCAAAACACAGAGTGCTTGGTAACTTAAAGAAAAGAAGTTTCAAAATGTTTCACAGCAGAAAAATGTGAGAAAATGAACTAAGAAGGAGTTCATCATTCAAGTAGTAAAATAAGTCATTAGACTGTTATTATTAGCGAATTCCTAAACTTGCAAGCAACCAATAAACAAATGATGACTAGTTAAATGATACATAAACGAATGATGAAATGTTGAATTATAAGGATATCAAAAAAATTAAATAACAAGACGGAACAGTTATCAGCGTACAAAGAATTAGAATATAAGGGGTGCATTATTAGAAATAGCGAAACGGAGTGGCAACATGTTCGTGGACGGAATTTTGTCTCTGGTCAATGTTTTAAATCCGGGAGTATCGTTACAAGTTTGTAGATGTAGATCGTCCAGGTTTGTAGAGTCCTGAGAAGGACATTTGGTGTTGATGTTGACCGATGCTTGAACAACGTTAGTGATAGTCATCTTCAGATCCCGGTAGTTTTTTTGGGTCTCTACTAACCTGGACGGTCTACATCTACAAACATATATTTGCCTCTGGAAACAAATTAGACAAGGTAACTTTTGTAGAAGTTCGAACTTGCACAAGTCTTAAGAAGCAACATGCTACTTAAGAGCAGTGGAACTGCCAGAACGATAGTTGTAAAAGGGGGGGGGGAGAAAGTATTCATGTATTCAGGCTATGCCGTATCAAGTTGCTTTGAAATCTATTGTTTTCAATGGATCATACATAGCATGTATCGATGAATATTCGCCGCCATCCCAATTATCACGCTAGCGGCGCTACTGCTTAAGAAATAAAACATGTTCACTGTGTTTGCACAGGCTTATACGAAAAGAGAAGACCTTTGAAAGAACTCGAGAGCAGATCAATGCAAGCACAAGACCGAAGGTCGAGGGTTGCACCTGTTCGAGAGGGTTCTCCCTGCAGGATGTTTATAAAACAATAGACTGTGTATCATTTTTTTATAGAATTGCCACACCCCTGCTCTAATTTTCAGTTACAATAAAAGAAACTAACGGGTTTTATCACACGAGTTTTATATGGTTTAATCTTATGCAAATAAAAACATAACCCTATTGACAGGGTAAACCTACTACTACTACTAGGGTATACCTAAATTGCATGTAAACGGTACATATAAAATATATTGACGTAGGGTAACTCGCTTGCTAGTGTAAACCTTCTGCTAGGGTCACCACATTTCCATTAGCCTGCATCGCAGAATACATATATTGTATATATAGTTGGCTGATCAGCTGCAAGAAGCTTGTATGGTCACGTGGACATTAAATAATATTTTATATGATAATTTAGTATAATTCTCGCATATATTGCATAATTATTTTCGGCAACGAAGAATCGTAGATATGTGCTTGGTGTGTTCTCTGTTTTGGAAAAAAAATTTGAATGTTACTCCAATTAAGGGTAGGCGTGCTATCGACATTTCCGCCAAAATAAAGAATTTCGATACAGTCGCTCACTCTGTTTCAAGGCACATTTGACGGTCATGTCTGAGTGAAGTCTTTCAAAGAAAAAGGCATCGACAACTCTGGCGGATCTGAATGCGAAGCTGCTTAGCGACTACCTTATTAAAGACGAAGCTAACGGACTGAGAGCGACTAATTGCTCTCTGAGAAGGCTTTCCACTTTGAAAAAAAAAGCATAAAATGCAAAGCGCTTACATAAAATTTTCGCATTGAAACATGTACTGTTCAACGACGCCATACTGCTTCTATCGTGTTATTGTTGAATTACTTGGGATAATTATAAACTGACCAATCAAAATGCGTCCCAGTTTTTGCTGCGATGCAGGCTATATTTCCATGTAATTATGCCCTAATTGTGACAAAGAGTAAAAGAAGAGTGTGATATCCTTGAATTGAGGACAGATTTGAGAAATTTGATATGTAGTACTTTAAGAAGAGTTGATTATTGTCAATGTAATTGTTAGAGCAGAAAATATTGTGGATTTCTCATCAATTATAGTATCTTTCAGCTTCCTATAGAGTCCTTTTGTATGCGTGTAATGTTCTTCCATCATGGAACTTATCTCTAGACTAAAGGAAGCAAGGATCTCAAACTTTTCTCTTAACTATTTCCCACAATTACCTTCCGAATAGTGAGTAGCCAATAAAACCTCTTTCTTAATGTAACTAAACGACAACTCTGAGTAACTAAGACAAAAGTGAATACAACTTGTCTTTAACAAGGACAACTTGATTGCTCCATGTAGTCAAGCCCTTTGTTGATATTATTGACATGGTATTCTGTATTAACTTGATAACATTTATTTCCCAGCTTGGAAATACATCAGTCAGACTTATGATGTCTTTGAACTGAAAACGAAATAATAAAGTTTAATCAAACTGTCGTTATTATAGCTTACATTTGAGTATATAAGATGTCTTTTTTTGGTTTATGTTTTATCTTATATTATATGAAATTGTCGAAATTTTATGAATGACGTCACCCACAAAATTGCAACATAACGTCATACATTAACAAGAGGTACATATATTAAATAAGTGGGGGGTGCTCTACGAAAAACTACTTTTTTCATCTTTTATGAGTTTATAATGACTAACTTTTAACACAATGTCACGAAAGATTGAGGTTGTCAACCCTCAAACACACACCCTGATATATTATAAAACTATCTACAAGGAATAAATAATTGTCACCAAGGAATTGAGACTAAACATTGTAATTAAATATAAGTTAGAGCTTATTTCTTCTACAATAAAGATACAACCCACATCACTTGAATGTTGTCAGTGGGGTCCTGCATTATATTATCTTACATAATACCCATTACTCATTATCAAAATATAATATTACAGTTACAAGTAAAATCTACGGCTTTGGTAAAGAATTAACATGACGAATAGATTAAGCATTCTTGATGGAAATATCCAAGTTATTATAGTATTTCAAAGAGATGTTGGTTGGTAGGTTTGTTTTTAGTTTTGAGACTAGCAAAGGATTATGTTCAAAATCAACTTGCTTTAAAATATATATACATAGTACTATTACCTAGCTGCAAAAGTGGTTCATACAACATGCTTCCTGTACACTCAAAATATATTCACTCAAACAAACACCAGCATATTATTCATGAAAAGTGTCATGAGGCTTTAAAATACCAGTTAATGGTATAAATCATAATACAGAAAGCTGCCATGTAAATAGCCCTTGAAAAAAGTCAAATTAGGCACCAGGTCGCCCAACCAATTCATGAAAATTGCCTCACTTCCATGGAGATAAGCTAATGGCGTAATCAGAATGCTAAAAATTGTTTCTTTTTCTATGAAAAAATGGGTTTATGTCTTTTAGCATGATGATGATGATGACTTCCTTAAACATAGACAAATACTCAATAATTCAAGCATTCATCAGGCTCATCTACGGCTCATCTGAGGTTTTTAGTTCATATGATAAATAAATATACAGTATTAAGCTTGCTATTTAAATTTTGAATATCATAAATTTTCAATGGACTTCGAAAAGTTAAGAAATGGTGATGACAGTAAAAGGTGCTGCCAAGGGAAAGGGAACCATCCCCCCCTTTCAGGACTAGAAATTTCAAGTCTACAATGTTTACATGCACATTAAAAAAATTTAAGTGAGGGTATTAGGTGAGCTCTGTTATGGAGGATCCCCCCAGAAAAAAACATTGTGGAATTTCTGCCAACTTGATTGAAAAATATTGATATCTAGTCAAACAATATGAGAAAGTGAGTGTAGCACAAAACTGAGACTACCAACGTATATTTGTGAATTCAAACGAGCTAAAAATGGCACATCAGATCTTTGTGTTCAATCTCGGCAAATAAAAAAGTACAAGGTTATAAAAAGTAAACTTTTTCCAGTCGATAATTTATAAGAGCAAACGTTCATAAATAGTTATATTTTTAAGACTCGTGGATATATTCTCCAGATAAATCTCGTGGATATATTCTCAAGATAAATATTTAAATTAATTATTAACACTTACCATTATTTTAAAGAAAATTTTCAAAGACTCTCGCTCGTTGTTCAATCATTTGAAAGATACGAAACACGCGGGATTTCTTTCGAGACGAAGTGACACGTGCAATATTGTGGGAGGGGAGAAAACAGGAAGCTTACATATTGTTTATGTAGACACAGCCAACTGTCGAGTTTTTATTGAGGACAACGAAATGAAGAAATTTTATCTTCATTTGAAAATTTATGTTTTGCTGATTGTAGGTTAGTATGAATTTGTTATTGCTAACATTTCACAACATATTTTGTCCGTCTTCTTTGAACCACTCGAATAAATTCTAGTGCGGCAGACTTCGTGTTATATTATTTTAAGTCCATACAAAGCGTTTTCTAGAAAATGTTTATCTTCTTCAGATGTCTACTGTGCACAACTATCATGCAATAACTGTCAAAAGAAATTCAAAGGACATACAAATGAAATAAATTGTAACTCAAGTGTGATAAGCTGTGATGACGGAGAGTATTTCTGTGGCACTGTAATTTTTCATCGTCATGAGACAAATGTTAGCTTGCTCAGGAGAAATTGCATTTCACATCATGTTTGTCAAAACACGACGGAGAATTGTCCGCCAAGCACTTGTTTTTTAAAGTGCTGTGGAACGACAAACTGCAATAATGCTACATTTGTGAATGAATTACAAATCATCAATGAAATGCGAACGCTGAGCCAACAAAATGGAGATGCAATTACGCCAGAACCTACTATGAAAAATGAGCCAACTGGCCATTCACGTATGAATGAATCTTCACTGCCCTTTATTATATTACTGTGTATTCCTGTTTACCCTTTGATAATGTTGACCTGAATTTCATGGCAAATAGGACTCATAGTTAATCCTTTGAGTAAAGAAAGCAAGATTTGCTAACTGTGTATGCATGAATGATTCAATAATCTTGCTTAGTTGTAGATAACCAGAAATGAATGTAATGTTAACATATTTATAGTCGTTGGTGACATGTATATTGATTGCCCTTTAAATAAAATATATATTTGTACTGTATCGCACAGTGTAGCAGAAATGAAAGTAATCAGTTCAACACTCATTGAATTGTTATTTTGAAACCTTGAGTATTTTAATAATTAAAATACTGTGCATATCTGCATAAATTGAATAAGAAATTTTCTTGCAATCGTAATAAAAATACAAAAGCTGCAGTTCAAAAGATATGGGGGTTTGGTGGCCCATAAGGGACACAATACTTCCATGCAAAATATTATGTTTTCATTGAACATTAATATTTCCACGCAAATAATATATGTTTTCCATGGAACATTTAATATTTCCACGCAAAATACTACAGTTTTCCATGAAACATTTAATATTTCCGTGCAAAATACTATGTTTTCCATGGAACATTTACAATACGTTCCGTCGCATATTAAGATCTAGAAATGGATCAAAAACATTGTGATCGAAACCATCGAATCCATCGAATCAAAGAATCGAACCCAATCGAACCAATATGGCAGCTTGTAAACATTGCTTAGTAGAGTTTCCTTGTCAAGTTCACATTACGTTTTGTCCTTCATGTGGAATTACACAAACGGTAAGATATTTCTTGAATACCCTGTTTATTATTCACATGTACTTAAATGCGATATAATTTTGTTATCAACAGAGAATGAACGAGAAATTATTGAAAATTATTTTCATGGATATAAATACGACCTCATTGTTTGTTTTGTTGATGAAGAAACATGGTATTGAAATGACTGTTCGTACTCTCAAAAGAAGTTTGAAATCATATCATTTGTCTCGTCAAAATGAAAACATATCTGAGGACAATGTGAGAACCCTTCTCAGGCAAGAAATGCAAGCTGCTGGAGGTACTACCGTGAAATTGGCACCACATTGGCCACGACATTCAACACAACATTCATCACAACATTCAACACCACATTCAACTAAAATTTATCATTCAAAATGATAAATCGAAAAATCGTCTTTAAAACACGTTTTCCATCAAATACAACAGTAAAAACAATTCTAACTGTTTATTATTATTTTACTGTTCTTAACCATCGCCATATATTGAAGATTTAGATGATATAGACGACACACCCAACAATGACAGTGATCTGCTCTATATGGCACTGTTTAACTCGGTAGCACTCCGTTTATTAATCTTAAATGAAGTTTTGCTATGCTAACTTCTAGTTATGGCGATTTCAAAAGCCTCACAGTTCTCGCTGCAAAATGAACAAGGAATATAAAATTGAAAATTATGACATGTGTATGTTTTGCATTATAATACTGCAAGTACAAGGTTTAGCACGCATGCGTACCAACAGAGCCAATTTTCGCCTCGCCGAGTTACCCGGCAAATGCAAGCGATATGGAAAATCTTCCGCCTAGCCGGTAACTCGTTACACAAACCGAGTTACCCGCAAGGCGAGTTACCTGATGTCATATAAACGATTCACCGGGAAATGCATTCATTTTATGGGCCGAGTTACTCAAGGGCGAGTAACTCGCTCAGCCGGGTAACTCGGCTCCATATAAACAGGCCCCCATTAGCGTATAATTTTAAAACTAACGGTAGAATTTTTAAACTTGGCCAGAATATAGATAATTATATTGTTTGAATATATCCAAATTGAGAGTGCACAAAAAAGGTTAGAAAATCATCGGCAAAGTCGCATGACACGATTACGCGTAATATAATCTTATATAATTAACTTCCTATATCCAGGTATCTTTGCAACCAAAGGCAAGATTATATTACGCGCATTTGAGTCATCCAACTTTGTCGATGTTTTTCTATCATTTATATTTTTGTGCACTTTCCAAATTTTGGATATAAAAAAATTCTACCGTGTAGTTTTTTATTTACAGGGCTTTGTTTGTTAAAGAACCGGAATTCTTAACTTATCTATGCAAGATTATATTACGCGTAATCGTGTCATCCGACTTTGCCGATGATTTTCTACAACTTATTTTTTTGTGCACTTCCAGATTTTGATATATTTAGACAATATAATTATCTATATTCTGGCAAGTTTAAAAATTCTACCGTGTAGTTTTATTTATTAGGCTTTGTTTGTTAAACAACCGGAATTTCTCAACTTAATAATTCAAGATTATATTACACGCATTTGAGTCATCCAACTTTGTCGATGTTTTCTATCATTTATATTTTTGTGCACTTTTCCAAATTTGATATTTTAGATAATATAAAAATTCTATAACATACTTGAGTTTAAAAATTCTACCGTGTAGTTTTTTAGCTATAGAGCTGTTTGTCGAATGTGGTGCCAACTTCACGGTTTATATTCCTCAAGGAATACTAATTTTATATTTTTGTGCACTCTCCAGATTTTGGATATGTTATAGACAATAATAATATCTACAATATAGCCAAGTTTAAACAAATTCTACCGTGTAGTTTTTTATTTACAGGCCTTTGTTTAGGAATGACTTGAAATTCTTAACTTAATAATTCAAGATCATATTACGCGCAATCGTGTCATCTAACTATGTAACTTTGTAGATGATTTTCTACAACTTATTTTTTTGTACACTCTCCAGATTTTCGATATATTTTAGACTATATAATTATCTATATTCTGGCCAAGTTTAAAAAAATTCTACCTTGTAGTTTTTTATTTACAGGCCTTTGTTTGCAAAGATACCTGGATATAGGAAGTTAATTATATAAGACTATATTACGCGTAATCGTGTCATGCGACTTTGCCGATGATTTTCTACAACTTATTTTTTTGTGCACTCTCCAGATTTTGGATATATTTTAGGCAATTTAATTATCTATATTCTGGCCAAGTTTAAAAAAATTCTACCGTGTAGTTTTTAAATTATACGCTAATTAAAAGAAATGGAAAGTACACTGTAATATAAATCTTAGTGTTTTCTTCAATTTCTTGACTTTTATACATTTTTTGTGATGTTTAAAAACAGTAAAATAATAATAAACAGTTAAGAATTGTTTTTTGCTGTTGTATTTGATGGAAAACGTGTTTTAAAGACGATTTTTCGATTTATCATTTTGAATGATAAATTTTAGTTGAATGTGGTGTTGAATGTCGTGATGAATGTTGTGTTGAATGTCGTGCCCAATGTGGTGCCAATTTCACGGTAGTGCTGTGGAGGTTCATTAGCCGGTTATCGGAAGATGTGGCACATTCGAATTAAACATCATGTGCACGTTCCCCGGAAACTTGTTGCGACAATTCTAAGACAACTTGACCCAGAGGCAAGTATTAGAAGAAGAAGGAAAAGGCTTCAAAGGCGTCAGTATATTTCTCAAGGTCCAAATCAATGCTGGCATATTGATGGTATGTTTTTTCATGTAAAATTTGTTTATATATCTACTTCAGTGACAAAATTTAGCATATGAATTATAATTGACTACCAACAGGATATGATAAATTGAAGCCATTTGGTTTTCCTATCCATGGTGCTGTTGATGGCTTCAGCCGGAAGGTTTTATGGTTGGAAGTGGTAAAGTCAAACAATGCTCCTGAATCAGTTGCACAGCTCTACTTGGATGCTGTCAGAAGATACAGAGGTTGTCCACACCTGATTGTGGTACTGAAAATGGTGTGATTGCTGCTGCTCAATGCTATTTTCGAGCCAATGATAGTTGGCCAATGGAAGGAGAACAAGCTCATACATTCGGGACATCTACCCATAATCAGAGAATTGAAAACTGGTGGTCACATCTGAAAAAGTCATGTACAAGTTGGTGGATCCAGTTTTTTAAAGTCTTTGTTCAGCAAAGGCAGCTGAACTTGTGTGATGACAATGTTAAACAATGTTTATGGTTTGCCTTTAATGGAGTTGTTCAAAGTCTCTCTTGATGAAGTGCAATTATATTGAATACACATCATATAAGACCGTCAAGACATGAAACTGTCTCTGAGTACCTGATATATTGTTTTCCATCCCAGAGCAATATGGAGGCTTTGATTGTCAGTCCAAGTCCCTGATGAGAAGCTGCAGGAAGTTGAAATGAGAATTGCACAGCAAGAAACTGAAAATGGAAAATATTCCAAGACTATTTTAATTACTTAGTGGACATTCAACAACTAGAGTTTCCAGAAGACTATAATGATGCTTATTTTTGATAATTTGATGAGTTATGTGTAGTTAATATGCAGTACTTAAGAAGTTTGCAAAAGTATTCTTTGACAACAGAACAATATCATATGTACATTGAAGGACTTTGTTTTCAAGTTCATATAAAACCAAACCCGAATACTCCAGTAAGGCATTGTCCATCGCTAAGTCAAAATCATTAGTATTATCAAAGTGAATTGGAAAGCAGATACTTGGGTCACATGTAGCAGTTGGACGGCATTTACAATTGCAGGGCAGCCATGCTTAAATTTGACAGTGATGTGCTTTTCTGCTCCCAGTGGTGTTACAGAGTGGCTTCCAGTGATGAATCTGTACAGCATTTTAATGATGTGCTAGTGTCTATAAAGGAAAAGTGTTTAAGATAGTCAAAGCCATTAAAGTAGGTACAATTGCATTTATCTCATTCACCTTTTGTGTCCAATTCTTGAATATAGTCACAAAAAATTTGTGGACATTTATTTCCATTGTTTTTGTTGCTTCCTTCCAGGCTAAACTCCACAGTCATATTTTCAAGAACAATGTCTGCAGTCAAGCAAAAATTAGCAACACCATCCAGTGTAAGCATTGATGCCATTATCTGCCGGTGATGTTGAATTTGCTGCAGAACCCCAAAAAGTATAAGACCAGTTTTTAATTTGTCCATCACTGCCAGCATATGGCCAATTCCTGCAATTACAATCGACCTACAACAAAAGATATTGATGTGTCAAAAAAGATGAACAATGTAGATTGAACTGTATGTATGAAAACATGACCATGGTTTTATACCGAATAATGTTGTCTCGTGAGGCCAATTTCTCCTTGGAGGGAACACCCCTGTAGCCACATTGATTGCAGAATGTTCATCATGTCATCTGAGCAATGCAATGTCCTCAGCTCCTCATCGCTCTCACATTTAACTAACTGAATGCAATTAAGAATGCTATGGTAATAAGTAGAACAAATGAGAGTTAATTTTTTCTTATCTTTAAGCACAGCTTTGAGATATTTTAAAGTGAAATTTGCTTGCTTTTCTCAATGAGTGCATATTTTTTACCTTATCAATTTCATCTTTGAAATTAGCATCATGAACCAACTCCAACCAGTTGTTGGCCTGTATGCTATTTACCCCTTCAGCCACATAATTAAATACATTCTTTGCCAAGAAGCATGGGGCTGGTCCTCCCTGTGCCAGAGAGGATGATATTAACTCACCAGCAACCATGAAGTCTTTATTTGCTAGTGCTCATGCACTAAACAGTGGATAACCATTTGCATCAAACAAAGTTGACTTAATGTGTTGTAGGACATCTGTCAATACAATGAAACAGACTTAGCATTAAACAAGGTATAAAAACAAATATTCAAATTACTACATATTGGTTTCTTTGCACAGTTGTACAGTATGAATTGAAAAAATCTTCACTGATTTTCTCACCTGTGAAAAACTCCTCCTGGGCCACCACCATCAATAGAAGGTTCACCAGCAAAACAAATTTTAAGATTTTCCTTCAGCAAACCATTTTCGCTTCCCGCATCCACATAATCTGCAAAAGCTAATCGCCTACGAATAGTAACTCTGTTGGTAGACAATCTGTTAACATTGTCCTGAATTAGATGAAACTTCTGCATAGTGGCAACAGTTGGCTGTCCAGTTTCCTCTTCAGCAATGAGTGTGTTTTCCAGGTTATTTTGATCGTCATCTGATAACTTGCCAATTGGGTCTATCCACCTTTCTGCACACATGTCTGCATGAGCCTCTATGTCTGCACGAATAGTATCCAAGACATGTAGGGCATTGATGTTGCAATAGATATTTTTCTATTCCATGCTGAGACAATTGTCCTTGTGACATACTACAAACTTGAGGCGTTGAGGTAAATGAACTTTGAGAAGACAAAGAAGAGGATTGGAGGATTTTATTACTTGCATCTTCATTGAAATCCCCACAACCTGTTGTGGCCAATGACTTTGATGTTGAAGGTTGAGACTTATGATACTTCATCGAAATCTCTTCAAGTTCCTTGTCAGAACTTTCATCAGAAGTTGAATTTTCAAAATCATCTTCTGTACATAGCCAGAAATACATTTTGGAGTATGGCAGCAACAAATCTTCTCTTTATTTTGAAAGCACAAATGGTATGTTGGTCTGGGGTAAATACCTCACAATTGACATGTCATTATACAAAAGAACATATTTGTTATACTTGTTAAATTGTTTATGATGTCTTGAATGTTTATCAATTGCTTTTTCAAGAAGAGCATTTCCATCAACATCTTCAACAACTGCAATTGTTATTGTCCTTGACTTCACCCTAACCAATACACCATCTCCAATTTGTCTTTCACAATGCCAACCTGCACCTTCACCTCTTATGACAACTTTGCTTTTTTTCCACCAGGTTTTGGCTTAAATTTTGATGATCTGTCTTCCTCTTTCTTCTTACGAAACTCTTCAAATGAAAGGGGCTTTACTCCAATGGTCTTGCTTAGAGGTTTTGAGCCTATTTCTGTGTTTAAAAACAGTTCGAAATATATTGTTTAAGAAAATAATACAACAGCCAAAAATATGAGAAAACATATGAGAAGAAGAGGGATAGATAAGAAGATTTTAAATAAATAAAAAGTAGAATGAACAACTTCCATTTTACAATTGAACGAACGTTCGTGCACTTGTATTTTATAAACTATAGGGTTGTGTTCTTACCGACATCTGATAATGCACAAAATCCACAGTTGTGGCAAAATTTGGCTTTATCCAAAAGCTTTGTTCCACAACTTTGGCAGAACATTTTGCTATAAAAATTCCACTTTCAGACTCGTGCTTTATGAGACCAGGCTGGAAAGTATGTCTTCTGCACACCGGAGATCTTTTTTTAATAATATTATTGCACACCAGGCATATTTGGGCGTGGCAAAATTCCGCCACATTTGTGGGCGTGGCAGGGTAATTCAATGATGCATGTGGTGCTGAGTATTCCTAAAATAACGCAGTAGTTAACTTTGTTTAAGCTCTTGCGTGTTTGTTGAATAGTTTACAATGGCAACAAGCATTTACAATTACAGTGTACATTTACAGTTTACAGATAAAGTAAAAACTAAAAGATAAAATATCGCATTTAAAACTATAAATCCTTGAGTGAGTACAACTCCGTCATAGTTCACCAAAATCATTTTCATGCAAAACATGTGGACATCGAGGAGGCTCATGCCTCACTCTATCCACAACTTTGCTCACTTCAAAATTTGACGCTCTGTCTTCTTTAAAATATGGTAGCCGATGCTTTGGTAGCTTATAGTCTTCATCACCGTTTGTATAAATTTCTGCAATGGCCCTCATGGTACGAGGACATGAAACGGGCTGGGGAACGCACCAATCTACTATAAATCTATGAACCAAAACCTCATTAGATTGGCCTCCAGTTTTCTTGTGAGTACCCATAAGACTATAAAATCCTTCTACTATAGCCTCACAACCACTTGTGGAAAGAGCTACGTCAAGTGCGATGCACATTTCTTGACCAATTGACCTTATTATATCTTCATTTGTGTACATGCTGGTGTACACAAATTCTTCGTTGATCCTTGCTTTCACTGCCTTTCCCGAAGAAAATTTCAGAGTAAACCACAAATCTAGTGCAGGATCCTCAATGCATTTAAGGGAAATTAGCTGCTCCTTTTCAAATTCTGTCACTGGTTGGTCCTTTTCATCGATGAACATATACGAACGACAATTACCAAGACCTTCCCAGACCATTCTAAGCACAGTTTCTTTAAATTGCTCTAAGACACTATCACTGTTATGTGGCAACAGTTTCAGTAATGGTTGGTCGTCTAGTAGCTGCATGACATGAGGCAAATGGCAAACATACCTAAAACATGAAGATGTAGAAAGATTAGGTAAGAGTGTCATGTGATAAAGTTATTACACATAGTAAGGCCAAGATAAATATTCCCAAAATATACTTGAAAAAATCGGCAAACTCTATTTTCCCGCGAAGATCCCAAAGATGTCTTCCAGTCCTGCTGACATTCGCGTGAGAAAAATGACAAAGAAGCTTTGTTAGTCCCTCAATGTCAAACACAGCTTCTAACTTAGTGATGTTGTCGATCTTAATGTTTTTGTAGCGAGATGCCAGACACATTGGAATATCTTCTGTGAGTTGATAAAGACCATCTAGGCAATCATTTGGTGATCGTGCCTCCCAAGTAAAAGTCTTTCTCTTATGTTGTTTCCCAGTCTTGTCTGTAGACGGTTCTTCGACGAGTTGCTCACTCTCATTGACTACGAGCCATCCTTCGCAGACTTGTATTCCTTGAAACGAACATTCTTCAATTTCTTCTTTTGTTAATTCTTGCCAATGTTTTGCAAGTCTTGGCAACAACTTTTCAGCTGGTTTTACAACATCTCCGTCCTTAAGTCGCTTTAATTCTGTCCTGATATCCTTCAAGATATCAATGACTCTCGGAAACCAAGCAACAATTTTCAAGGGAGGCACGTTTAAGCTCTGACATTTGATCATTAACGAAACAACTGGCTGAAACACATCAATTATTCCACATAGATCTATGGCAAAATCTTGACTTCTGAGTTGGTATTTTGTCTCGTCACAATCATCCTTTTTATCTTCTCGATTTGCACTGTATGCCGTAACCAAAGCGGGATAACTATTGTAAATTTTCTTCCATTGATCGAAAGCAGAACTGGAAAATCGCGTGGTTGCATATGTCACAGTTTCGAGCGCTTTTAATCCTTGATTTTTGGAATACGTCTTGTACTCAGCATGTCCTCGGCTACTTCCAAATAATGTGTGCAAGCGATTAGAGCGTTTGATGATAAGCTTGATAAAATTGGAAGACAAGGAGTTTTCACGTAGCTCAACGATCGCTAGGTCTAGCCAGTGGGATGCATCCCAAGGAAGAAGAAAGTATGGATCTGGTTTTCGATGCATCCCCAAAAGCTCGTATAGTTTCGTTTGAAATGTACTCGCTTGGTACTGTCCATCAGCATTAACACCTAGAAGTAATTAGAAAATGAAAGTAAGCAAATGGAGAACGTGTTTAGTAAATTACTCACACATCGACTCAGTCAGCTTTCATAATAACATCCTACCTCGCAACAACCTTAAATCCGAGCTAGTTAGCTGCAATGATCGTTTTAAAATTTCAATTACTTGTACGGCAATTAAATTACTATTTTTCCTTCCAAAGATTTTGCGACGTACAACATGTTTGACACAATAAAACACTGAAAACAGCCTGTGTACACCGAGATTAGCGATACTTCGTATATTAATTTAATATTATTATGCTTTGATCGTCATATGCGCACCAGTGCACCATAAAATATATTTTGCACACCAGCACACCAGTAATTTCATAGTGCGCACCGGAGATCTCGTCGAAAAACGACATACTTTCCAGTCTGGTTATGAGATTCAATGATTAGATTTACCAAATAGATTTCCTCGAAACTTCAAGTAACTGCATTATATTCAATTCATGCGCGCGCACAAGTTTGAACGTTGCACGGAAAACAAGCAATATTGTACGGCGAAGCAACAATGTTCCATGGAAAACATAGTATTTTGCACGGAAATATTAAATGTTCGATGGAAAACATAGTATTTTGCACGGAAATATTAAATGTTCCATGGAAAACATAGTATTTTGCGTGGAAATATTAAATGTTCAATGAAAAGCATAATATTTTGCATGGAAGTATTGTGTCCCTTATGATGGGCCACCGTAGGGGGGGAGAAGAACATTTAGAACGACCTGACCGCAGGCGACCGTAGACTGTTATACAAAATAAAAGTTGACAAGAAGGAAGTCATATTGCCATTTGACAAGTTGTGACTTGTCAATTTCATATCTTTCCAGGCGGCTGATGCAATGGCTAAAAGTTTCAACGACATTACTGGTTTGGGAGACAATGATGAAGGAGCTTTGACGGTCGAACAGCAAGCAAAATTAAACGATTTTAAGGTTAGACGCGACGTGTGCGCCAAATGGACAATAGTGTCTCGTCGATTCGTGAAATGTTTTTTGCTTATTTTGGAAAACGAAAATATTGAAATGCTTCATTTTCTATTGTTGAAGGTGTTTGCGAGAATAGCAAACGAGAAATACTTGCGAGATCATGAAGAAATCTCACATGTTTTGCAAATGTTCATCAGGTATGTGTTACTTAGCAACAGTCACCATTAATAATAACGTCAGTTTACCATGACTTTCTTCTTCCTTTTTCTTATCATCAATTTGCGGTTTGAATAGACTCTTTGCAAAGAAAAGGATTTTTTAAGAAATGTATTAACTGCGTCAATCTGAAGAAAAAGATGAGACAACAATTTTGTTAAAAATGAACCAGTTACATCACCAGTGCTCTATGTTGCAGGGACCTATGTTTCCATAACAACCAATAGTGAATTGAAGCGTAAATAAGTGCAGAAAATATATTGTGAGGTTATTTTGTCAAAATAGCAATGCTCGATGTAATTGCCAGTCATACTATGTATATCTGATAATTTCACTAAATTATCTGACATTTCTTTACAAATCTAAACTGTTTCTGCTGTAAATACGAAAGAATTTCAATAGGACCAAGTTTTTGAAGTATTCATAGTTTTAATTTGTTTACAAATACAAACTAAAGTGTCTACTGTGGTGATGAAATGTCTAATATTTTTTTTCTTATACCAGGGAAGTTTTAACAAAAAGACCTGAGAATATTCGTGAATTTGCTGCAGGTCAGTGAGCCTTTATAGCTTTAATGTGACCTACAACCAGTGACTTTTGCTCAACAGATTGTTGCATAATGCTGTACTTATTTCTATAGACTATAGCTCTCATAATTTACTATCAGCTGGCATTTTTTAAAGACAATAGCAAAGCCAGCTCAATATTTGAATGCATTATTGACTATCTTACTGTCTATAGATTGTAGATAGTACAGAAATGAATAGATCACAGTCAATAAGCTTTGCTCTGTACATAATAGAATGCTCCATTTTGGTATTCAGTGTTGGTTAAACTTGTGAAAAATTGCCTTTAGATGCTTTAAATCAGTGCATTTTGGAAAGATTATTTCTTAACATGCTCTATTCATGTCGGTTTGGTTACAGCATGGCTTTACATGCTAATTTTTTCACTAGATCTGAAGAGTTTAGAATCTCCCACCTGCCTTATATAGTTGCAATAGGCAGAACAGGGGGAGTTTCATAACAACAAATCATGGGAAAAATTTGCATATATTGTTGCAGTGGTTGGTAATGTATCTGTATACAGACTATTGATCTACAGTCACTGACCTTATCTTTATAAGCAATTGCATTTTGAGAGCTCCATTCTGTTCACACAGTGATGGTTACTCCAATCACGTGACACTTTTATTGAAATGCAAATTCTTATTATTCTAGGTTATTTTTCTGATAAAGATCTCAAAGAGCAAATGCAGCAAAAGCTGCTTGAAGTATCTCCGAGAAATCTTCATGAAACATTTTAAAAATGTACATTGACATTTATTTTTTCTTTTGTAAATAGATGCTTGAAATTTGCCAATGTTTTTGAAAGTTCGCAGCTAATACAATGAGTAGTGTTATCTGTCGAATTTGGCTGAGACTTGCATCATGTAATTGGAAGATTTCTCTGCTAAATCATTAAAATAGCAGGTGCTAGTGTTCCATTATCTCACGAGTTCTCCATTTCTTTCTTAATTTCCGTCATTAACAAATCACACATTAAGGTTCGCGACTGACCGACAGTATTGTCTACATAGGTAATTCTTCAAAATTTGTTAGTTCCGTTGTTTTCATGCAACATTTAGTCGACAAATGTCCACAATCAATGCGAGGTTAATATTATGAACTCACTTTTTCATGCTTCTCGCAAGCAATATCGCTTTGGACTTTCGACCACAGACAGTGATCAAAGTCAAGTAGTCATCGATTGTGGTTTGAATAAATTGCGCTTTTTGGCATGAGGTGACGTCACGAACCATCTGGCGACAATTTGCGGCGAGTTTGATTTGGCACCATTAAACACACTCGAGGTATTATTCAAACATCAAGTCACGAAATCCACCATGTGAACTTAGCAAGAAATGAAAAAACACTTCGACAACGAAGTTGAATTCTTTTGCTGAAAGATTAAATATTTCTTCCATTTGTCGGGTAAAAAAATGAGAAACTGCTTTAACCCCGAAATCGACATTTATAAATTTATACAAAAATACACGATACTACCGTGTCTAATGTACATTGTCTAAAATTAAGACGTTGTGACGTTGCTGTAACTATACTTTTTTTGATTGCTTTAAATTTATAAAATCAACGCAGTTGTAACCACAGGAAATTAGCGATCAGTACGAGGGAACTACGGTAAGGCGTAAATACACTAACCAACAGAGAGGCGAAAGCTTTCTATAAACAACAGTATAAATAAAGGTTAGACGATGTCGTGTGTTGATTAGTGGTGGTGGTCAGTTCATTGCAAGGTCAACTCATCAACTTTCAGTAATGAAATCATTTCGAGCAAATGAAACCCCTTCAAGTTGCCGTGCGCAAAACATGCAAATTAACCAGCAGGGTGAAGAAACAAGCCAAGAGAGCTTCTAAATCATCATGTAAATATAACGCCAGCAAAAAAGTAGTTTTGGCAATTATTTAATTATAAAACCCTTGTCACGTCATGCTCTTCGCGAAAGCCTAACAATCGTTAAAGAAATCTCTCAGACGCAATTATTGACGTCAAATATAAACTGGCATTACTCAGCATAATCTGGCTACAAAACGTTTTAAAACTCAAAGGATTTTCCGTGCTGATTGTATAAATGGTTAATCCATGTCAGTTTTTTCTAATAATTATAAAACTTGTTTTTGTTTGCCATCTCTACTTGCGTAACCTTCTATTTTTGTTGCATAGGTTTTTGGGAAATGAACTTGTTTTTTCCGTCACGCGGATGTGGGAACTTAAATATCTGTTTACCGAGTATAACATATACAGCGTTCAATGCTGTGTTCATTAGGAGTTAAATGACTGACTTATTAAACACATAACCAGCATTCTTTCGATAGAAAAAATACCTCGAATTCTATACCAGCTGGTAAAGTATGGCATGATTGTCACGACGCTATACAAATTGCGACAGTTCAAGTTTAAACCAGCGAAGTTTGAATGAGCCTAAAAAGTTCAACATTTCAATTCTTTATTGAAGGACGCTGATTTTGAGGATAGCCATCAAAAATATTCGAGACAGAATAGTTCTGACTGTGCAGCATAATAAGCAAAAATAGTTGCATGATTCAAACATCGCTGACGTGTGATACTCACTCATCATGTCAAAGATTTCTTAAGAGGAATTTCACATGCACGAATAAAGAAGCGTAAAGCCGGATTATCCATTACAAAAACTGTTTGCTTTTGTCATCTTCGAAGCTTCACCGTTCCATAATTCTCACTTTGCCTGAATGAGGATGCATGCTACGACGCGACATGACGTGGCTTACTCAAGCACAGTTTGTCTTAAAGCATACTGAACAATGTGCACGATATTACACAAAGATTATTATGATACAGTTAATAAAAATAACAAGATAGTTGCTTGGCATCGTAAAATATACTACACGAAATGGAAATAAACATTGAGCCTAGCTGAAATGTCGAAAATCGCAATAATATACTCAAGTACAAAGCACTTAAGTAATTTAGCTATTTTGATAACCTATTATTTTGACCTTTGACGATTTCTAATCTCTTTTTGTGCAATAATCATCTTTGCGAGCATCATCTGAATGGTTTTGAAAAGATTATAGAAATTTCTGGAAAACATTGATAACGGCAATAAACACTTTAAGTTCCTTCGTGATATGGGAAAAACTACGATGTGGATTTTCTATAGTCGTTTCATCTTGTTTTTTTTAAACCATAATATATAGCGCATTTGCAGGTGCACGGTATCGTATAATGTTTCAATCATTGAGTGGTTAAATTTTGGTTAGTTTTTTCCTGGGTAGGGCACACGTCAAGATAAACGCTAAATAGGTTTGTTTTTATTCATCGGCAACTCGCGACGCTATTAAAATAAAAGTCTTTAAACAGAGACCCAAATTTAAATACATTTTCCGGCGCAGTCATTGCACAGTCAGATGTTTTTCACAGTTTTCACAGTTCTATGTATAATAAACACGGCATGAGACGACAATGATTGAAAAAATTCGTCTAGCTTCATGTTGTTTGATGAGAGGCGCAAGCATCGAGCATGGCGATTTATCTTTATGAAAACAAACATCGCAATGATCACAAGTAAATAGTGTTTTTTTTTCTAAGCAATGATTGCATGAACAATAGTCAATTGAATTCCCCTTTTTTTTACATCAAATCCTGCAATATTTTCTATGCGTGATGTAAGTGTTACTCCACCAACTACGACGCTCTTGAAGCACACACGTTTTCTGAGTATTGCTTTTGTTCCAATCTTCCTAAGAGAGTGTACAAATCTTCTCATGGTATTATTTAATGCTGAACAAATCTACCGCCTTAAGACACTGTTCAAACATCAGGTTCCAAAATAGTTCTCGCTAACTCTTATCTTAATGGACAGTTTATCCTTCACCAATTCCTAATATCATTATAGACTTTCCGCCAACATAAGATGGGCGTTCCTCGCCGCGCTATTGTGATGGCTTGAAGACCCCTAAGGTCAGCGTATCTTATTGAACTGGCCAATTAATTTCATTTATCAAGATTTAATTGTACAATTGATCTGATCACGACTTAATACGAGTGACTGAATAGTGCTCAATGTGGGTGGTTATAAATTCAGTCATAGCTTGCCAGCCTCTTGCAAAGCAGAACTACCCGCGGAGAAGGTTGTTTTCAAACAAAATCACTCTATCAAAAACAATAAAATGTCGAGTAAATTGACAAAATCAACAAACGAGAAGCCACCTCATTCATACATCGCGCTCATTGCAACGGCAATCTTGAAATCTCCAGAGAAGCGACTCACGCTGTCCGAGATAAACGACTACCTAATCAAACACTACACGTTCTTTCAAGGAGCGTACAAAGGATGGAGGAACTCCGTGCGACACAATCTCTCTTATAACAAATGCTTCACGAAGATTCTTAAAGATCCCAGTCGACCATGGGGTAAAGATAACTACTGGACAATCAGTTCATTGAACGATTACCTCCAAGAAGATGGGAGTTTCAGACGTCGTCGACGACGAAGACCTAAGGTGAAAAGTCAAGGAGCAAAACAAGAAGAATATGTTTCGGAAGATGATTCGAGCGATAGCGATAGTAAACAAGAGAAACACGGACGTCTAAACGAGTCTGAAAACGGAGAAGATTGCAAAACGACGTTTAGGAGCTCTTTCTCTATATCCAGTATTCTCGAGAAGAAAAATCCATCTAAAGAATCGCGCCATTCCTATGCCGGTAAGTTGATATTCACGCTGTATTCGTTATTATTATTATACAAGACTAACAGTACATACGGTTGACGAAGTTTGTAACTTTTCACAGCCACAAGTACTCAAAACCATTTGAATTATACATCAAAAACAGAGAAGATAGGCCCTCTGTATTTATAATTGCGTACGACGAGAACTAATGAGCAAATAATGTTTAAAACAACAACAATTAAAATGTTATCTTACATAAGGTGTGCGTATGAGGGATATGAAAGATAGCGAAGCTGTTAAATTGTTTACAAAGACGCGAGGCGCGGCTGCGTGTGAATAAACATTGATAAATAAACTTTGTTTCCTCTTAGTCTTGTGTAGTGAGGACTTTGCTTAACATATTACTCTCATGTAATTCGTAAATCATCGTCCAAATTTAGCGTCCCATCGCAAATTATGCAAAGTAACCCACCCACCAGCGCGCTTCGTCACATAAAAGGTGTTAGATGATAAACCTCGGAAACCAAAAACAAACCGAGAATGAAAGCCGAGACTTTTGCAGCCGTGCACAAGTTAATATTTCATTGTTATGATAAAATTCAGACTTAAGTCAAATGGTTATTTGTTCTCATTTTTTCATCAATCAACGCAGACGACTGGTTTGAGCTAAGATTTCTTTGCAATCAGAAGCTTAGCTGTTACAAGTGTTGAGTCATGCATGTTTACTACAACAGGCAAATCACATTTAAACGCATCATAACAACACGAAATTCGGAATTTCCGACTACTGCAGTAGCAACGACAATCATTACTGCACGATAATTTTATGCCTGCGCGAGAAACGATATGAAAGTACTGTCGTGAACGAACTTTTGCGAATGAACAGGAATGAATAGACGTAATTGAAACTCTCGATTTTCATCGAAATCATTTCAACAAGGTTTAAATGTCACATGAAGAATCAAAGTGGAACTAAAGTGATGATCTGTTCATTAAAGTTGACATATTGCCTCGAGGTTGACGCTACTATATCTTTGGGACACAAAAGAGTACTGAAAACTAACATAAATATGGGATTTCATTGGGCAACAAAGTCGGATGTTTTTTCGCAACCAGTGATTTTCAGCACAAAAGAGACGACGGAAGAAAATAAATGCGATTAAATCCAAACACATTACTGGAAAAGTGATAACATGATTACATTTTATAGACTTCTTTGCAATCATCCTCTTATACGAATATTCAACAGAGATAATATGCAGTTGACAAGAGTAACACAGTCTTTAGCCGTGGAACACGAGTGAATAAGATGCACGCGAACATAAAAACGAAAAGACATCGCGTGCTCTCCTGCTTTAAATCAAATGTTTGTGTTGGCAGAGCGGTGTTAATGTAAACTGCCACTTCAAGAGTAAGTGTTAAATTCTGTAAGGCCATGTTTTCGCTATCATTTCCGCAGCGGAGACATAGCTCTTTGTCAGCGGCTTTCTATAGTAAAACACTTGACGACAGTCGCTTGACACATGAATGTACATGTGTGCAGAATAATGTATCGAATATGTACTGCGGACGGTTTCTTTACGAGAGCGCAATTCCTTATTAAACGGTTATTATTGTGCAGTCTGTACCCTGATGGCGAGATTATGACTTACTAAAACAGTCATTAGTCATTAATACAACACCGTCATTCAGTTTGGACCATTGTCAAATTCATTATCACTAAAAGTCAGCAAAGGAAAAGATAATTCGTTCCATACATTCAACAGACATAATTGATAACAGAAGTTAATGCGCTCAGTAATGGCGAGCTTTACATCTCAGAAATATTGTCAACATTCATTGCCTGATTGAAGATAATCGCACGAAGAAGAGTTTCGAATTCTAGAAATTGATTCAATCGATTCGCATGCTGAAAATCCAAAGACCAACGTACAAAAGCTAAGACTGACATTCGTACAGATTAAAACCTCATGTTAGTAAAAGCTTGACATTACAATGAATGTGTGCGGCAAATTATTGTTAGCGAGGCCAATAACAGCGACCGATTGATGAGTAAATTTTATCGAATTCAAACACATGTTTGTCTTTGACAAGTGCAAGCTTTTTCCTGCTAAAGTCGCACTATCCTTTTGAATTCAGATTATATTTCACGGAAATTATGCAAATAAAAACCTGATAGTTTAGTCTTTATGAGCATCTGCAGCCATGAAGGCACGTGGACAAATAAATTTTAATGGCAAATTTATCGACTCTGAGGCAAAATACAGCTTCAGGCAAACAAACGAGAAACATAAACTGGCATGGAGATTAAGAATAAATCACTGTCTTGATAGATAAGCGTATTAACGCAATTGATTTCCAAATATCGCGCATAATTTCCACCATGTCCAGACATTAAAACTATTAGTACTGCTTCGATGACTTAGATTATCACATGTTCCAATGATTATCAATATAAAAACCATTTTGCACACAACATACGAACTATAGATTAGCGTAGTTGCCGTTACTCATTAGCATTAATCGCGTTCGACACTTCATTTATATTCTTCTATTTTGAAAATGACTGTTTTTATATTCATTGTACATCAAAAAATTGCATAACGGGAGGAAAAGTTAGATAGACAAAGTTACTGATTATTAGCACATGATAAACTACTTTAAAACTTTTTGTTTGTGTTTATCTCTAAGGAGGGTGCTGGAAAAAAATATGTTAAAGACATTAAGATTTTCCATATTCTGTTTAAAGTAATCAAGTGTTCATATTGTTTGTTTTCTCTGTAGGAGCTGTCTGTCATACAACTGACCTCGTGCCACCTGCTATGTACCCACATTACCCCCAGCATCAACAAACACCCAACATACTTCATGTAAATGGAACGACACGCGAGGCAATGTGGTACCATGATCAGAGACAAAGATACTCCTGGTTACTTACCGTAGCTCCTTATCCAAGACACTTTCGTTGATGTTTGATGACCTTAAAAAAATCAGTCCCTAATTTTTTTTGATAGAACATTAACCTATTTCAAGTTTGCATAGATCATCGTCTTACTCATGGGGAAAAGTACTCAACAAATTATTAACAGATGTTGATGTAAATATTGCTCAAACCGGAGCGATAGGCTTCACATGAAACAATGAACAAGTAGCAGATTACTGTATTATAAACAATTCCTTATCCCTGCGAGAATTTTCATTCTATGTTACAAAAATAATAAACATCAAATATCACTTCGAGTGTCATTGGAATTTTGTTGTTTTTGACCCCAATGGCTTATGAAAACAAACTCTTTATTCAAATGAATATTTGACAATCAATCTCCCGTAAGTGCTGAAATAAGATAAGCCTAACATGTCGATTGATTTTTCATCATAATGGTCATTTTATAAATAGTAGAAATTTTTAATGGTTTTATTGTATTAATCAGTATAAATGATCACATGAATTGATTGATTTATATCGTAATGTCTGCTTCATGCGTTTGATTCAAAAGTAGGTAGAACTTTGTAATTTTGTCACGCTTTTAGTAAAAGTTCTTCTCGCTATCCAGATCTTCTCAAGCGATGACATGACGAGTACACGGAACACCGAACACATGCCTTTACGTTTTGTGAACTCGAAGCAGGGTCGAAACTAGAACGTTACGTGTGTGGGGGGAGGAGGGTTGGTGAATATTTATACATTCAGCTCTGATTTGGTTTGTTAACGATTATCTTGACTGATTTGGTATGTTAGCGATTATAATTTCAAAAGAAATCAGCTGGGCGGAGCTGAATATATGAATATTCAATCCCCTTAGCGTTGAACTCTAGTTTCCCCCTGACTCGAAGTCTCAAACTCAGCATTAATATCAAGGAAAGAGCCTCAAGAACTAGCCTTCTTCTAACAATCAAACAGTCGAGAGCTACCTGCTTAAGAGTGATGATAATCAGAAATCGCCTCTTCTTCTTTGCTTGAATTTCGCGCCATCACCATATTCATTTTTGCACGTTTAAGGAGTGGGAAACTGGAGACGACTTCTGAATTCGACGTCCGCTCGACTCAAAGGTCCGGCTACTCGGAAATTTGAGTCTCAGACGTAAGTTCACTATAGTTATTTATTCAGAGGAGACTATCAATACATTGAAATAAAGAAGATGCACGAGAAATTCATTGAAAGTAATTATACGAAAGATATTTCGAAAGAGCGCCGTGAAAAATTAAGGAATTCCCCTTCAGTCATTTCAAATTCCAAAGTTCATTTGAAACTCGCCGTTTTTTCGGTTGTTTCCATGGATATGTGATAACTAATATTGGTCTCCAATTTCGATTCGGGCAGATTTACTTTCGGCTTCAATTTTTGCAAGTTATTCAGTCTATTTCAGATCAGTGGAGGGGGGTTACAGAACGCCCGGGTTATATGTACTTGGGAATACTAAACTTCGAAGCAAATCAAGCCAATGATAAGATCGAACGCCATGTATGGATTATTCACAATAATACGAGAAATTTGTTATAAAACGTGATATTTGCATGGATAACTGGGAAGCGAACTCTTTAGTCATAAACACAAACCATCGATTTTGAGTGACATTATTATACAGATATAAAACAACGGGCAAAATGTTTTCTACACTTGGCCTTGGGCATAGTAAGAAGCATTTCTACAAAAAATCATCGCAATTCCACTACAAAATACACTGATTGAGTCAACTTTGTAATGTTGGGACTGTTGAACAAGGCGGCTTATTGTCTGGCTTCGAATATATTTTGGGAGTGTGACCCAAGGTTTTTTCCCGATGCGTGGGCAGAACGTCACGTGATTGTAAACTTGTCGGGACTTGCCCAAAATTTTGCTGTTTCACGAGCGAAGGGGGAAATATAGAACACCTTATAACTGTAAATTAAACCAATCAGAGCGGCGCTTTGGGAGTAATGTTTCTATTTTCGTTAACGATCTTCGATATAAGTCCCAGTATTCAAAACATCGTCAGCGATAATGGAAAACTTTCTTCAAAATATTAACTTATCAAAATATAACAGACTATTTTCTGGCCAAGGATACGAAAATCTTGGCGATATTTTCAATCTTGACAGCGAGGATTTGAACATGGTGTACATTGACAATGGTACAGAGCGCAATGCTATTTTGAACGCAGGTAAGGAAAAATTGCTACGTAAAATCTAAACGTAATTATCTTGATACCAAGCCGAGTTTGCATGCGTGACAGCGGCTGCATAGCAGTGAAAATCATACAATTATAATACAACTAACTTCGTGTGATCACGATACTTTTAAAGAATCGTGATCATGTGGAGTGTCGGAGTTTCGAACCTCTCCTAGAATTTAATGGAGACATGGGATTTCTCTGTGGGATTCCACTGACACACCGAACTTTATATTTCTATATAGTCGCTAATATTGACATCGGCACTTGGCTACGGTACTACGAGTTAGAAAAATACGAGACATACTTTAGAAAATTAAAAATAGAAATATTGGGCGATCTGAAACGGGTAAAAATGTCTGACGAGCTCATGGACGATCTCGAAGTGATGGTACCCGGGCACAGAAAAAGACTTTTGAAAGCAGGTAAGCTTGATCAAGAATTTATAGACGAGTTTATAACAAGATTAAGATAAAGTGTTTCATGTTTAATACAGTTAGCGGGTTTTCTAAAGACGATGGACAATATCAAAATTGTGGACGGGCAGTGGCTTTCGGCTACTGGGGTCGGCACGACGTTATCAAAACTCTGAAACGGACTTTCTGGGTAAAGAAATGTTTCATTAAATCAAATATTCCTGGACATGATCCAGTGGAGCTGGCGAACTGTTTGGTGGACACCGGTAGCGAAGTGGTGACGATTCAACAAGATATTATGTCGGAACTTAACTTGACATTCTTACAAACCGTAAGCAGCAGAGGTATACACAAAGCTAAAGAGAAACCTCTTTACAGTGCAGTGATGCTGTTAGGAAACAATGTTATCGAAGTGAAAGTAAGTCCGTGTAAACTTTGCGAAACGTTGCTTCGTCCAATGACAAGTAGAGTAGATCTTTGCCCAGCATTATACAAAAATAAACATTAAACAACACGGTTTGCGATAATACATTAATATAACTTTGGCATGTTCATTTAATCAAAGGAAAATCATTAACATTTGAAATGTTAAATTGGATTAATTCATCACTGAAGATGAAAGTTGAAATTCAATAACATTTTAAAGAAATTTAACAAGCATGACGAGACATTCAATACGAACAAAAGAATTATTAAATATTCTTTATTAGCAAAGATATATTTATTTACAAATTATGTTGTCTTGTCTTCGTTTCTTTAGGTGATACCGGACAGCTACAACTCCATAGGATGCAACGTTTTTCAAAAATTCTCTCACTTCGTCAACGAAAAAGACCACTATTGGCTGACAAAGGAAAGCTGACGAAGAAATCGTCATATAGCATGCACAAATTGAACTTTCGAAAATATATTTAGAAACGGTTAGGTACGTACTTATAAATTTGATAATTTCATAATGCTTCAAAAAATAATTCCCACATCAATAAAATTTCAAGTCTTAAAGCAATATTTGAGAGGATTGTAAAACCAGCGCCAACCAACATTATTCCAGTCCAAGTGTCCGTCCACAGATCTGAAAAGTTAAAAATCATGCTTAGTTAGTCACCATTTTCAAAATCTCCATATTAATGACAAGCTCTCTTCTTACCTGGTACTTCCTTACAAACTAATCGACAGTACGTGCTTTCCACCAACATTAGACATAAGATCGTGAATATTTGTATTAACTTCGCCATCTTTACAAATTGCTTTGGCCAATTATTGGTTTATGACGCAAGCAAATTTGTTAATTAGTGTAGGAAAATTTAGCGATGCGCGCGCATGCAAGATTGTGCCTTCAATTTTAATCGTTTGACTTCGCAGAAAAATAAAACTCGCAAATGATCGTCAAACGAAGGTTCATAATGCTTGAGTATAAGTATTACCAAATTAATTGCATTACATTTTCATGGTAGCATAAACTAATTTGAAAGAATGGTCACGTAAGCCTCTTGAACACCATTAATCACATCCATTGCTTGGGTTTTCAAAGCCAACTACAAAAATATGAGAAGGATTGCGCGGAAATTAATGCATTTTCTTGAGCCCGCAAAGTGGATTTGATATTTATACCAACCTGCACGATGGGATTATTCGGCTCCATCTTCAACTCGGCAAGTACCCATATGTTATTGGTAAACTTCAACGACTGATACAACATATCCTATATTGAAAAAGTGTAATCCAGTCAATTGCGAAATATCCTTCGTCATCACTAGTAATACACTCACCTGTCCATCTACGGTTCGTTTGGCCACAGTGAACACGTTATTTGCGGCGAGTTTCTGTTGCGCCATATCTGCAAACACATCAATAAAAAAATAATATAAACATCTCGATCATCTTTAATACATTCCCCAAATTTGCTCAGATCAACTTAGACTGTCGCCACCTGCTTTATATATAGTTACAAAGTGCACAAGGGGGAGACTGTTTAAGCTCATCCGATCGAATCTGGTAAAATTGCATGATTTATATGATGACGTTGATACCGACTTACCCGAATTGAAGTTGCAATGGAATTGTTTTTGGACCTCGTTTGTTGCAGGAATGTCTTTCCACATAGCCAGAAATACTTTACGATCTACAAAACGACATGAAGTATTTTGTCATTTTGATAAAATCAAGAGCAATAAATTTCATATTTAATGTCGAAATGAAGTGATCAATCCTGATATACCTTAGCGAGTTTCATCTAGGCTGTTGCAGTGTATCGATATATCGAAAATTATCGGTTTTTGGAAAAATCGATTTTTCGATATTGAGATTCCTCGATGAATCGAAACATCGATATTTTTCAGTATTATCAGTTTTACGTTTGTATGTTTAAATGTCCCACAACTACACCAAGCTTATCTAAGCACACACTAAAACACTCACTAAATAACGCAATGTGAAAGAATCATAAAAATTTCACACACAATTAAACATCGGAGTTACATTTGGCTATCGACACATAAAATATTTCACATCTTATGTGTGGATAGCTAAAAGTCTGTCAAATTGTCATCGCGCAAAGAACTCAGTTAAACCAGACAAAGAGAACGCGCTTTTAGTGCTAGAAAGGGCTTAGTACGTAAAAATTTCTCAATTCATTTGATTTTTAACTTCAGCGTACGCACATTAATTCAGCCGGCGAGTTGCACTGCTCGTATTTTTAATTCCGTCGGAATTGAGAAGAAGTATCTTTTAGCATGTTTTTATTTTCGTAAAACATCTTACAAACGTAATTGTAAACTGCTTCGCTAAAGAAAATTGCAAAATTACTTTTGGCTTTGACAATAATTTAACTTGCAAATGTTTAATTTGATTGGCTCTTACATCCCTTTGGACTAACAAATCAGGGCATTTTCAAAAGAAATTGCACTGTATTTCTTTTTTTATTCAACTTCCATTTTGCACTGGTATTCAAGATAAATTGCACTGCTCTTAACCAATCAGAATTGAGAAATTTTTTCATGTATATTATTTTTTAAATACTGTATCAGCGTACTTTCATTGTTTAATCATAAATTGCAATGTCTATGATTTGGGCTGACGTAGGAAACATGCAATGCATTTCGACGTTACTCCCATCTTTCAGGTCCAAAACAAATGAGGGTTGGCAAAAACAAGTGAGATTATTGAGGTCACATAGTAACCAAAATTGATATAAGAGGAAAAAACTGGGGCCTGGGATCGAGTAATGTAAGGAGTATCAATGATTTCGTGTGAATAAGATGGACACTTCGAACATGTGGGAAAGTGTGGGAGCATCAATTTTTTTTTCAGAAGTATTTCTTCCAGCAGTTCAATCAAAAAGTATTCGATGTGATGAAGTGAAATGTCGTGGTAAGGTTCAGAATGCGAGTGACTCTTTGTTGGGACCTGGACTCTAGTATCTCGAAACCAATTCGCTTATCTATATTTATTTCATATATCGATAGAACACATTGAAATGAATAAAACTGCAACGCTATTTGGCCCTCCCCCCCAAAAAAAACACACACGGCCAACATTAATACGTATAACACTTCGTTAAAACTACTCATAAAAATTCATTTTACGGGAAATGGATCGTTTTTTTTCACAACAGTCCCGTGAGTGAATCACGAATTAGGCCAAAATTCGCGGGACTTTACCTCCAAACATTCATCAAAACAATCTGAAGGTAGCGTTTCAGTTATATTCATTTCAACGATACACCATGACTTATATAGAAGTTTACATAAAAATTTCTAGCGAGTAATTTAAAATTTTAACCCTTTCCTGCGCAGTGTTGCTTCAGAGCAACAATCAGTGCAGACGATGAAATAGCATGGCCCAAAAACAATTCATGCTGTATAGGGTTATAAAAAAATACGTACCCATTTGTCCAGCTTCAACAAAGAAAACATACATAGGAACAACACAGCTGAAGTAAAACACGTCAATATTATTCTTTACGGCCACTTGAAGGTTCGTTAACGGATCCATTCTCTGGATAGGACCATCTAAAACAACATTAAAATTACATATACAAATTGTTGATTTCCTTTTAAATTGCATTGCACTTACTGGTATTGAGCAACAGCGATGTTTCAGAAGATTGGTTGGCCGGTAAAGGATTGGAAACGTGTAACTGAGCGCCCGGTGCCAGACCAAAACTATAGAGAAACTCGAACATTTCAGCCACTAATATTGCTTATGAATAATATGTTTGTAACTACGCAGTAACTGTTTGTTCACTGAGAAATACTGGACTATGTGCAATCCAAGCCAACACAAAAAAGGACAAAAAGTTCCAATATTCTTTAAAAGACCAGGCAAACGAGATTGACAAAAGGTTCATTAAATGGCTTAGGACCTTTATCCTTTCTTTAACCAAAACCAAACATGTTGGAAAAACAATAGTACACCAACATACAGAACATAGTAAACATACACTACAATAATAAACAAACATAGCTAACTACAACTTCACACGTAATACATCATAATCAACAAAAATATAGTATGATCAACAAAATACATCATAATCCACAGTATAAAAACACATATAATCCCCGTACAAGCCGCCATACACAGGGGTCATAAACCATGATCAACGAACATTCACCAAGATCAGCCAACACTCATCATTATAAAGACATAGAAATTACTCTACACATAGATACCTATTCTTGTTGAGTTGTATAGCAAAGTTTCCCATAGCTTGCATCGCTCGATTGTAAAACGTACAATCCATGAAAATTTGACCCTGACGACGAGAGAAAGTTCCTAAACAAAGGCAAACAGACATTAGAAAATGTTGGCGCATCAAATATATATGAAATTCATACCTAAAATTTCTAAACCTTTCCCTTTAACTGCAGGCAGCCACACCTTCATAAAAATGAAAAAAATAGGAAAAACTAAGGGAATGGAAATTCCTCTAGCGTGTCACGTGATATATACTCACCGCTTTCGGGGCGACGTAACCGGATGTAAGGCCAGCACCTCCCGATAAACTGAATAGATCACCAAGACCTCCAGGAGCGGCAACGGGGGGAGCTCCCACAGGAGCACCACCAAGCTACATACAGGCAGATGAGAAGACAACATTAAAGAAAAGGTTTACCTAAATGAGTTCTTTGACAATATGTACAAAACTTCCAAACCTGTAGAGAACCAAGATCTGCGCCTAATAAATCAACTCCAGAATGATTGCTACCTTTAAAACAAAACAAAAACACAATAACTTAAAACTACAACGACAAGCAACACTTATCTTCCTGTGCGCAAGGATTATTCGTAGCTACGTACGACGTTAACATTACGCACTTCTCGCAAGAACGATTTTCACAGAAATCACCAAAGAGACAAAAGACATGACTTTTAATGAAAGCAGTTATTACGTGAAAAACTTTCGCATGATCTGCATCAGAAAATGTTTACTGGATGTATGGAAGCCCCCACTACTTTAGCCTTTGGTGTAAAGGGAGTTGAGTCTAGCAGCTCAAACAAATGTAACTATTCCGATAGGTTCTTGAGTTTCATATATTTTGTGTTAACTGACATAATGTCCATAAATGAAGTGTGATGATAGAGCAACTATAACGACTTAGAGAAGCGACCATAAAGCAACTAAAACCTTCTTCTAATTAGTTACACCGTCATGTTGGATACCACCCTACTTACTTATAGCTGCTGGTGGCATAACTGGTGCAGATTGTACAGGCATCGTACTACCACCAAAGTCCATTCCAATAAGGTCACCTATTAATGAATCTTGCTGAGGTGGATGGGAAGGAATCACTGTTGCTTGCTGTGCTACAGGAGGGGCGCTGTCAGTGGGAGCGCTAGCCGGTGTGGGTTCAGCTCTTGCAGGGAGAGTGAATCGGCGAGCACTTGTTCGACCCTCAACAAAAGCACTCGGAGGTTTATGATATACTGACGCCAATGAAGAGATATGACAGATGAGTTCATCCAGTAAGGTCGGCTCTAAGAGATCAGTGTCTTCAGAAATCAACGGTTTCTCAGCGAGAACGACTTCCTGATAAAACAAAATCACATACGTACGTATAATGCCACTAAGAAAGATTATCGTGTTATAAGTAAAGAGACGATACATCACACTATATTTTACAGCACAATTAATAAATGGTTTCCGTGTTTGGATCGCCTGATTCAAACACACGGGAATTAAGCCAGAGTTGGTTCGTGCTTCGCGCACTTTTCTTAACTCAACTGACATTCCGAAGTGTTTAGATTAGGCTATCTAAACACTTGAAACCATTTAGTGAATGTTTTATAAACTAAAAACAAGTGGGCAGTGTTGTAAGCTTCATCAAAACAATAGGAAATAGGAAAGCTAAATTCTCCTAAGCGAACGAAGACTTAAACGTATAATTACAGCCAAGCTTTAAAAGTTTAGGAACAATCGCCCATCTTGATTTAAGTTAACATTAACTGTTCAAGAAATCAACATCAAATCAATTTTAGCAAAAAATCGTCTGTTTTCAAGCATGTTCAAAATTCTCACCACGACAGCAATGTCCATTTCCGTGATTGGATGGCCTCATCCAAACACGCGCATTGATTAATCAGGGCATGCGTTTTGCATTGATTATTTTATGAAAGTGTGTTGCATTCCAACACATATTGCTCTAATGTTCACCTAAGAGAGTCATTTACCTTGGCTGCGGCGGGATCTGTGGACAATAACCTCCAGTAAATGTAACCGCGATCTCTTAAATCTGGATTGTCACTATCTTGTGTTGCAAGACTCAGAACTTGTTGAACCAACTCTTGAGTCTCGGACGGACGCTTTAGGAAAAGTTTTACAATCCCAGTCAATAATTGCAACTGAACCTGCAAAGAAAAGAGCAAAATGTGTAAGAAACAGAGATAAAACGACCGCAGACAGTTTTAAATTCAACCTGAGTGTTTTCATCTTGAAAGCCTTCGAGGAATGACTCCAATAATTCGGCAGCATTGTCAATTCTCTCAGCATATTCTCCGATAATCCAAATCATCGAAGCTCTATCGTGATAAAAGAAGGTAACAGATATTTTTAAACGAACTTTCAAACACAACTCTTTAAAAATCTATGTACGATCATTAAATATACGTAAACAGTAAAATAGACGCTAATTACAAATAAAAAATAGGACTTTTGTCTAGTTCACAAATATATCTCTTTATGTCCATAATGATCATTTAATGTACGTAAACAGTGAAATGGCCTCCTTGGGGCAAAAACAGGACATTTGTCTGGTTTACGAATAGATTTCTTTGTAGGAAATTGTTTGATATTCCTGGAATGTTGAATTAGTTCCAAGTATGTTCTAAACAACTTCCATGTAGTAGCTACTTGAATTGGTTGGCTGGAATAAGAGTTCGCAATACATAAGTGAAATCATCCCACAACTGACTTCTTTTCCTTTTTTCAAGTTTCGTTAATGATTTCAGTCATGTGACAACAATTCAGTCACGTGATAATAAATACAGTCAAAAGAGCAATAGTAGCAGAGGCAGACCACAAATTTTAGCTCTACTATGTACGTAAATTTTGGATCATGATTGTAATTAATTTCTATAGAAATCTATTATTTTCCCAGTCAATACAAATAACTTATCATAGCAGAAGTAAATTGGTACGTTGGCCATGCCATTGGTCGAATTTGAATGAATAAACAACATATCAAATAAAAACATTCTGCAAAGAAACAAACATCAGCCAATGATGTTCATAATTATATATTACCTTGCTTCAGACTCATCTAGAGAATCTAGATTCTCGCACAACGTGGAGATGATGCTCTCGTACTTGTTTGGGTATTTACGGAAAATATCCTGAAAAAGTGAAAATTACTTATTATGGAGAATTCGTGGCAAGTTTATGTGCGATGTTTAGAGTCTAGTGAATGAACGGACTATAGAGACGAAAGAATGGACGGAGTTTAGAGTCTAGTCAATGGATGGAGTAAAGAGCGTAGTAGATAAAAGGAAATTAGAACCTAGGGAAAAACCGAGGTTAGAGCTGATGCAGTGTTTTCATTAAGAGGCAGTTGCAAGCGGTTTATCGCCGAATATTTTGCATCAGACAGCCGTTTATTTTCCAGTAAGCAAGAAGTAATATAGAAGAAGAGTATATCCGTCATTTATTTATCTATTATATTCAACGATTTGGTATTAAAACTTAAACAAAGAATTAGATTCGATTCTAATTGTGACTTAACTCTATAAAAATTCAATGCCAAGATGGTTATTTATAGCACGGTCATAAAGGTAATGAGACTATATTGTCAAGCGTCCAAATAAAGTTGAAGACAACAAATGTCATTATTGCGACGATATGAAATTTCACTTTCTGACAATTTGTTCCGACGCCTGTTGTTGCAATACAACTTGCTATGATCAATCTTAATGAAAACACTGGCTTGGTGTAATCTCAATGTCAGTGGCGTAGCTAGCGCGAAAATTTGGACGTCCTAAGTAAATTTCAGATCATTAGCATTGTTCATTTCATGAGAAATCTGTTGTTTCAACATTGAGTAAACACAGAAAAATTTATATAGCACGACCAAACTAGAGGGTTGGCTTCGCCACACCTCAATGTACGTATCTGGAAACCTGTTAGAGCTCTTCCAATATACGATTTTTGGAGCATAGTAACGACTATCTCAGTAAATACTGATTAAAATAGATTTACGCTGGATACATAACGATGTTCATTACCTTGATAACAACAATGGCTTCTTGAACAACATAGTTAACTTTAGTTTGAATGAGATCGAGGAGTGTGCTTACACATTTTTCTGAAGATTGCTAAAATATGGAATAAACAACATTAATTTAGCAACATAGACAAAAAAAGACCAACAATTCCGAAAATTAAGCACTATATCGATTTTTATAAGTGGTGGAGCACAGACTTATAACGTGCTCCCTGGTTAAAGAAAAAAGACTGATTCACTTCACACTATCATACTGACACGAAGGTAATGAATGCTATCGATTTTAAACATTGAATAAAGCCGCGCATGCGTAGCGGCTAACCACAAAAATAACAGAAATGCATATCTTATTCAACTACCGAAACATAGGAGTCAAAACGATTGATCTGAAAAGAGGCGTAAACCATGCGTCGCAGAAAGATAAATACTTATGCTGAGGATGCTTATATTCAAATATGAATGACATTATCCGTAAAAACCTGGATTTCAAAAAAATTTATTACGGCTGAACTTGAATACATGAGTACGAGCCCCCCTCCAATACTAAACTTTCCTACGCACATGCGTAAACCTGCTCACTTTCTCAATCCTACCTCGACTTTAATAGCACAACGACCAATGGCTCTCACTGATTTTCTTACAAAATCAACGTCAACCTCAGTGGCGTACCTACAGACATTGAGATGAAAATCCACGCATATGAGAAATTGTATTCAATTGTATTCAACAGTTGAATTACTCAAAATATTATATTCCAAATCCATGTTTATGAGACATTGTGTTTCAATTAAGAAACAAACGATGTCTATTGTGCTTTGCAGATGCTTATGTAAACCGAGGAGATATTTGGGTGAACTCACAAGCCCGAGACCAAAGATCGCGAGTTCTCACCAACGTCTCCAAGCTGTATTCATGATGATTTGCATATTCTCTTTGACTGATTTGATTGACTGAGCTCAGATCAATTTGCAAAAGCTAATGCAAAGTCAGGTATTGACCAGGCAGGGCACGCGTTTTATTGTTTCTATTTTATATTCAGCCATATCACTCACTCTTTGAGCTCAGCAAGAACTTGGGCGATATTTTGTTGATTTGCCAAGCGAATCATAATATCCAGCTTTTCCAGTTTAACATAAATTGGATCATTGTATTTGACGAAAAATACTTTCATTTCATTCAGCAAAATCTCTGGCCTTGAAAAAAATCAGACATGTATGATATGTATATGAATAAATATTTAAGGAACATGTATACAAACGACTTATGTATACCTTTTCTGAACAATCAAGTTTATGTTTCTTAAGGCAACGTATTGCACTTCAGCTTCACTTGATAACAATGTCACTAAATATGAAAGACAATGAAAATTTTTTACAATAGAGACAAAACTCATACAAACACAACTCAGGAAAGGTTGGCACAGAGTCTGTTTGGGACATTATTGTGGTTTAAAGCAAGAATCCACATTATTGTGAATCGGTGTAGATACTTGGTGTCAATGAACTATATAATGTCTTATTGCACAATCTAGCCTTAATAATGTTATAATAATAGTCTATAGGACGTACTAGAAGTTCTAAACGCAAAATAGATGTTCTAAACGCAAACTAGAAGTTCTAATCGCTAACTAGAAGTTCTAAACGTAAACTAGAAGTTCTAAACGCAAACTAGATGTTCTAAACGCTAAACATAGATGTTCTAAACGCTAACTAGTTGTTCTAAACGCAAACTAGATGTTCTAAACGCTAACTATAGATGTTCTAAACGCTAACTAGTTGTTCTAAACGCAAACTAGATGTTCTAAACGCAAACTACGTGTTCTATACGCAAACTAGATGTTCTACACGCAAACTAGATGTTCTAAACGCAAACTACGTGTTCTAAACGCAAATTAGAAGCTCTAAAGACTAAGAAGTTGCTAACTATAATTGTTAACTAACTAGATGTACTAACTAACTAGAGGTTGAAAATCCTAAATACGTAGCTACGTAATTGTTGTAAACAGTAGCAATACGCTCCAAACACTAACCAGACGTTCCAAACAATAACTACATGTCCCAAACGCTATCTAGATAAGTATTCCAAACACTAACCTCATGTTGTAAATGCTAACTAAATTTTCTGAACGCTGACCAGGTGTTCTAAACGCTAATGATGTTCTGAACGATAACTACATGTTCTAAACACCAACTTGATACACGAAACAATAACAATATGATTTAAATGTAACCAAAAATAATTCAATATCCCAAAACCTAACTACACGTTCCATAAACTGTGCAGATGTTCCCAACAACAAAGCGTTAAAAACAATCAGTAAATGTTCCAAACACTCATTCATGAGACGATTGTTGTACAAACAACACATACGCACCCAAAGGTGGAGCGAGTTTCTTCACAATGCCCTGAGTGAATGACGAACCCTCTAAAATTTCCATGTACTTCATGAGAACCTAAACCAAAAAATATTTGAGGCTCTGTCAGAGTGTCAAATTGCGAATATAAATTGTGCTAAAGCCATCATCAGAGAAACATCATAATAATATTAGGAATTCATATCATCAAAATTTTACTTGATAATGAAATACTAACACCATTCTACCTTAACTGCTGAGAGTACAACAGCGGCATTGGCATGAGAAAGACGTGGCGTTACACGTTCACAAACACTACAACAAAAACATTTTTGCCTAAGAAATGAGAGCAAAAAATATTTTTAAAGATGTGTTTTCCACCTTTGAGCTTCTTTGTCGTCCCTTGGTGTGTATGTTGCAAGGCAATCGAGAATAAAAATCTGTCCCCACCTAAACGTGGTGAAATTAATATCTTTAGTTACATACAAACGAGCACAGAGAACTAAAACATTAAAGAATGTGTGTCAACCGAGATTCACTGCGCTCTTTTGTTTATGTTTTTATCGTTAGTTATTGAGCTTGCAGTACAATAAATTCAGTTTGGTCACAGCGTCGTCTAATTTATTCGAAAAGTTAGCAAAAAAACATTGACTAAAAACTTTATTTTACATTAATTATTATCATTTGCCCAAGTTACATGGACTACAATAACAAAATTCACCATTTTCTCAACCAAAAATATGGCCGTCACGCCGTGATTAACGCGAAATGCATCTTGTTCGACACACATTATTTAAAAGAAGACTTACTCGGTGCACTCATTCAGAGCTGTACATAGTTTATTCACGGTCTGAGAATTGAGTTCCAGTGCTTCGGCCGCAGATGAGGAAACATCGCTAATTTCACTAAGAGCAGCTACGGCGTTAGCAACAACCTAAACAGTACAAGACACATGATGTTTTCAATAGTTATTGTTAAAGCCATTCCACTTGAAAAGTATGTCACAAGTGGAGCTACGTACTAACTGAAATAATAAAGCCGATTCTAAAAATTTAATTATTTTTTGAGATGATTTGCAGTCAATGCATGTGAACTGACCATTTCTCCGAGCAATACGTAATTTACGTACGTAGTAATCTTGATTCAATCTTGATTAAAATGCTTATGTCATTCATAATTACGAGTTGAAGTCATAATTACGAATAATCAGATTGAAGAAACTTGTTTTGAATAAAGCCAAGTTTAGAGAGGGAATACACAATTCATGTAATTGTGGCAAACTCGACCATGACGAAGGGGGGAGGGGGGGAGTGGCTCATTTCAAGTCTAGTTCCTAAAGTATGACAAACTTTGGACATTTAACACTGGTTACAAGACACTTTCCCGCCATTCATTTGTGAAGACGCTCAACCATGTCCAAAAGGTACGTAAGTACTACGTAACTTGATGTTATGATTTAAAACATTAAAAACATGGTGTTTGTGTTTTACAACATTGCTGTGACAGCAATTTACATCACAGATGTAATTACTTTCCTCTTTTTTCTTTTACACTGCTGTTGAACAAATATAAGTTTTGTGTCACAAGGTCTATCGAGGAAAAAATTTCGAATCGCAAAATTTACGGTGAAATTTTTTTCCACGAAAATTCTTCAAAAAACGAAACATAATACAATGAGTGCATATTAAACATACCATAGGATTTGAGTCGGACAAAAGATCCTTCAACTGGTCAAGAAAACCTTGATCTTCAACAAGTTGTGAGTTGATATCATGAAGCTTGGCAACACACACAGCAGCTGTTTTTCTTACATAGGGATCTTCATCTTTTAAACATTTCCTCAAAGGTTCACACAAGTATTCTGTGATCTTGTCGACTCTGATACACCCCATTGTACGCACGGCCAACGCTCGAATCAAGGGATTTGGATCATCACAATCCTTTAATAATAATCACGAAATATTTTTTGCTAATATAAAAATGAAATTGTATAAATTTTACTCTTTACATGTACAACTATGCCATACTTCAAATTCAACAGGCTTTATGCACCAAAATAGTTCATGTATCAAACACATGTTTGGAATACAAATAAATACGTAACACCTCCTTCCATTTGCGTTATGTTCCAAGTCATCACAACAGCAACAGAATATCCATTCGATGATTGTATATATTATGTAATGATGTATTTTAAACAAACATACTTTTTAAGAAGATTGAGATGAGAATCCTGAAATACCAATATATGAACCACAAAGACTGAATATTATCTCAATTTTCCATAATTTTTTAAGAAAAATTCTGATAATGTAAAGATCAATACCATCATGCACCCATGAAAGATCAATACCATCATGCACCATTGACATATATTCTTTGAGTAAATCAGTTTATGGCTTTCACCTTTACAAAAGTGTTGACGGCCATGATCGCCATGTCTGGTTGTGACTTAGCATAATTCATGAGATATAAATAGACCAATTTCTTCAACTCAAGATTGTCAGTTTGCATACAGTTAACAACATCAGGAAACAAAGAGCTACGACAAAATATATAATTTTAGTGACATACAAATACTGGGTATGTCTACTGGTACACAGTGGCTTATACGTGTTAAAATTTAAAAAAAGGTACAGGCAATGTCACAAATATCTTCTTCTATATATCACAGAAAATCAGCAAAAAAACAGAGTAGAGTAACAGACCATTTTTTATGGCATTTAATTATTGTTTTCAGGGGTAGATCATAGGTAGTCGAATATTTCAATCACGACAAACATAACAGACTACTGAAAATGTTTTACAAAATGTCATCTAAAATGATGACAACCTGACTCTGTGGAGGCACACAGCTTTGTTAAGTCCATGCAATGTGAAGCACTACAGAACACATATCAGTCAAAAATATCAGTTATCAGAACATCTGATTCTATTGCTAAATGTCTTGCAGCTACATCACGCAGTTTGGAAACTCCCAAGTGAAGAATACAGTTAGTGGTTGTAACATCAAAAAAAGTTAGCATGAAAATATTTCAAGATGGCCTTCACTACCTGACATCCTTTCCAACAGTCATGCTTGCAATTACTTTTTTTACGGCTTCCTTCTTTCGATCTTTCTTATCGCTGTTTAGTTCAGCTTTTAATTCAAATATTTCTCCTGCAAAATTAAATCAGGATTTCCATCTGATAGATTCAAAAATAAAAATAAAATCAAACCTGGAAATATTTCTTAGTGGGGTAAAAGCACAGGTAAGGAGAGTATGAAATATATTTTCAGAGTTTTTTATAAATAATGTCCAGTTTTTACAAACTTCCCTTATAAACATTTATAAAAACACCAGCAATTGTTGAATGATGATTTGAAATAACACAATACTGCATGGAAGATATAAAGATGTCACCTTAGGAGATGTATGATTTAATGTGAAAGACATTCGCAAACAATATTTTAGGCAGACTAAGATTTTGAGGGAGAAGAAAAAATCAAAAACATTTTGAACCATTTGAGACAATTTTAAAACATTAGAAAAAAGCAAATTTTGAAACATGAGGAAATTATAATTATTTTTTAAAGTAACATAACAAATGCATAGAAAATATATGAAGTAGATTAACTAAGAGAGGTATAGTCCTCTCCTGACATTGTATGGGAGCAGGGGATTGTTTCTGTACCAAATACACAAAAAACAGCATTCGATTCTTCATATATATATTATTCAATTCGTTCTTCAACTCCATAAATTTTGATTAACTAAGAGAGGTGTAGTCCTCTCCTGACATTGTATGGGAGCAGGGGATTGTTTCTGTACTAAATATTACACATAACAGTATTCCCTTCTTCACATATATATTATTCAATTCATTTTTCAACTTCATAAATTTTTTGACAGCAATCAAGAATCGCCCATAAATGATTATCTAACAATTACAATGTATGAAACATACTGCAGCTATAGCACATCCTCTCTAAGACTATTTAAAACTTGCATTGCAGTAGTCTAGATGCCTTGCTGCCTCCTCCATCAAAACCCACTAAATTTTCAAACTCTGAATAAAGTTGCCTAACACGTTTATACATTCCATGATAAATTAGTTGAACATAAACAAATGCACACGATTGTTTGACAAAAAAGTTTTGTATTAAAATATTTAAACATTGTGTGCCAAAAACTTCATAACAACAGCACATTCTGTTTGATAAGTTAAAAAATATTTTAAGTCAGCTTTCATCCTGATTTTTGTTTTCATTGTGGAGTAATGGCTAAACCCCTCACTAAAATCACAGTACATGATCAACTGACGGGATCTATTAGTTAAAGACCCAAAAATGGCATGGTGCAATTAATTATTCTATTCCATAAACTTTATTCATTTACAGAATGAAAATAAAATTCATCATTAAATTATGAGAGACTGTTATATTGAACATCCTGATGGCCTGATGTGCCTTTTCAAGATGAGATTTTCTGAAGGAAGTTGTCAAAATCGCGTTGAAATATTCCAGTCAGTTTTTCAGTATCAAAGAGTGAATTCAAAAATTCAATCAAAAGTATGGTTACTAAATAAATGGCTACAATAATTATTTTTCTGCTATAAAGTAACTGTTTCGTGGCCCATCATTTCAGGGGGGAGGGTAAAATTGTTGAGTGAAAAATATAGCATGGTCAATAAGTGTATTGAATTGCTTTATACTGTACCTTTCTTTGTCGTGGTGAAATATTTGGAGTCCGTCATGTTTTATGATGATTTCCTCTTGTATATAAAATGTAATACGAATAAGATAAGAAAGTACTTCCAGATCAACAGAAATGAGCAATTATTCACACATTGGCCAAAGTTTTTTACACAAAAAAAATCATAATTCAAGTTCAGGATTAGAAAATAATTGAACGTTTGGTTATGTTTTCTTCAATGTAAATACAAAATGTTCCAATATGCACTTACCGAGCTCAAAAATGGTGAGATATAGTGAAAATTTTCGACAACACTCGAAACTTCCCTTGCAATTTCTCCCTGGTCGGCAGAATGAGGTGAGGAGGGCGGAAGATGAGACTGAGTTCTAGATAGTGTCTTGTTGCAATGTTAGATGAAGTAACGCTAAGTGAAAAATTAGCATATAATGCACAATAAATGAGCAGCACGCATACGCTGCTGAACTTAAAAATAATTCAATTTACAGATTGTTTTTTGTCAAAGCTATTTTTTATTTTGTTTTTAAAAACAATCAAATGATTATTTTCCACTGAGTGCATTAGTGCACATTGTTACTGAATGGTACCGTAGTGTGCGTGCGACAACGAGGGAAAAATGAGCTATTAAAGGAAAGTCATTGGTAGAAAAATGTTCTTCGCCTCTATGTTCTCTAAACAAACGTCACGAAGATTGAAGTGAAATTCTTCCTCTCCGATTTTTGCCTATCTTCTTCACGCGGGCGAACTGTTGAATTTTTTCTCATGGGCGCATGTTTCCGTTGTTCACAAAAAGAATGATCAAAACTTTTCTAAACTTTAAGAGATGTTTTTCATCAATACTAACGGATGAAGAGGCATCTTCTCATGCCAATTCTTTCAATATGTCATCTGTCACCATTACATTACAATACCTATTTTTTAAATTATTCAACAAAAATTTACGATTTTGTTCCATTAGGTTTTTTTTACAGTAGCTATTTCAAAAAAAAAAATTGATAATGATATTTTACTGAGATGTGATTCTAAGAAAATAATCGATTCGCGTGACCAGAAGAAGACCTTTTTCTCTTGTCTTTTCTATGTAAACAATGAACATTGATTTGGTCAATTATTTGATCCTTTCTGCTGTTTTTTGTGTTTGTTTTTTGGTTGAAAAGAATCAGCAAGCAGTGCACTACTGCCAGCAAAATAAACATCAATGAAAGGGTGCCAACTAAGAACAGAAACGAGTGCTCCTGCCCAGTCTAGCGTGTTTATTGACAGGAAGTCAGACAGAAGAGTATTATTGACTTGTCAACGACGGGACATCTTTCATTTCATCCGTTTTTTTTCATCATAACGAAGGGGAATAGTGCGAAATAAGTAAATAAAAAATATTAGATGTTTAGTTTTTCTATGTCCATTATATTGCCAGTTTGAGGTAAGCTGCCATGTTCTCAGACAAAGAATTTTTATTTGTTTACTGGGTCAGAGGTTTTGATCTTCAAACAATGTTAATAACACCACTTTGTGATTTGGTAATAATGATATAACGAGTTCTTCAAGGCGTAGAAAAAATTCTCCAAAAAAGGCTGGGATATAACTATCGTAGTTCCGATACTTGAAATGCTATAGTGAATTGAAGTTTGGTATTGTTTTTTTAGCGTCTTGTGCACGAAAATAAACTGTTTTCGTTCGATGTTGTTTTTATTGTATTTTGGGATTTTGAAAATAAAGTTGTACTGGCGATTTTTGACAGCTGTCTGATATCCTTTTTGAAGATCATTGCCATTCTCGATGAAGGAAAATCCTCTTAGATAGTTTAAAAGAGCTTTTTGTGAAAAAGAAAATATTTACGTTATATTTTCATAAAAATATTCTATAAAGCGCTCGACAATCCAACCCTTGTGGCAGCTATGAATGATTTTAGGGAATCGCTGACTGATGGGTATTGATAGCCAGGAAAAGATGGTAAATATCTTTGCCAATCTTCAAGATACACATCTTTTGCCTTGAAAAGTGATCAATGCATCGTATCATGCATAAAAAATAATTCTATAGATGTTCCATATTATTTTTGACCTTTTCGTCAGCTAGTCAAGACGACACACGATGTCAATTTAAAACAGCAGGTGTGAAGAAAGAAAACCTCATTCTGATCAATTCATTCACAGATAGAATCGAAGCAATAACGTCAACGCCTTCTTAAATATAGCTGACTCATGCGATACTGGTCACGAAAAATTTCCGAAGAGCAGATCGGAAAATGGCAAGCTATCAACCAGGACAGGACTTTAGTTATGAAACATTTACAAACACAAGTCTACCGAATCCTTTCGATTGTTCGGGCAGAGCTGGTCAAGGTACGTGCTCGTCAATGCACTATTCTTACGGTTTCCCTTGCATGCCAACCCAACGCCAGGAGTATTTTTGGACTCCCTGTAAATGTATTGGTGGTAATGAAGACAAGGTAAAACCACCGTATAGTTATATTGCTTTGATTGCCATGGCAGTGGAAAGTCGACCAGATAAGAAAATCACTTTGAATGGTATCTATCAATTCATCGTCGAACGATTTCCGTACTATCGAAAAAATCGTCACGGTTGGCAAAACTCTATAAGACACAACCTCAGTCTGAATGATTGCTTTGTAAAAATACACAGAGACGATAAGAAGTCTGGAAAAGGCAGTTATTGGACCTTGCATCCTGACAGTTATAACATGTTCGAGAACGGCAGCTATTTACGACGAAGAAAAAGATTTAAGAAAAAGAATGCGAGTACAACACAGGCTGCTCGTTCTTCCATGGAGAAAGAAATGAGAGGAACGGAAGAAACTGGAACGTGGGCGCCTGTTTGCTCGAGTCAGGAGAGAACAAGCGTGTTAAATATGTTGCCTCAACATTACATGCATCATGGAGTGAACGGGAACAGTGAAAGCGAGACAACGTTCAATCACAATGCAAATTATCAAATGAGCGGAACAAGTGGAACTTTACAAAGCGTATGTAATAGGCGAGAAGAAAGGCACAATGTTCAGAAATTAGAGCAAAATCCCACAACCAGTTATAACAATAATAACGAGTGGCGCTTTTCTTTCAAGACTAACCAAACAAACAACACTATTGCACCTTTTGAAAGCATCCCTTCACAAGGAAAGACGAAATACTTCCAAAGCTATTCAACCGAGGAGCTGTATCAACATTCTCAGCCGACTAGATCAAGTTGTAGCGTTGTTGCTTCAAGAAATAATGCGATCATGAATGGGCAGTATTTTCCTGTAGAAGCGACGAGGGAACCCAAACGCTTCACAGAGAGATCCGATTCTTTACGGAACGGTTTTCCCATCGTTTCACAGGAGCACAGCTATCGTGAGACTTACTCAAATACAAGATGCTCAACAAGAGGACAGAAACTTTATCAAGTTAATTCACGAACAATAAATGAATGGAATAGTTTCAATCCTCCAGAAGCCATGCACAACCAGCAACAATATGAAAATGATATCTATCCGAGACCAACGTTTACTAATAACCCATCGTGGGTGTGAAAGACGAAATATTTTCGAAATTTTTCATATGGATTTCTTTACATATATTTATCAGGCAATGTATCAAAAAAGCCATTGTTTATGACAAAGAACTCGCTTTTTGATTGTACAAAGTATTGTTTCATCAAAATTGATATTGTAAAATGGCATGTTATTAACGATACAACATCTGTGGAATGAACTTTTGTAGAGTAATATTTTTGGTGTGTGGTTTTGTTATTGTTAAATAAAAGCCCGGGTGATATTTGAACATTGTTCTAAAAACGAGCGCAACAGACTATTGTTTTTTGAGTAAATAAACAACATTTAAGTCTTTGACTTGCAAACTATTAAGTTTTGAAATAACAGCAGTAAAACTTTCTCTATAATCTTCAGTGAGCTGACAAACTTTCCCAATTTCAAGTCAGTGTTCAACTTTAACATCCTATCGATATCATGGGCAGTTAAGAGCCGAGTTTAATAATTTACACGAAGCATCGTCTTTGCTAGAATATCAAGGAATACACCTTGGCATATAGTACGTCATTGTTGCTAATGCGTTGATGTTTGGGGAAACTAACGAAAAACAAAATACCACGAGGGAAGGTTGAAAACTTTCGATACCACCTTAGAATGGCAAAATTATTCATTTTAATAGAAAAGTTCAAACACTTAACAACGTATTGATTTTATCTTCCCAATGAACATCAAAAATGTTTTGCTGAATTCTATACTTGGCAGAGATAGAATCTTGGTTTTTGATTAATAAGAAATTTGACGTCATCAAACCTTTCAACTTGGTTAGGAACCTGGTGTTTTTATTGATTGTCATCAGCGAGGAAAGGAGCCAACGTACGATACTAATTGCCTCTTCCTCGTCATGCAATAACAAAACGTACTCTTTATTCTATATTCATCAAACACTAACATTTGAATGAACTCTAATAGTAATTTGATACTTTTAAGAGTCTTGCTGTAAAGTGCTGTAAAGTTTATTGTATGTATGACTTCTCAAAGACACACTTGCTACAATAATTTCATGCTTTTGTATTGTTCTTCCATGCATGCAACACAAATGAAACACCCCATGTTTATAAATGACACCCACAACAAACAAACGTGTTCCCCTTATAACGTTTATAGAGAAAATACAAAAGCGTTTATTACACCCATATTTCTTCCCTTGTTTTCTTTCTCGCAAAAAAACAAACGAAGTTTATTGACAATTCACAACGCGATTCAACCCAGTTTACGTAATGTGTTATCATAAAACAGTATTTAAATGAGCATAATGCGTTCGGCAGACGACATTGAGCTGAGTTTGTGGGAGGACGAGCGACGGCAAGACAGAAAAAATTATTCCAAAGTCGCTACTTCGAAGAAATATCCCAGAGCAATGGAAGCGCACAGCTTCCATTACATAGTGGAAAATGTGAAATCGTTTAGGAAGCGACGAGATGTGTTTTGAAGATAAATATTGCGTCTACCTTGCAATGAGTCTTTCTTCAGAGTTCAGAGATAGTTCTATGCACGCCATCTTTGCTTCAATGGCATGATGAAATATAACTAAAAGGAATTATTTGAAGACTATACACGATATGATCGTGTGTGTTTCAGTTTCTGTCTCTGAATCCTGTTCCTGAGAAAAATAAGTGTTTTGAATTGGATTACATTTAGGATCTGCACAACTTTTAATTGGATTAATGCACTTTACTTGATTTTTCGTCTTATCTGGTCGTCTTTAGAAATAAGTGGTAAGAATCGTTGAGTATTTTTATTACGTAAAGTATAAGTTTTAACTCAAATAATCAGACACAATTCCATGTGTCTATTCTTCATAGTGAATATATTTCTGTTTTGAACGTTCAACAGTTCATTGTTGATTTCATATTAAATTGAGCATATTTCAAATTTGGATCTGTTGCAGCATAAAAGGATAAAAGTTTCCGGCAAAGTTATAACGCTCCAATTCATTGGAAATTTTCTTTAAAAGTTTAAAACTCGTGTATCAATTTTGAAAAGTGCTATTCAACTTTTTCTACTTTCTAAATGGGAGTCAAATAATAATAACGTTGCTTTTGGGTCAGAGTCGGGTTTTTCACCCCCAGCAACAGCATGGGATTTGCTCTTACTCCAAGTAGATAAAATAAATAATAGCATGAGGTCTTTCATGGAGGTAAATAACGCTCGCCACTTCATGTGAAGAACTAACATCAACTAAATATCGATATACCACTCTTCTTTAACCGTCAATATTTTTCAGAAAACTGGTGATATTTTACGTCAATAACAGAAAGAGAGAGCCAGTAGTTTATGGAAGACTTTCATGTTTTAAAATGTGTATCAACTGTTTCATCTCCTCGCGACTGAGACAGCGTAGAAACCGTGTTCACAATAAGAAACGTTTGTTGATTAGAGCCCTGAAACAAAAATAGCGTTAATTCGTTGCCAACAAGCTGTCAAGGCAGAGGATTAAAACCCAAAGGAGTTAGACAGTTGATTCAACAAATCCGGAACAACGTCGTACTATGATGATCTTAATTTTTAACACTTATTTTTATGCGCTCAGATTTACCATATGATTGCTACCAATGATGCATGGTGGAATGTTTGAGACTCGAACGTTTCTGCTTCTTTAATATCGAAAATAGGCATGCAAATGGTCAATCTATTGTTTCGCATTTAAAAAAATGAAAGTTCGGAAATCGGAAACCACCAAGATGCCAATTTGCTGCGAATTCGATATGCGAACGCTTCCGAAATAGCAGGAATCAATGTATTGTGTAATGAAACAATTTTATTTGACGACAGTGTATGAATTCATTTTAGCCTTTCTAGATGTAAATACCAATTTTTCTAAGGAAAAACTTCGTGTGAACCGTAGACAGAAGACATCATTTCTATAAATAATACACACATATGTTTTGGACAATGGATTTGTATCCCGGATAAGATTATTTGTCTTGTTGAAGACCTCTGATCGAGAAATGCAACATGTACATCATCAACATGTAATCGGATGAAGGCACTAAGAATCGATTGGATTTTCCCATGTTTTGCATTAGACAAATTTTCCTCCACGATGCAGGCCAACAAGAAGATTATATGATTCTGTAACAATAATACCACACGAAATATGCTGCATATAACAATATGGCCAAATAACGTGAAGTAGCAGTAAAAATTGAAACGAACCTCTCTTTTAATCAAAGGTTAAAGTAGTAGCAAATTTAAATGAAATATATGGCGAAGTAATTACTTTATATCTGCACCGAAGCTGACAGAGCAATCAATACAGCACTGTTGAAGGAAATCTCTAAATTATTGTTCGCATTGACAGGAAAACCCATATTTTTTAATTTTCACGTCTCTTTCGGTTCATATCATCAGGTATTTTGCAAAAACTCATTTCTTGACGTTCAAACAAGCATATGTCAAAAATGCGCTTCTTATTAAAACTAAGCTGCTGTTATTCAACTTACGCAAGGTATGACTTCTCACTACTACGTCGTTTAGGTAATTGTAATAAAGACAAAGTCATGGGGTTATATAGAATGATAAAAGGTAACAGTTTACTAAATTTCAAAGCATTATCATCTGTTTAAACGATGGTGCTTTCTGGCGACAGTGACGACACGCGTGTTGGGTGGCCTGTAAATATTACGAAATTGATTTCCTGCGCATGTCAGTACGTCATCTTTCACTTTTCATATGATTCAGGGAAATTATGCTGATGCCTATGCCATCAGCTTCTTGTGTGACAAAAGACTCGTTCGAGCATGTTCATACATGCAATTTCTTTGCAAAATCTTCTCCAGATATTTTGCGTGTGTAGCTACAACAAAAATAGTCCGTATATCAGCTCACATTCATGGCTTACCGCAAAGCAATGAGCTGAGAGCTAAGTCACCAAGTGCAAATACATAATAGCCTTGTTTGCAAGATAAAAAGTACAGGAAATTACTACTCTTTAACAAAATCCCCAATTCGTTGATGCCCTTTTTTGTCCACTTTTTGTCATTTTTGGCCGTTCACCAAGTGTTATGGTTGATTCAGCGCAGGTAAGCGTATAGCAATGACCAGCTATCGACTTGATAAGAGCAATATGATGGCTGTTTTGAGCAAAATTTCACAGCATACTTGGCATGCTGGCACTTCAATCTTAACATTTGTACAAACACTTGTCGGAGACGTCTATACCGCCGACTTGTCTCAACTGGCATTTGTCTAACTCCCGGTTATATATACAAAATAACGTTCTTTGAATGTCTACCATTCGATTTAGAAATGCACGATGTTTTAAAGTCATATCCAGTGCGCTAAATAAAACAAGAGAATCGAATGAAGTGAAACGTATGTCTTGGAAAAATCATTATTAAATTTTTTTGGTAACCTTGCTCGAATCAAAATATCGATAAAGAATTGAATGTTTGCTGACGTCGCAGCAAACAGTTTATAAAATAGCGATGCAATTAAAGGGCGTTTAAGCTGAGTCAAGTACAAGTGTATAAAATAGGAAAAATATTCATGACATATTAAAGTTGTGTAATCAGCTTTGACTCATCAACTGTAGCTTGACCTTCATTTCCTACGCTTATTAGCCACGCAAAGAAGGCCACGCGAGTCAATGGAAAAGTGCTCTCAAAGTCTCTCGGTTGTATTCAAGCGAATACCATACGAAAGCAGACACCTCCTGGAGTTCGATGAAAATTGCCAAGTTGTTATTTTTGAAAATCGTTCTAAGTACAATTCAAAATAAACCGTACGTCGACTTTCTATATACGTTTACGCTTGAGGCACTAATTCGAAGACATTTCATATTTCAGTAAAAAAACATATCGCCTGTAAGTAATTAGAGTTTGATCACTTTTCTGTGCGTTCCATTACAGTTCACTACGTATTGTTCTTCTTTAAAGAAAGGAGAAAGGCCTTCGTTACTTATAAAATTTCTTTAACACAGTGGGGTTCGACAAATACCCAGTGTCTGCTGGGCGTTTAATATTCTTACTCAGCTTAGTATTAGCGGTCTCCCACGTAGCGTTGTACATGGCTGAGGTAAATTCATGCGATGTTTTTGAGCATTGATGATATAACGAAGGGAGTGTACGAAACCATGCACGGAATGTCATAAAAAATGATATGTATTTCTTGAACAAGAAGCTGTTTTTTCAAGAAGTATTGCTTACACACGCAAGTTTATTTAATGCATTATCTTAAAAACAAACACCAGCACAATTTCTTCGAATTAAAAAAAAGCGAGGAAAAACACAGCTAGAATTGCGAAGTGCAAAAGCGACAAGTGTAATTTCTTGACAGACCTTCCAACTCGCCTCCATCGTTAGTTTACCACACATACGAAATTCAACACAATTTGACATAATTCTTCCGGGTGTTTCGGAAATGAATATTTAGCGTCATGCAATGATGTTTTCCGCGAAGAACAAAGCTTTATTGAAGTTCTTCATAACAATAGAAAAGCGAACACCGTTGATATTCGCATGGACGCACTCAGGAAGGAACACCATAGCTCGCTAGGATTTAAATTAATTTGCTCTGTTTCATAATCATGTTGCCCAGGGAGTGTTTGAATGATTAAACATTCATAACACCATTACAAATGCAAGAGCTTCAATAGTGTCCCCGGAGATAACTCGAGATCAATGAAAATCTCTTTTTTGTAATATACGTTGCTATACAGTCGACCAATCAAACAAATAAGATAGGAAAATGTTAGTAATGTTGCTAAGATTTAAATAAGCTTCTAACATATACACAATTTGTCAGACAACAAAATAAAAGAAAAATGGCGAACTTTAGTGCGTGCGTACTAAAGCGAGCAACGTTTTGAAACATTTCCTTCGTTTGCAAAACGAAGACTTCCATCTTTATACAAGCAAGCGACAAGTAAATTTTAGAATCATGTAGGTTCAACTTTTATCAAATTTAAGGATACTTAATGAAAAACAGATAATATTTTCGAATAAAAATAAAAACTCTGCTCGGTTTCATTGACATCACGTTTCACCCTCTCGCTGACTACAGCAGTTATGTTCATCAGCATAGTTTACGCGACGCGCGCGATGCCGAAAAATATTGATTGGTAATATCCAGGAAATATCTACGATGAAAGAAAAAATTTAAGGGAAACAAGGCAAAATACGTTGTTCCTCAGTGTCTACGAGGTGGCTTCGTTCTTGCCGCTAAATATGGATCAATTCTCATGTCCTGTGTCGTTGCATTTCATACCAACTGTGCGCTGTTATGATCAATTTCCTCTGGCACAGCATACTAAAATTCATGCTTTAAAATTTACTGACCGCAGCATCATCCGTGGGAAATATATGATCGAATAAACGAATATTGAAATCGCGCCTAGTCGTAAAATGCACAATGATTGTTTTTGACGCGGCGTTTATTGTGTGAAATCTTTTATCAAGAGCTGTGGTACCAAGAAGACATTTTCTTTTCACACGAATTCTGAAGGTTTTTTTTAATCTGGCATAAACAAAACTAATTTTCTCATATCAAGAATCTATCGACAAAAAGTTTACATTGAAATTTAAATACCTATGTCAAATAAAGTTTGAAAGATTATTTACAGAAAAAACCAAACCAGCAGCACTGGATTCTAGATGCTGTCAAATCTAGCCAGCGCACGATATTTAAATATTGTTCTGTGGTTTTGCCATAGTATGCGCAAGCCATGTCAGACTAAGATCACTAAACTAACTCGTTTATCTAAAGAATCCTAACATTTTGACTAGAATGAATGAAAATTTCACCAGTTATTGTTTGATTGATAAAAACCAGCGTGGACATTCGCCGCGAAATGATTTTGATTCGAGTTCATCAAATGTTCTTGGTTTGGTTGAATAGGGAGTCTTTGAGACTCAAACATTTCACGGACGTTTAAAGGAAATGACGAATTTTCAACAGTCGTCTCTGTGTTAGCATATGAAGGACTCTGCTCGCGCATATACCAAGCATTTGTATTGTTGAGTTGAGGATTGTTGCTGGATCGCGGTGGAAACTGTTCAACGTACGGATCATGGGTTGTGTACGGCGCTGAAATATAACCACCGTGTCTAGAGACAGTCGCTTCGCTTTGCAAATGTGTCGAATGCATGGAAACAGATTGTTGAATGTAGTTATTAACGGGGTAGGTATCTTGGATAGAGTGTTGTGTATAATCACACTGTGCTGCCGTATAGTTGCTTTTCTCGTTCATTTCATGTTGGTGTGCATGATAGGCGACCGCTGTTGGATAATTATATGATGGAGTTGGAAAATTGAATTCCGAATAAGCATTATTGGCTATAGAGCACGAAGGATTAAGAGCGCTCTCTTCAGCAGGAGACGAACTATTTGAAGGAGGGCTTTCTATCTTTGGACTTTTCATCACAGACGAAGTCATTTCATTTTGACTGAAGTCCTGATTTTTCATACACGATGGCTTTGCTTCCTTACACTCATTTTCGCGATTTTCCTCACTGTCTAAACTTTCGTTCGACTGAGTGCTGGCGGCTCGCTCGACTTTTTGTTTTTTCTCGTCCTCTTCTTTCTTTGCCTTGCGTTTGAATCGTTTTCTGCGTCGAAGGTAGCTGCCATTCTCGAACATGTTGTAGCTGTCGGGATCCAGTGTCCAATAACTGCCTTTACCCGGCTTTTTGTCGTCTCGCGGAACTTTAACAAAACATTCATTAAGACTGAGATTGTGTCGGATCGAATTTTGCCAACCTTGTTTGTTGTCACGATAATAAGGGAATCTGTCCATTATCCATTGATAGATTCCTGACAAAGTGATCCTTTTGTCCGGCTGATTCTGAATGGCCATCGCTATCAATGCAATGTAACTATACGGTGGCTTTACCATATCCTTGGACGTTGCAGCGGCTCGAACTAAACCTGGGTTGTATTGGTAATGCTCAGGTCTATACTGAGACGTCGGATACGACATGGAATAATGCATGGTCGAATATGGATGGCTGCCATGATGATAGAAATCATAACTTTGGTAGTGCCCCATCATGCCAGCATTCGACTGATTAGTTGAGTAAGGATACATTGTGACCATTTCTATCACATCAACTCTTAACTGCTCAACTCGCTGAAATATATGTCACGCGTACTAGAAGAACACAAGCACATCTGATTGAATTACATTGTTTTCATCAAGCTATTGTTAATGCAATTAGCTACGAACCAATGAGCATCGACCTCCTACGGTAGTCGACCACACACGTCCTCTCTAGACAATTTTCAGCGTAATTCTTCACTTTCAGCCTGTCATCAATTAAAGACCTGTCAACACCTGCATCATGATATCCCACCACCAACAAAACTCTTCCGCGAGCTCCAAATCCACTGCACACATCATTGCATTACATCGAGCTCCACTACGCATGTGTGAAAACGGAACCTTCAGTATGCAAGCTTGCATATTTTGCGTCTTTATGTTTGCGTGAGATTGTCGTATGGTATCCAGCAATGCATCATGGGGTTTTCACTTCACGCTTCTGGTTTCTTTCATGGGTATCTAATTCAGTCTTTAAAACTAAAAAAACCTTCTTTACCATTATTATCCTAAGTTTAACATTTTTACCCCAATTAACACCCGTTGTAATCCACAAAACACATTTTCACATCCCGTATAAAGAGGTCATTTGTGTGCTACGGTGTCCAGCAGGAGAAAGTCATTATTCATTGCATCAGTGTATAACCTTCGCAACGGCATCAAACATTGTGTCAATCGTACTCTTTCTGATGATAAATGCAAAAGATGATAAAGTAACCAAATTTCATCTTCAAATAATATCTTCGTTTGAAAATTTATCATTCACTCTGAACATGTTTTAGGTTAAAGACAAAACAGCAAATCGATGATAAATTCAATTTAAATACATCCCTATTTTTAAAAGAGTTTTTTTGTATTTTAGCTACAGCTCAAGTTTTTTAAGAGGATGACTCACAAGTATTTCTTTATATGATATAACTCAGCTATCAACACATTATTCTTTTTTGAGAAACTCGTGACAAACATGGGAACACTATAAGTTCAAGACAAACAGTGTTATCAAATGAAAAGTCACAAGTCAGTCCGTTTTTATTAGTTAACGAAATCCCAAATTGCTCCTTTTTTGCAGTGAAACTTTATTAATAGAGCAACATTCGCTTCGCAGCAGACCTGATAAAGTGTCTAGTGATAATCTACAGGCGAAGATAATTAGCATATATTGCATCATTAGTAGCCAAATCTAAATGATGTTTAAATAAGTTGAAGACTGGCTATAAAGAAACTTTTCCTCGTTGTGTGTACGAATTTAGTAAAAATTTCTCGTTTTAATAAAGAAAGATATTAGGAAACCGCCGACGAGTAATCAATCAAAAGCTACAAGATAAGCAAAGAAGTCTATATCCTGCGCGGCATCGTCGTTGCATGATTGTTGGAGCTCACCGACAAAGGAGAGATGTCACAGCTTTATCTGTTGGAGCGCGCGCGGCTAAGACAGACCATGACATTTGATTACGGAACGCAAAAATTCTTACTCGGACACTCCGCTTGTCAACATTATGTTTACAAATTCATAAAGGCCATTAGTGACGTTTTAAATATAGCGAGGCGCATGAAACAAAAGCAAGAGACCGCCCTCCGACGAGATCAAAACTCGGCGAGATTTTCGCCATCGAGCGATCGAACGGGACTCAGAGATGATAAAAAAAATTCGCACGCGTTTCGCCTTTTAATTTTAAACTGCTATCCATTGAAAATCCGCGTGAAAAGCTGATAAGAAATTTAGGCTTAATGAAGAAAGGTGTTAAATTTCAAGTGACAAGTGTGTAATTATTGTTGATGACAAATTTTACTGAACGAAAACGTTTTATCTTACATAAAAAACCTCACACGAGAATCTTTGATCGATGAACACCTTTTAACATCGTAAACGACGTTATAACAAGATTAAAGTATTCTAGTGTTTAGTGGTTGTTCATAAACATAACAAACATATTCGAGTAATGTGATACAAAACGTATCGATTTCGTCTAAAATTTAACAGCTCAAGGGGAAGAGATAGCGCGAATAACGACCATTACATTTTAATTGCCCTGACATTTTCGTTGCATCACTTAAATCAGGACATAGACATTGAATATTAATGCATTTTTTTTGGCGAGATTTCCATGTAAACGTAAGTCTTCAACAAAAATGATTGGCGGGCGCAACAAATCCAATCAATGTACTCATCGAGTGCTTTATATTCCATTCATAAACAAATGCCATCGCTTACTCACACGTATTGAAGATGGCGAAGTTTTCGCTGTCTATCAAAACCAAATAGCCACGATTTCAGCCACTTGTGCGCCATGAAAAAGCTTCAAGTCCCTCAAAGTCTGAAAGAAAACAAATTTGATGGCATATATCCTCAAAACCGTTTTTCATTTCCTGTTTCAACGTCAAAATTTTCTTTCTTCAAGAATATTTCGCCAAAATTTCTTCTTCATCTTCCAGCAAGAACAGCTCATGTTCCCGCCATAATGCACGTATTGTCAGGCTCGTGACCAATCAAAACAGGTTAACGAGGCTAACTAACGACGCAGGGGAAAATAGGTATACGGGGGTACAAAATCCGATGAGAAGAGCAACTTACGTAAATGGTAAAACATCCATAAACAAATCAATTTTGATTTGAGCCGGGAAATACAAGCTTCTCTTTCTTACATACAATGAAAACAGCTACAAGAAGCAAATCTTCTATTACTCTAATACCATATTGACATTGTAGTTGTTGTAACGCAACTTTGTCTTGTTTTCATTCCAAATAGAAGCACTTAATGCAAGAATTAAACCGTACTAGAACACACAAACACACGTTATTAAACATAATCCAGTTTGCTGCATTAAAACTCTACAAGAGAATATCAACGAACAACCAGACTCGCCTATAAATTAATTATGATGATTTGCCAGGGCATGTAGTGTATACTCCAACCATCAACATTCATTTGAAAAGTGATACATTTGACGCTATACAAAATATCGAAGCTGATATGTTTCAGGTAGCACAAAGATATACTCATAGTGTAGAAATGATGAGTACAATAGATTATGCTGGGCAGTACTTAATACGGACATGCCAAAGACATTAAAATTTCCTTATCATTTTAAAGATGGCTAATGCACTTATGACTTTAGCAAATAGCAATAGATGACCTTTGAAGTCTGCTCAGCATCACTATTTCTATATATACCTAAATCTTTATAATTCATATCGCAATCGTTCTGATAATCTCGAAAAGTTGAAATCAAAAGAGTACAAGAAATTCAACGCTAAGTATTATGATAGTTTCAGGACAATTAAGACTTCAATCAGGGTGACCACCACATTTTGACCTGTAATATCCTTGCTTCCCTCGAAGAAAACCTTTAGGAGGGGCTAAAATATGTATAACAAGCTTTGACGTAAAGCGACAAGTCTTTATTCAGGAAAGGTAGAGCATAAAAGTCTCAGGAATAGCACAAACTGTCATGATCCTAAAATCATGTGGACACACAACGACCATGCAAATACATATGTTTTACATAGAAATTCCGGTAAGTCAGAACACACATGTTTAATAAGCATTTACGAACTTTAGACCACCCAAGAAAATTTCTCTATTTTTTTGGCCGAAGTGGCTAAAGTATATAGCTGCAGGAAAAGATAGTCCTATGTTGATTAGTATTTAGTATTAGGAAACTTTAAATTGAAGAAGCGTATGTTGAGAAGCGTATGTTGAGAAGCTATCAGCAACAATGTAAATACTTTGTATTGAAGTTATTTTGAAAGACTTTATACCGGACAGATGAAAAAGAATAGACAACACTTGAAATTGTTTTAAGTGATAAAAGACAAAATGATACCAAATGATACTATCAAATGACCCAGATAAATCAATCCAGTTTCACTATAACTCAGTGACAGTGTTAGATATAAGCATTGAACCAAAATACATGGAACGCTACCTGTAATAGAATAGTCTAATAATTTCTTGAAGCCAACTCTTACACCCAGACGCACGAGATTACACCCAGTCACGCGTGTGTGGTCAATCAATTTCCATCCTGCGAGAGAAACTCGAAAGAAACTCGAAACACCACACACGCGAGTCGGGGTGTAATCTCGCGTGTCTGGGAATAAGATTTGGCTTCAATTATTTGCTACAGGTAGCGTTCCATGTATTGTATTTTAGTTCAATGGATATAAGCGAAGCACCAACAATCAGCAGGAGAGCAAAGCCGATACGCAAAATGACATAAAGAAGGATTCCCTCTTTAAATCAAATCTCTCTACACTTTTCGGTTCATTTGCCTTTATACGAAAAGTACGTATAAAGAATTAAAATTTGTCCGACATTTCTGCAATATAGAAATCTTCCAGGGCGAATTTCTTAATTGGTTAAATAACCTTCTGAACTCAACTGAACATTGCCATTCAAATTTTGATCAACATTGCCAGGAGCAATGCGATTCAAAGGAAAAACACCGGCAGTATAAGTCATTATGATAAACATACTAGACAATGGTTTGTTCGAAAGGAAATGATTTTCAAGCCGACAAAATGGCATAACGTAACAGGAAGTACATTGACTGAATACCTTTATGAAAGTTCAAAACGTACGGTAAACAATAAAAACAAAACAACGACTCCAGACGTTGAAATGAAAACTGGTAGAAGAATGTCTTTCGTGATTTGCCGCCGTGAGCAGAACGGCTTCAAAATGTGTTTATTGCAAATTTTACGTTAATGGCTAATAGAAAATGTTTACAATAGTTATACAGAAGCTAAACAAAAACTTTGGCCTAGAAATAATTTCCATATTACAAAGTTGTATAAGTTCAGCGGAATCTCATTTTCCCTGCTCATGTTGATTAAAAATATGTGTACCTTAGGGTGCTTTTGTTTATGTTTTATTCATTCCTCTACCTCCTGATTATCAACCACAGCTGCTGCTAAACCGGGGCGTTGTGCTAAGGGTAATTTCTGTTTCACAACCTGAAAAAACGTGGTGAACATGAATTAATCAAACGTCGCAATTTATATGAACATAACACTAACATTTAACATCTTGCAGGAATGGACAAAAGTGTTGGAAGCATACATGCGGGGAGTGTACACTGTGTGTGAATCATTAGTTCCCATTCCACTCTCTCTCAGCCATCCCACCATAAGACGCGTGCATGTAGTGAATTATCAAATATACCTGAAGAAGTCGAGCAGTATACTCTTCTTCCTCTTCATTTCGCCGCATTTCAGGTACTTCCACATAATTGCGACGGAAAACAATCGCAATCTCATCGTGTGTCATCTTTTCTGCAGGATCTACGCCATTTTTATTAATCAAATCAACTAAATATTCCTTGTAATGCTTCCTGAAAACAAAACAACAAGAATATATGTTAATACATACAAAACGTTTCGCATGATAACGCTGACCGTCTTACAAGCATAAACCATTATGTCCAGGTTCACAATTGAGACCGCACGCAACATCTTCCATCCCTTCATTCGTCTGTAGCATCACTTTACATTTGATTACTGCTTCAGCATTTTCATCGTCGCCTGATCGTTAGATAAAGAAACGTTAGCACATTTCACAAAGATTAGGAGCATTTACAGAACATACCTGGCATGGGTAATCTTCGCATCTCTGCTCGGAAATCCACCTGACTTCCTTCAAGTAGTTCTTCTAATCTAACCGCTTCCCAGTCCCTTAGGAAGAATAGACAATCACGCGGGTGGTGCGCGTGGATGCCACGATTTGCACATTCTGGTGAAACGTCACAGTTCTGAGATTGGAATAAAAATCATGAGAATGACAAGAAAAAAAGTTATATAAAAAGAAGAAAAACATTGCTTACGCCGCCATGTTTGAATGGATTGTTACAACCGCTACAGAACTCGTGGCCACATTGAGCACATTTGAAATGCATGCATCCACCACGTGCAAGATCATACCGAAACTTACAATTCGGACACTCTACAACAAACAGTTCAACATTAACTATATAGCAAAAGTTGACATCCCAATATAAGCAAAAACAAACCGATGCCGTTGCGGGCAAGGTAGCCCGCAAGTCCCTCCATCTGATACTCTTCGTCATTCTCTTCTTTCCATCGAGCAAACTGCTCACACGTGATTCCATCGTGTTGATCCTCCCACTAAAGAGTGATTGAAGAAATAAACAACTTCATCATAAAAACTTCATCATAAACGTCAAATATAACTTCGTTATAGTAACGACGCCATCACACTACGTCATAATAGACTACGTTTAATACAATGTCAATATTGGCTTACTGGCTTTCCGCAGCCAAAACATGTAAATTTTAGACAATGAGGACATTGCATTTTGTTGATCATAGGAACATCGTTGATAAAGCCACAGGAACACTAAAGGTAAACCATAATTTAGTACAGGAACATTTGATCATCTTAAGTTTATGTCTGGTACAAAACTGGCTTGCATCTCATGTAGTCTTAGGCTACTAGTTATGTAAATTAGAATTAGCACATTAGGGAAAGCCTCATTTCCGGTTAAATAGGGTGATTTGATTGTCTGAAAAACAATTTTGAAACGTCCATTACTTTCCTGTAATGGACCGGCGATCTAATACGGGTAACTCTTCGACTAAATGTAAACAAATTTCGTTAAGAATAAGCAAAAGTTCTGCAAAACGCAAAAATGTATGAGTCGGAAGATAAATACAGGGAAAGTAAGTTCTATTATCCAGACGACACATTATTAGATTACTTATATCTTACTAACGAAAGCCAAAAGAGTTTCACTTCAACAATTGCAAAACAGCGAGGACGAGAAAGAAAGAAAGCTTTGTTTCAGGTCAAACAATGCCATACACTAAACCGTTTATTAACTTCACTTGCTCGGTCTTTACTGAGAAAAATAGGACCTCTATCTTTTATAAAAAATGTACCTACGGGCTTCGTCTGTACAAAAACACCGACCTTACTCAGTAAACGGATCTCACGTTTGATTAATACGAGCTTAATACAAGCAAAGAGCCATGTTGTAATTTTTCTTGATTTTAACACAGGCACTTTTTCAACAAACTTAAGATTCACGAAGGTCTCCCACTCTATCATATCTAAAAGTAACTCTTGAACGAATAGGAAGAAAATGCACGACTTTGATCCTACAAATCTAGCTTGGAGAACTCTCGTACATATAATAACAAGATAAAAAAGAATCTTTACCGTTAACAAATGATTGCGAGGGTAAGGATTTATTTCGGTCTAAAAGCTCACTCACTCATAATTATTGTCATTAATTAATTAATTAATTAATTAACTAATTAGCTGTCATTATTAATTAGGTGCCACAATTTTTCGAAGATGTTATTTTCACTCCACTGATTGCATAATTTGATATACTTCAGCAAAAATCTTGCTATTTCTGGAGAAACAACTTTGCAAACGATGACAGAAAGCATGATTTGCACTCAGTAAGTGTGACTGTGAGCGAGCTTTCAGAAAACAGGCATATGTCTACCTTGAAAAGGCCTCATATAGCTGTATTCATTCATAAAATAGCCTTTTAAAACACGGGCAGTGATTGGTTGAATGCTCGAAAATCCTATGTTTCTATAACTCAAATAAATCACGGCAATTTTAGTCTCGCAAGAATCTCGCAGGTTGCGTGGTTTGCGCGGGGGATTTGAAAAGCAAAAACAAAAATACAATAAGTCATCAAAATTGATAAATTCGTCTCTTTAAAATTGTTTTTAAACGCTATTTTGTAAAGGAAATAGAAAATATATATACTTGTTCCTATTGAGTTATAGAAACACTTGTGAAAGTTTGGTAGAAATTCAAAATTATTTGGAAACACTCGCAATTCCTGCCGTTCGTGTACCATGAACGTTATCTAAAAACTGGAAACCACGACAAGTGTGACGTATATTTGACAGCTTTTCAATATAATCAGCGTCTTTCGTGGGAGATTTAGCCGGTGAAACTTTGACACGCTCATCACCAAAAAATGGTAAAACATGAACTAAAATACCCCTTTCTTTGTGTGGAAAATTGCTACAGCCAGCTAACATGCACCTTTTTGCGTAATTGCTTTAAAATACAAAGAGAAAAGCGCTTTCACCAACTATCTGTTATTTAAACACATGCTTGTAGATGTGAACAGCTTACCCTATCTACGTCACGCTAGTTCCAGGCTCTCAAACACGCCGTGGAACAAAACGGCATCAAAAATTGAACTTAAATGACAAGTTTAAACCTCCATAAAAAGGTAAATAGTCCATAAAAAGGTAAATAGAATTTTTTTTTCTTTTTACAATCACACCACGCAATAAAATTTGCTTAAATGAAAGAAAACACGAAGATCATAGTTTCACTTTAAAAATTGTAGTTTTAACTTACATATGAACACCATCGAAAGTTCTCGTCTTTCATTAACGTTTTGTCGCGGAGTTTCTTTTGGAATAAATCATGAGTTTCTTCATCAACTAACTCACGCAACTAGGAAAAAAAAACACGATAAATAATCATTTTATTTGATGTTAGGTCACAACAAGCCTGAAGATAATGTGACAAGAACACAGCAATATGTAACCAAAAACATTCTTACAGAATTCGCGGGTGTGTATGTACGAAAATCGATAATTGTGACTCGTATTCAAATATGCATTATATGCATGCACGGTCAAGTTCCTTTGAAAACAATTGTTTTACGTAGATTATGAATGTATGAATGAATTTGAGCCTCCCTCCTAATAGCTCACGTAGCTAATATTGAGCTTCTTACACCCATGACTTAAGTAAACTCACCAAAATATCCAATTGATTAAAATATTCCGCTGCTACCATTTCATTACTGAGGTCAGGTTCATCACATACAGGACAGGTAAGTTGATGAATCTGTTTTTCCTTTATCGTGATCGTAAAGTAATTTTTCAGACATGATCTACAAATTTTATCTTGACAGCTAAGAGATGGCAATATCTAAAAGGAATGGACGTCAAATCTTATTGATAGCAGAAAAGGAAGACAGAAGATGGCTCATAAATTAACTACTTCTCTCATTGGAAAGGTGTCAAAACAGATCTGGCATTCTTGGGCGAGGTATTTCAACGATCGCGGCAAATCCCCAAATGCTTTAGCAGCTTCGACAGAATCCTCCACCCCGTACCCCATGTCGACGAGTCGAATTGCAGTTTCTGCTCGGCCCCAGGATCGCATTCTAAACTCGGTTAACACTATTCTTGTCCGGCGCTACACGAAACAAAATAAGCTAAAACATTGAAATCGTTCAAGATACACACCAAAGAATTTGGCCATATACGTACACAACAACGAACATTATAATATCTTAAGTTGTTGTAGAAAGAGATAAAAAGTTATTTAAGAAATTTTAATCATGTCCAGAACATAACCTGTACGAATTTCTTCCTATGTGCAAACAAAAAATTATAAGACATAGAGAAGACCATGTTATTCAACCTCAAATTAATACAGAGCGATTCAAGCGATCCTTCATCAACAGAGGCCTTTTAGACTATTTTAAACTGTGCATAGAAAATTTTGTAATTAAATTTGAGTGATAAAACTATTGTATTTATAGCATAATTGATTAGATACATAGTTTTTACTGCAGCATTATACATTGTAAAGTTGTGCGTTTGAAGCAATTTCGACCTTTGAAGACTGAAATAACGCTAATAATAATTTTCATATTTCAAACTGAGGTGCGGGCTCAAATGACTGGTGCAGTTGTGCCAGTGGTCAAACATTTATCAAGAAAACTGATTGGACATTACCTCTACGCTTGTATCCTTATCCTGAACAATGTCGTAAAGCACGCAAACTGAAGTATTCTGGCGAGTCGAAACGCGGTTTACAAATGGTTCCATGGCTCTAGCTTGCAACTCGAACAGCGCCTTGTCTAAGTTCCCATGATTCCTATCGAGGGCGAGTAAACAATCTGTTCTACAAAAGCTTGATAGCTCACTCATCTTAACGAGCTGAAAGAAAGTGACATGAACAATAACAAACATGTTTTTAGTTGATCTAACAACAATACCGTAATAACTCAACGTTAAAGGGTTTGTTGTGGTGGTGGTTGTAGTGGTTGTGGTTGTGATGGTGGTGGTGGTTGTGGTGGTAGTGGTGGTTGTAGTAGTTGTGGTTGTGATGGTGGTTGTAGTTGTGGTTGTGGAGGTTGTGGAGGTAGTGGTGGTTGTGATGGTGGGGGTGTTGGTAGTTGTGGTTGTGATGGTTGTTGTGGTGGTGGTGGTTGTGGAGGTAGTGGTGGTTGTGGTGGTGGTTGTAGTGGTGGTTGTTGTGGTGGTGGTTGTGATGGTGGTTGTGGTGGTTGTAGTGGTGGTGGTTGTGATGGTGGTTGTGGTTGTGGTGGTTGTGAAGGTAGTGGTGGTTGTGATGGTGGTTGTGGTGGTGGTGGTTGTGGTGGTTGTGGTGGTTGTAGTGGTGGTGGTTGTGATGGTGGTTGTGGTTGTGGTGGTTGTGAAGGTAGTGGTGGTTGTGATGGTGGTTGTGGTTGTGGTTGTGGTGGTTGTGAAGGTAGTGGTGGTTGTGATGGTGGTTGTGATGGTGGTTGTGATGGTGGTGGTGGTGGTGGGGGGGAGTAGTTCTCAAATACTTGTCACACGTCCATAGCAACATATTTTAGAGAACTGATAAATTTATGAAGAGTAGCCACTTGGAGATTTATGCCATACAATATATATAATAATATTTCAACGACTGACTTAAAAATGTAAATATTTTTTATGAAGATGGGTATATGAATACTTAACTTGTTTTAAACAAACGATGCGAGTTCAAACGCAACAAGACGAGAAAAACTTTGAGTAGGTTATTAAATGGCGGCGTTTATTCGAGGCGTGATTGCAGGGATGGACTTAGGTAAGGGGTGCAAAGGGGTACACACTACTTCTACCCTTGGCTAGATGGGTGTAAGAGTGTTGCCAATTTCCCTACATTACTAGTATAATAATTAATTAAACAAAAGCATTTGGGATTAGCACACAAGGAAGCATACTAAAAAAGGCAACAGAATGTAACAAAAAAGCCTGAAATGCTACGTCAACAAGTAGCGACAGAAATCTAATCAAAAACAGAGCACTCCCCCCTCTATTAAACTATCATGTTTCCATGGACATAGGAAGATCGATAATATTCATACAGGGAGCTTATATTCATATATACGTATGATACACAGTATTAATTCTTTGGAAATTATTCGTTTTCAAAGAATTATAACATGCATATATGCATATGAGCACTCCCCCACCCCCCAATTATAAATCTTCCTACGCCTATGCCTGTTTATTTGATGGAAGGGATTAAAAAAATTAACTCTGAAATTTTGCAAGGATCAATTATAGATCAAACCTTCTCTCGTCTTGATTCAATGCAAGATTTACAAGCGCTCTCGACACTTCCACTATTTTCCAACAATCCTTCTTTTGCTTCATCGACACTAAGATTTCCAATATAATCATTCTCGTTCCTGGTCTGCTGTGTAACTTTGCCAACGACTTCAGCAATGAGTGCTGGCCATTCATCCTTCAACCATTGGACAGGAGAACGACCTTTAGTGTCGCGCCAGTTTATGTTATTGGCAAGGTTGAGTTCCTCGGGAGTAAAGCCAAGTTGCTCGGCTTCCTTAACAAAACAAATTGAAATAAACTTATTTTAAAACCTTTATTATTAAAAAAAAAAAGGTGTATTTTACTTAGGATGCTTTAAATCTAAGAAAAGAACAAAATACTCAAGTAAAACTATATACAACTTGGGGAATTACTGAAACCAACGATAATACGTATCCGTAGATTTTAATATTCTTCACAGCTCAATCCACGGTTTATCTGAATGGCTCTAGTTGGAAGACCAGAATTTAGCGATAACGTACTCAATAACGTAGACAATAACGTAGTCCAAAAGCTCCAAGAAGGAAGCCAAGGTTAAGTAACATTACGCTTTTTATTTAAATTAAATCTCATGAAAAAACTTGATCCTTTCAAAGAAAAACGGGATCTATCGATAATATTGTTATTACTATAATTCTTACTGTCATTATGATGATGATTAGGAGGCATTAACACTTACTTTAATCCATTCAACATAAACTTTGCTTTGAGAATCAATATAATTTTCTTTCGCAAGGTCTTCAAAAGGAATTTTTGAATTCTGAAACAAAAATTACAAGAAAATATAATCTAAATAATCGTTTTTCAATACTAAACTTCCATCAAATGCAAACAAACCAAAACGGTTGAAAAATTCTCCTTCTTTCCAGAATGGGAGGGATCCTTGGAAGAGAAGAGAGAGCGTTTATTATAGAAGTCATGAGGGACTGGAGTCTGGCAAGCTACGTTAAAGATTTGATACGCAGATTTTTCTTCTTTCTCCTTTAACACGGGATTTTCTTCATCGGACTGTAAGAGAGCAAATTCTTTAAACATCTGTTGAATGTCAGCAGTAGGAGGAGGAGGAGGTTCATGAGGTGGTGAGGAGTACATACCCCTACTACCTGACTGAACATCAGCATTATGACGAGATTCGAGTGGTTTTCTATAGTTTATACCCCCAGCATATGTCTGCATGTAGTTAAGAGATCACTCCAGCTTGGTAAAGTGCATTGAGGTCATCTTGATTAGTTGGAGAATCCAAATTGCCTTGACCGAAAAGGAATTTCGTTTGTTGATTTAAATTTGACGATGGTGACAACCACGGCTGACTGCTGCTATGGTTCTCGAAAGGAAGTTGATTATTTTCATCATGAAATACTCCTGTCTCCAACATTTGCTTTAACTCGTCGTCTGTCAAACCGATCTCATCCTCGTTTGCTTCGTCTGATCTCCGTATTTCAAGAACAGGTTCAACTTGTTGCGACTATATCAAAACAAGATCATATGCTAAAAAGTGATGATGTACTCTTCTATAGGAGCAAAATATGACGTCACAACCGAACCTTTTTTCTCTGTTCTAGTTCTCTCTGCGCCTTCTCGTGGTTTGTAACGTCATTCTGGTCGATCACACCAGATTTCAATAGCTGGGTCAACTGATCTTGATCTGAACCAACACCCGGTTTTGAAAAACCATGGGAAATATTGAGCACGCCGGGATGGAATGCTCCGCCATAATAATGCTCCTTTAAGAGATTGGGATCATAGTCGGCAACATGACTACGATAGCTTTGCTTTCCAGAATATAATTCCCCTCCTGGATAGTGCTTCCTTCCAGGATAATTTTCACCTCCTGAATAGTGCTCCCTTCCAGGATAATTTTCCCCTCCTGAATAGTGCTCCCTTCCAAGATAATTTTCCCCTCCATGATATTCGTACAATTCTTTCATACGTTTTCTTTGTTTGACGATAGTATTCAATTCTTCCGAACTCTGAATCGTGTAAGTTTCATCTTTGGTTATCACTCCCTCTGAGAAAAATTTTTGCTTTTCCAAGTCAAATATTTTCGCCTTTTCTTTCTCTGACAACTGCTGTTCTCTCTGTTTCACGGCATCAATTATCTTTGGGGAGTACATACTCTGAGTCATTTGCCGTGGGGGTAAAGGAGGAGGCACGTTTCCCACGTGACGAGGATCTTTGGCGGCAACTGAAATATTGGGTTGTTGTGTACCTTGGTATCGTTGAGCAGATATACCCTGAGTGGATTGTTTTGGATTAGATGGAACAGATTTCTTGGCAGAAAACAAAAAAAATATATGAACACTGGTTTAAGAAAAACCACACTCATTTTTTGGATACTTCCTTCAATGCTTTAACTTACCTGTGCGAGATTTGGAAACTTACTAAGATCAGAAGGAGTCTTGTAACATAACTGACAGATCTTTGTTGTTACTGGATTGACAAACGTACAGTGTTCACAACTCCACGTGAGTACATCATTCACCTCCTCGTATAAGTTGTCATTTATTTGAACATAACTTGAGTCGACGTCACGTGTCATATATGCCCGACTAGAACTGTCTTGGAGGTCATCTTTCATGAATGTCGATTCCCCAGGATAAAAAGCTCCAGCTCGCGAAGATTGATTGCTATTATTTGAATACTGTAATCGTTGTTGCTTTTGCTGAATTGGATTACTTTGTTCAGGTATCCACACTTGTTGACCATCACGTCTCGCGTTACTTCTTCCTTCAAAATGTAGGAAAGCATCACAAGTCGGACATCGTTCATTTGACTCGTCCACAAGAACAGAGCAATATGGACACGAGAAAACACGTGTTAAAATCCTATTGGACTCTTCCTCATCTGACGCTTTCTGATTCCCGTTTTGCCTTTCATAGTTATGGCTTGAGCGTCCTGAATGGATACCATAACCGGTAAAGTTTCCTGCTTGGTCACCATACAATGTAAGAGGTTTTTGTGAAGCATTGAAGTTGTTTGTTGGGGTAACCGTCTCGGGAACTCTTCGTGACGTCATGACTGCGGGGGGTCGCTTGATGTCCATATCACTTATACCTGAAAGCAAAGTATAACATTTGTAACATTTCACAGCTAAGTTTTTAAAGAATAAACGATACAACCATCTGAAACGAGTTCTCACCAACAGATTGCTCCACTTCCTCATTTATGCGGTCAGCTTTCTGAATTTTTCGTTGGCGGGGAACAGGAATAGGTTTTTGTCTGATGGAAAAAATCGAGGCTCCGTTTACACTATACCGGATTACTATCGTAGCAGGTTAAATTTTCTACACATTAAAAGGCAGTGATATTGTTCTAAGGCAGACACACAATTAAAAAGGCTAAATCTATTAAATTAATGAGCCTTTAGTCCGAAAAATTACCCCTTTTAAGCAAACGAAAATGTCATGATGAGCGAATCCGGTATCGTGTAAACGCAGCCTAAATAACATTATATTGTATCATACAACTTGGACGACTAAAAAACAATGACAATATAGTCTGAGAAGATCCTTTAAGTGATAGCGAACGAAAATTTAAAACAAACTCCGACAAACGAAAACATCTTGGTAACACAAGATAAGAATCATATGTAATTGATGGTGAAATGCAGTGAAAAACATCACCAATTGAAGAATTCCATCATCTTTAACGTAACTCATGCCTTGAGTTTCGGAGTATGTTTCATCTTATTACGGCAAAACTCCTTATTCATGGAATGTACGTCACTTTTTTGCGTGAAGCCAAATTTGAAGACTGTTATAAGGTCAGATTCTAAATACGTTTGATTATCCAGGGGCGGCGGAAGGTTGATACTTGAAATAAACTTGAGGGGGTACATACTAATTTATGCATGCTCTACTTTATTAGTTTCTGTTGAAATCAATTTTAATAACGGATTATAACATATGAATATGAGCCCTGCCTTCTCCAAATTATTGATCTTCCGCGGTCCTTTTTGTCTACTTTGTCCTCGGAAATCAGTTCCTAAATGCTAAAACCTTTGATTTTACTGCCCATTTTATCCTCTAAAATCATTGTCTTAACTAGCTGCACACGACATACATACCATTGATTAGTCGCAAATTATCAAATACCTTTGATTTCCCGAGTTGTCCCCAGATACAATGAGTGGTATTCTTCTATGATTTTGTCTCAGTTTATGCGAATGCCATCGTTGATCACATTCTCGACAAAACTTCATATCGCATTCCTCGCAGTATATTTCAACATTCGGTTCGCTGCACACACCACAATATTCATTTTCGACATGCGCCACATTTTCAATCTGCCTCAATGGCTTTTCCGTGCCCCCAGATGCAGTTTGTGAGCTCAATACCAAAAAAGGATGAGTGTGTCTCCTTAATAAATGAATCTCGTGACGAGCAATCTTTAGGTCTGCACAAAGAATGACAATCGTCTCAAGATTTGGCGAGTTGACTTCCAGAGGAAAACTCAAACCTTCGCCTATGTCCTGAAATGGCGATTTATATACGACAATTTTCATGTGTAAAAATGAAATAGAAATAATCTTGATAATTAGATCAGGCTGTTGGGATGTATCAAATACATTGATAAACACCGGGATTTTTAGTTTCAATTCTTTGATTTCGGTTCTTTCAGCATTAGTTATTTTAGTTTATCAATATGATATTTCGCTGTCTAACACAATATTTTTTGCTTCTTTGAAGCATGCACAACCGCACTTAGAAAATAGGTATGGTTAAATTCAATGCATTCCCATTTCGCAAAACGTTTAAAATGAAAGAGAATGGTCTGAGTCCTGGAGTATCGCATATGTTTGTAGATGTATATCGTCTAAGTTAGCAGAGTCCTGAGAAGGACTGCTAGTTCTGGTATTGACTTACTATTCGACATCCTTAGCATTAGTCACCTTAAGAGACATATATATGAGGCGAACATTTATTCCTCTAAGATTGTCGAAACGTCAGTCAACACCAACAGTCCTTTTTATGACGGTCAACATCTACGTACAAACATGTTTGAATTTGAAGTAATCTCTGATGCCACACAGTCAACATATTTACGTTTGTTGTGTTGTTTTATAAGAATTTGATGTTCCTTTCATTTTATTTTGTATAATTGGTTTTTGAGTTTTCGTGGGTAGCCTGTACGCAGGCTAACAAATTATTTTCAAAAATTATTTTCTTACGATGATGAGCACAACGTTACTAACAATTTATTTTACTGACATAAAATTTGAACCCATTCTTAGTTTGTAATAAAACGCCACGTTGACATCTAATGGAAGCACTCGAAATTTTGTCAGTAATATAACGTTTTACTTAAAAACGAAATCCTATCTTCCGTGTAGCGGTTTTTGCATTTTCTTGCACACAAAGGAATATATTTCTATTGAAAATATTTGCTTAGCGAGGGGCCCTCAAAACCTCGGGCGACCGCCCACAACGCCCTCCCCTTAATCAGGCCCTGAAAGCGATTCGAAACGTCATAGGTATGGATTCAGGCAACCCTGTATGCACTTTGCGTCCTTATTTTATTTAATCGCTGCAACAACTTATGATTGATCAACAACGATTATTATAAAATAAAAGCAATTAAAAGCGTGTCCTGACTGTTCTATTGCTGTGTTTACATTAGCCTGTGCAAACCAATTGAAGCTCAACCAATCAATTTTTTTAATCAAAGAGAATATGCAAATATATCATGAATTCATTATGGCCATGGGGGAAAATGACAACGTTTGTTTTAAATTTGTCTGTTTCACATTATTTGTTGGTAATTTCATAAAAGAAATAAAAGATGTTTTTCATTCTGATGTTTTAGCACATGCTTATGCAAACCTTGAGACATTTGTGTGCAATCATGAGCAGGTGCAACCATTGACCATCAGTCTCAGGCATGCACTGATCTGCTCTCAAATTCTCCCAAAGGTCTCCTTGGTTTGCATAAGCCTGTGCAAACATAGTAAACATCTTTTATTTCTTAACTGCATGCCATAAAACTCAAAATACCTCAGTATATCCCATCTGTTTGAGAATGTCTAAAGCACCAACAACAGGAAAAACCTTATCATTGATGACACTAATGTTGTAGTTGATTACTCGCCACTGCGGAGGTCTGTCATTTCGTAACAAGTTAAGGGCATATTTTTCCAGGATCGACAATGCACTGTCAAGTTTATTGATTTGATGCTAAAAAGGAGAAAATTACTTTAGCCATAAAGCATTTTAGCCACAAAACAGAAGTTCCTTGCTTTATATCATCTCTTGTTACCTTGTTGTTTTCTAACAGGTCAAAAAATCTCAAAATTCTGTATTTTCCAATTGGTGAAGAGGCTGCTCGAATGCAAGAGTTGGCAAGATTTGCCTTATCAACTTCGCTTCCACCTGCTGCAAAAGCTTCATTTAATCGAAACAGCAGTTGAGGGAGACTGGGATGAAGTTGGTGTTTTTCTTGAGAACCATTATCTCTCTTTAATGTCAAGCAGCTTGGCAAGCCTTGTTGCAAATCTGGGAAGGTCAAAAAATTAGTTAATACACTGCTTGATGTTAATTGCATCAGATAAATACGTAGGAAATAGAAGAAGTATTTCATAGATGATGTTCGATATTTCTTGTAAACTGGGCTGGTGCAATACATTTTAGGAAGAGTTAACTTGTGACACAAGATTAACCAGGATAAGGGATCTCTTTATTGCGGCAGTTGTTCCAAGCAATCTGAGGGAATGCGTATATGTAAATTGAGAGAGTGACTACTGACAAACAAACTAAACAAACAAACAAACAAAGAGCCTTTATATCCAGAACATTGTAAAGCAAAATTAGGCTGTTTTATTGATATATTTAGGCAAAGCTGAACATTAGGATGTGGCTAATATATCTATTTTGGAATGTAAACAATCTTAGGGAGATTAAACTGATACTAGGAGGTGTGAGGTTGAAAATACCACTGCATCCTGGGAAGATTGTCCATACATGTTATTTAAAAACTTAGTCATACTTTGTGGTTCTATTTCATGATCAAACTAATGTATTGTTTCATACTTTCAAAATTTTTATGGATTGTTCACAATGTAATGATAAGTTCAATTCTCCATTCCCACTTCTGATTATTTTTATTTTGAAAGCACATAATAAACTATCATATTGTCATTAACAAATGGTCACATCATCAATGATTGCCATCAAATTGGCATCAAAGCAAAGCACACAACTCTTAAAAACCAATTTTATGATAGACTCTGCTGTACGTCAAATAAACAGGAAATCGATGATTACATCAGAAAGAAACATATTTGAGAATATGTGTGCACATACGTACCTCTCTTTGAATCACCTGCAACGGGCTGAGAGCTGGCAAACAAATTAGCAACTGAATGTTCATCATTGGCGCCAGTGTACAACCTAGGCTTAGGAACTGGTCGTTCTGCCATCATCAAATTTTAAATCTACAAAAATAGTCAGTGTAAGCGCCCCTTAATTGTTTTCATAATTTTTTTAGATAAATTTAACATACTTATAAGATTCTGTTGAACTACTGTTTTCGAAAATATTGTAGTTACGAAAATTTAAAACCATTTGGTAAGGTTCGAATGTATGTAAACGATGAAAAGTATGTAGAAGTTTATAGCCAACTGATGTAATACAATTTTACGATTAAAAATTATCTTTGATAAATACAAATCATTAAACTATCAACTCACAATTTCGTATTAAAAAAGTACCTTTTTCGACATGAAGATTTCAAAGTATTTTGACGTCTCAATATACAATCATAAATAAAAAGAATTTGTCCAAGCATGCATGTAACTTATCGACGCAATTCTATCGCAAGGCGTTCCAAATACCAACTAATTTTCAAACCCCTAGGGAATGTCCCTTCTATGCGTGTTTTTAAACACGAAAAATATATAGCCTTAGAAGGGAGGGAGGAAGCATGAAATGACGATTATAAATATAACATAATTTGTCAGATATACTTACCCCCTCCTGGCTAACAAGTTTGCGACCATGGTCAATACCGGATGTTTGAAAAGCTATGACAGCCCTTGCTAGAATTCCAAGAATCCCACTTTGCGAGAAACGAAAACATAACATTAGAAAAAGCCTAAAATTAAATAACCGTTTCATTTTCACAACGTCAAAGTTTCTAAATACCTCCATGCATACATTTAAATAAAATTCAACAGGTAGCTTGAGTAATCCTTAATGCTTTAACGAGGGGGGAGGGAAAGTATACATTATAAGATAATAACCAGTCATAGCGGTGAAACAAATAATGAGTTTATTTTGGTGGCAAACCTGTTATATCATTATTTCACATTGCATATTCACTCTTATTCTTTACCAGCTTGCAGAAAATATCGTTAATTCAAATGATTATCAGACGGCTAAGGATTTGTTTGAAAAAAATAAGAATGCAAAAGCGTCGTTGGAGTCCAGTGTTTGGTGTTATGGAAAAGACATCAATGAACGAATTTGTAAATTCAGAAATTTATATTACTCACCTTTTCTTGGAGAGTTCATTTTCTTTCATGGTAGAGCAACTACTGTTCACGAGGTTCCACAAGATCGCTGCTCCCCTGCTTTGCTCAAATTATCTTCAGTTAGAAACCATAATCTACATTATTTTAATTACCAAGACGCACCTCTCGAGGCTCTTGGTAAATTTAATCATGTGGTAAACATTCACCAACCAAGTTTGATCTTTCATCGATTCAAGCCAAGCAACATAATGCATGTATTTCATGATGATTTGATTCCCATGTTCCACACTTTACAACAACATTTTCAAGATGTTGACAATGCAAATGAGCAATTTAATATGGATGTGCAACTTGTCTTCATGGATAAAGAAAAGGAAGATCCGCATTTTGCTTTATATCAATTATTCTCTGATAGACAGCCAATCACCTCATCACTACTTCACTCGAAAGGTAACCAATCATTAATATGCTTTAACCAAGCAATAGTGGGCATATCAAAGGCCACTGCATGGTATGATTATGGGTTTCTCAAGCCACAAGGAGAGATAGTAAACAGTACAGTCAGTAGTTTAATTCTGAGACAGTTTACAGACTTTCTTAGTAAGAAACTCGAAATTGAATCTTCAATAAAGAGGACAAACTATGTACTTCTATTCTCTCGTGAATCAGATCGTCTCATTCTCAATGAGCTGCAACTCACCTTCTCAATTGCAACCACTTTTAATTTACAAGTTATTAGGGTAAGCTTAGAGAGCAAACAGCTAAATGAGATAATTAGGTTAATTAAAGGATCTCGAGGGATAATTGGAATGCATGGATCAATATTGATCCTATCCATGTTTTTGCCTGAGAATAGTTTTCTTATTGAGTTGTATCCCTATGCAATCAATCCAATCAACTATACACCCTACAGAACTCTTGCCAAGATTCTTGGAATAACTTATGCTGCATGGCAAAATGTCATGAAGAACAAAACTATCTCACATCCAGACAGGACAAGAGAAGAAGGAGGTATAAGGCATTTAGATGAGGTCATGCAAGACAAAATCATGAAAACAGATGAAATTCCTCAGCATTTATGCTGTGAAGACCCTTACTGGTTGTTTCACATATACCAGGACACAATAGTGGACACTGAATCTTTCAATTATGTAATGTCGGACATTCTAGACCAAATGAAGTTTCATGAAACCGACAACACTGAACGAATAAGAAAATTTCCTGGAAAGGTAAAAAAGGTTTTGTGCAAAATACCTGATAATGAGAAAGGTGTATTTGTGACATGGAAGCCACCATGGAACATACAATTTTATCAAGATGTCTCCTATGAAGTTTGGTTTCATGATGGTGAGAATTATATGGCATATTCCCTTCAAAATGCTACACAACATGTATTCAGTGATAACATTACACCTCACAGTTCATATAGTATTTATGTGCGAGGGATAATTAAGGACAATAAGGGAACATTTTCTGATCCATGTCATATTGTAACAAAATAATATACATATTAGTAAATTTTTACATTCATGAAGGCAAAATAAAGTGAACAAATAGAGAATAAAGATTCTGTAGCCACCTTTTTGCCACTATGACTTTGCATATATATGTGTATAATTATTGAACTTCACTCAAAATAAACTCGAAATATGATTGGTTTTGGTGATGTTGTGTCTGCAACAGCAATCTCATGACCTTCAGTTATACCTAGTTCTAAAATGCAACAAAGTGAACTTATGAGGTAATCCTTTCTCACAAATGAAACCAATGGCAAATACATAAATGCACATTTTAGGGCCATGGCACATATTTTTTTTAGATCTTAAATGTGGTGCTTAACCAGAAATAGCACTAAATTGAGTATTTACTGTAGTGTGTATTGTACTTTCCGTTCATGTTAACAATACCTTTAAGGGTTTTGTCAAGATTTGGCCTTGTCATGCTTTCAATTGATGCTACACTCTATTGAATTAAAAAAAGAACCATGTTAAAAAGACTAAGTCATGTCAATAAACATCAAAGGAATAGTTACATTTACCTGCATGTATAATGTCTTATTTTTACCATTTATTGAAGTAGTTATTCCAGGTGCTTTCATTTGACTGCAATGTATGATTCAAGAAGAGTAAATCAGTGCTTTGCTAGTATTTTTTGTAACAAATAACTCATGCTATGGTCGTACTATTGAGGATTTTGGACAAGGTGATTCACAACCTCTTGTAGGATAGAAGTGTGTTGAAACTTCAGACGTTGAGGAATACGTCCGCAAGCTGAACAATCATCCTTTAAAGCAAACATAGCAACATATTATGGTGAAAATATTCCATTAATTGGTTTGTTGTGAAATATTTCAGCTTGTATACATACACAACCTTCTTTTCCGCTTTAAAAGTGTACGTATACAAGCCATCAGAATCATTAAAGACCATGTAGTTGTCTAGAGGCTTACAGCAACTGTAAGTAATGAAAGAATAGAAACAAAAAGTATAAAAATCCAAAATACAATAAATTTCACTGACTAAGCTTACTTTGTCGCCAACTTAAAGACTTCCAGTGCACACGAAGCTAAAAATAGTTTCAAAGGGTTGGCATGAAAAGAGAATTAGTTTTTCATTAAGTCTCAGAAAGCGATAAAAAAATTGGCATAAACATTTTTGATCTAAGATAAAAACCCTCTCTATTGTGTACATATTTTCACATACCAGCAATAACTGCATTAGTTGAGGCAACAGCGGGGATTATATGTTTGATGACACCTAAAGACGACCATAATGGCAACTAAATGACATGCAGAATATCCATGTACAGTAGTAGTCTCTTTCTACCTTGTGTAAGTCTATAGGTAACACCTTTTATCTTGTATTCTTCAGAACGTTTCAAAGCTTGTTTATATATCCATTGAACATGTTCTGGGTCATCACCATCAACACTGACATCTGGATTTCAAAAAACATTTGAATGATCACATGGCTCTTGCATGACCTCATATAATACTACTACCTCCATATGGCTTTTCTTCAGACCACTGAAGAACTTTCACATATTCAATGCAATGTTCTGGTAATCTTGGGGTTGATGCTAAAGTACACATTGGATAGTTCACCTGAAAAAAGGTCAAATCTCCGAAAGAGCTAACATAATGTATTACAATGCTACAAAGAGTAATTACACTTTCATAAAAGCAATCAATAATCTAGCTCAGGGGTCTCCAAACTTTACAGCCAGAGGGCCACATGAACTTTCATCAAGCATGTTGAGGGCCGACGAACCGTATACCGCTGGTCAAAGAACAAATATTTTAATAAAACGAAGTACATTACACAAGCTTCATTAGTTAAGAAAATATTTATTCAAAATTTAAAGGTTAAATTTCAATGAAGAGTAATATCATTACAAAATCACAATTAGTCTGTTCAGTTTTGTCAATGTGAGTGGTGAAATTGGCTTTCTTAAGTGTCTCTGCGGGCCGGATTGAGAGGCCCAACGGGCCGCATCTGGCCCGCGGGCCGTAGTTTGGAGACCCCTGATCTAGCTTGCTATTTACCTGTGGTGGAAACAAATCCAGTGTGCATTCAATACAAGCTGTCATACCAGGAATTATGACTCGAGCGTTACCCTTAAATGCTGACAAAACAAAGAAAATTAGCAAGTACTATACCTAAAATCTTCCCAGCCATGTTAATCAACCACATTTCAATCCAAACGAACAAAGTTATTTCCATCAATGACACTAGTAATGTGTTTAATTTGTTTCATAAACAGCTGCATATAACATGAATTCCCATATCATTTTATCATTCACACAATTCAAAAGCCACCAGTTGATCTGCAATTTCCACCAGATCCTCCTCCATTGCAATATGAAAAGATTGTACTACATCTTCATGCTCAAAACTACAGACAATTTTTATAAATAAACATTTTATTGACAAGTTTAAGATTATAAAAACCTTCAGTGCCACCGTCCACCATTGGTGTTATAGTTGTTTGATCCACATTTCCATCTTCATCATAGTCTAGCATACTCATCTAGAAAAATAGACCCAGAATGACTTTCAGAGGGTTGCTCAACTACCGAGTAGATGTCAGTGAGTCAATGGTTGCTTCTTCAAGTGTGTTGTCAGACCTTTTGTGCCATATTGTCAGTCATGAGCATTATCTAATTGCTATTATATAACACAAAAAGAAAATCAAACAACCCATTTATTTGGTACATATTCAATGAACTGGCAGAATTTGCATTCTTCTAATCAAGATAAGGAGCTATTCACCCTCTACCCATCCTCAAGTACATCTACTCCTCCTCATCTGAAAATGGGGTAATGATAATTTGTATGTAGGTAAGAGCTGATGCTAATTTTAAAGTCAGGACTTTCCACAAATAGACAAGTTAAACATCACAACACACTAGCAACAACCACCTTACCAGCATTCCATTGATCCATCTTCGAGCAATAACAGAGTCCAAGCCACAGACAATAATGTGAAAACTTCGATAGAAATTTTCATCTTTATCTTGTATCTTACAAAAATGTCTAATTGTCATTAAGGTACAATTTCATCTTTACATATTGGGCAATTGATATTTCAATTTAGTTCAAAATACAAAAGCTGAAAAGAATACGGAGTAACATTGCAGCCTCTAATACGACCATTTATAAACTCAGCAGCCACAGTTGCTTTTGGTTTTCCAATGTCTTTGGATCTTTAGGAAAGGCAAAAGACAACAATAATAAAACTATTGGAAATAATCAAAATGCAAATGCAGAACCCAGGTCCATAATTAGTATGTTAATTTTTCAAACGTTCAGTTGTGCTGGTCTGATTTTTTTGAAAGTAAATTTCTTTTTTGAACAAATCAGTTAAGCACAACTGAATACATGAACCCCCCCAATAAACATCCCAGTTACAGTCCTTGTTGAACCTGAATAAAAACTGTCTGTTGAGGTTTGAAAGATCAATTGTATCCATGTCAATAACATCAATATTTTGAAAACCACACAGTGCCTACAATTAAAGAAAAAATGAGTAGACTGCAAGCAATGGGATGCAACAAATAAATTTTTCAATTACAATATCCTTGAGCAATTCACAGCCAAGACCACCAGCTCCAATAACAAGTATTTTTATAATATCTCTCATCATATCAAAGACGTCAGTGCCAGGCTCAAAATCTGGATGAGCAAATGGACCATTCCTTTCGAGCAACATCTTAACATCCTCCCACCGTCCTTCATTGTCATAGCCATCAACTATCATACTAAAGAGAAGAAATGTAAGAATCTTAAAACAAAGTAGACGGCTTTCCCAAAGTAGACAGAAAATATAACAAAGCTTACGGAGATTCTATTCCATTGACATTTTCCATTTCTATCTCTGCTCTTCTCCAATCATTGACTTACATAAAGTAATTGCGTGTTGGTCAACATGGCGACCGACGAAGGATTACAGAAGACACCAATACAGTATTTTTGTGGATTTTCTAAGTTTTTTCAATTTGAGACAAAAGAAGACAAACTTTTATGTTATCATAAATTTAAGGGGAAGTCTATTCTGCAAAACTCAGTATCTTGTCTTCATCCAATACAAATAAATAACATTCTTAATGGTAAAATTTCTAAAATAGCTTGCGTGACTTGGTCGACTATGTTCATTAGCGTTAGAACGGAAGCAAACACAAAAGAAGTCGAAATAAGAGGATGGTGGGATGGAAGGATAGTTAATGCAAAGAGTATGTCTCTTCCAAACATTTCTATGCTAAAAGCAACGTGGCAAAGAGCTCTTATCATCACGGATAATGGTCTTTGTCACAGTTTGTTCAATGACAACCACCACGATATCAAGATTATTAATGATGAACCTGAGATCAAATTCAAAACTTGTGATATTGGTGACTTGCATGCAGTTCTCCTTGATGAAAATGGGAAAGTTTATTCAGTGAAAGAGGAAAAAAAGCCGTCAAAAACAAATGATAATACCTCAGCAACAGTAGAAAAACTTAAGCTTTTTCCTGTACTTTTGCAAGTAAAAATAGACACTGTCAGCTGTGGAAAGGAACATGTATTATTGTTAAGTGATGACCTTCATCGTGTTTACAGTTTTGGTCTTGGTAGTCGAGGGCAACTTGGACATGGCTGTGTTGATATGCAAACTACGCCCTTACTAGTTGAGGCACTTACTGGCATTACTATTATTCAGGTGTCAGCTGGCGGGTGGCACTCAGTGGCTCTAAGTGATATTGGGGATGTATATACATGGGGATGGAACAACCATGGTCAGTTAGGGATAACATGCCAACCCCCAGAGGTTCCTAGTGCATTTTACACATTACCATATCCTGTTGATTTTTGTATTGAATGCAATGTTGACTATGTGGCATGTGGATCAATGCATACTGTTGCCTTGACAACCAAACCACGTTGTATATGGACATGGGGATGGGGAGAATATGGTCAACTGGGGCATGGGGAGAAGTGCGATAAAGTTACTCCTACTAAGTTGGAATATTTTGATCAGATTGATGGAGAAATAGTTAATGTTATGTGTGGGCCATGGCAAACTATCGTCACTGTGGAAATTAAAGAAGAAGCAAAGACTTCATGAAGAATTTCCATTGATGAATGATTAAAAGATGCTTTCAATTATTTAGCATATTTGATGTAAAAGAAGATTGGTGTACTTATTGTTTCACTTATAGTTTACGCATGTGAAAATTGAATTTTATAAGGAGTACCTTTAAATTTTTTATTTCATAAATATTATTTAAAAAGTATTAGTGAATTCATGTGTGACTTTTCCAAAAGAAATTCGACATGGAGAAATATTCATGTTCTTCACTTGACTCTGAAGGTTACTGCCGCTAAGCTTGTGGAAACGTGAGTCAATATGTAACGATACTCCCGGTCTCATACCATTTTACTTAGTTGGAAAAATTATTCAAAAATATAAAATACAAGTAATTGAGTCAATTTAAGTGCCTCAACTCAGTGCCTTGTTTAATACTGTGGTACAAGGGGCGAGTGGCTGAATGGTTAAGGGCGTGAGCTGTAAGCCAGATGGCGCGGGTTCAATCCCGGCTTGTGGCACATTTGGCAATGTGTCTGTAAACCTAGCCCGGGTTGACCAAAGCCATGTGAGGGAAATTTGGTAGAGGAAACTATGTCCTCGTTTGGACTGTACCTGTATCTGCAATGTTGCAGCCTTGTCACACTGTGTCACGCTGATATCAGCGTTGTGGTTGCGTGAAGGGTACGAGTGATTGTAGTCTGGTCAGCTGCCTTCACTATAATTTCAGTAACCAGGATGTTCCACTTCGTGTAACCCTCATACGTCGAAATCGACGGAGTCCATATTAGGGAGAATTTTATTAAAATTTGTGCATAATGATAGTTAAAATAGATTAGAAAGTCAATTTACTTCAGGAAGTAAATTATTTTAACGAAGAACCAATGGTCAAAAGACCATGTCGAGTCTGCAGAGTCAGACAATTTTTGTAATATATTTGTAAAAGTACCTACTTAAAAAATAAAAATTTACTAAGCGCTGACTTCGATGGAAAGCTTGAGTATCTAGAGAAGTACCATGATTGGTTTGATGGCTAGATTTAATTTGTTTGCGTAGATCATGTTTGTCAAAGGTTTTTGTCTTATTGACTGGGATGAAAAAAGACTTCGCTTTTACGGGAGATAAACCAGCGAAATATAATGATAAAAAATAACAACAACACGGTAGACATAACACTCACAACAATGTCTACTTGATTGTCGTCTTCTTTGGAAGTACGCCATTTGATAATTCCTCATTCAAGTCTTAATACTTAACAGTAAAAGGTTTTGTCAAATACGATAAAATGAGCATTTAATAATAAAAGACTACAGATATAATAAATATTGACGGTAAACTTGCCCGGAATTTACGATTTGGGGGCAGAGAGGTCGGGCTCAACCATTTTAACCCATAATACAAATAGAGCGCTCTTAAGCCAGGGGCAAGAAGCAAATTTCTCTCTTTGCTTCCTCCACCTCTCCCATCTGAACGGCTCTGCGCATTCTGTGGGATAACAACCAAAGGTCATAGAGGTTTCTTCAAGCTATTTGTATAATTGTATTCATGTACATAGTTTATACAATGGCAATGTTAAAGATTCAGTGTATAGAAATCTGCTGAGGGAGGTTGCCCATTTTCAGCAATTGTGTGAAACTATGATGATTCATTTTCTTTGTCATATAGTTTAATCAAGTGTTTTACAGGAAATAAAAACCACCAAAGCTTCATTGAAGGATTACGCAATGAAAACAAAAAAGACCAGAATTCGGTTGTCATTGCAAGACGAAAGAGTATGAATGAACTGTGAAGTGAGTTTAAAGATGAGAAGGTAGATACACAAACACCCACACATTTTTGTGTACACACAATACGATGACGTAAGAACCAGAAATCAAACACGGCTAACCTGACTCAACCGTTAATTTCTTGATTGCTTGTACTGCAAATGGGCAATATCTTTTATTTCAAGAGCATGCGAGGAAAGGTTTGTGATAATGAACTGGTGAATGAAAATGGTTTCCTCAGAAATAATTATCATTTCCTTAGTGAACAGATTTTGTTAAATCATGGGTTTACATTATTTGATAAAGTTGAAGCAAGTTGTGAAGTTGAGTCAATTTTACCTGCATTTACAGAAGGAAAATATCAACTTACTGCTAAAAAAGGTGAAGAATTTCGTCAAATAACTTTAATAAAAATACACATTGAACGTGAATTTGGAATGGTTAAAACAGATTAAAAAATTGAATGGAACAATTTCAGCAACAGTGATTTAATTTCTTCCTGACCAAGTCTATGGTTCTAACATTGTAAACATTGAAAACCTTTTTACAATATAGTCAATCTTGTAGGAAGGATTGTTTATAATGAGAAGGAGTATGTTTAAACATTCATACGACATTCATACGACATTCCTTTCACGAGAAAACATGAGCCCAACAATATTGACCTGCTCACCACTGTGTGACTTCATAGCTCAGTTGGTCAGAGCATTGCACCGGCACCGCAGACGTCATGGGTTCAAATCCCGTTGAGTCACCTGATTTTTTCAGGTCCTGAGACGATTGCTTAAATTGTCCAACAAAGTGCGAAGATCATATCTTCATTTAATTATAAAGACATATTATTCTTAGAATTATGACTACCACTAAAAATTACATTTTTGACCTTTGCGACAAAAAAGGTAATACTGGCACTTTCACAGGGACTCTTTTAAGTTTAACACAAGAAAGGTGAAACCACTCCCACCTGCAATTAACTGAGTCGCAGCCAGTCATTGCTTCTCTTAAAGAATCCCACAAATTTTGGGGAAAGCAGTAATTTTAACATGGCTTTCACATGATTGGATTGATAGGTTTGACTTCTACAATTCACAAGATCTTGTGAATTGGATCAAATGTGAGAATTTAATAACCTACGGCATGGTACATGGCAATTTGTTAAGTATTTTGGTTCTTAATGTTTTGCTCGTATGCAATAGTTCAAGAATCACTTTACCACACCTCTTTCTTTGTTTTAAGTAGATGTTTTAAATAGATACCAGATAATCATTTAATTTTTTTTTGCGCTCTATATTTTTATTTTTGTATTTCAAATGGTAAGAAATAAAGCTTACTTTCGTTGCGTAGACAAACCCTCCCCAATGAAAGGATGTAATGCACTTGCAAAATGACGAAATCAGGATAGAAACTAGGGGAAGGCAACACCTAGTTGACTACTGCGTTAATACCAATCCCAATTTCATTCCAGATATTCTAGTTTCCTAAACGAAACAAAAATAAATACTGTGTTTGTGTACTCAGTGATTGATAAGCGTCCTCAGGCGTTTACGTCTTGCTACCTGTTCTTAAAACAATCATGTCAGGTTTTTTTAAAACTTTTGATAGCAATGAATTTTTATCACATAGCTAACCAAAAAAGTACATGACATTATTTCTTGTGTTCGCGTTTGCTCTCAAAATACCTTCCATGGCATTGTATATTCGTATTTTTTCATCATGATTTGAAGCAGAAACAACACTTTTTGTTTTCTATCTCTCCATAAGGTCTTTTCTGTCGAACTCTAGAGAACTTAGCTATAAACGCAAAAAAATCACATGCTATCACGAAACCCAACATTGAGCAAAGGAGTAAGGATTTTCTCGTCATCAGTACTAATTTGTCCAAAGGCCGTATGTTTTTGATGAAGCATTTCTTTAATATTCAATACTTCCGAACTCCGGAATGGATCATAAAATACGAAATCCAAAGGTCCAAATGGCTTCAAAATTCGTCGATTTCATTTATGGCTTTTCGTAAAAGTTAAAGCAATAGATACGTGGAGCTGGTAAAATTTTATTTGTCATGTAAGCAAAAAAACCTATGGATGTACAAAGTTAAAATCAAAAGGATAAACGCATACGCAAGCTGTTAAGTCTTATTAAACAGAAAGACACAACTTATTAAGTTTGTCATGACTCGCCGACACACTAAGATGACAAACCAAAGGGGAGCGCACATTCCGAGCTAGACTGGAAGTTTCAACTAAGATAGGGGAAGGCTGTCATGATTTTGCTCTTTTCGTGGGCATGCACATGCGCAGTTAACCAATATGCTATCGACAAAGTGTCTTAGTGTGCGTTATAATCCTCGGTGATCGTCGAATACACGGAAAAGGACAAATACTATTTTTTTGTGTTGAATGTGTTCGTTGCATTAATCGTTGTTAACGAAAACATTGCACGTTTTTTTATTAAACATTTTTCGTTTCAATTCATTTGCTCGATTGATTTCATTTTAAACAGTGTGCATGCTTTTAAAAAATTTTATTTTATATACGGGTAACAAAATTCGTGAATCTAACAGTTCATCACAAAACTGTTGTGTATAGGTAATTACAGTGCAATTTTATCATTCAAGTGATAAAGCCCTTACTATAAATTGTTTATATTTTGCATGTCGAAAGCTCATTTGCACATTGTGATCAAGAGTTTAAAGTATATAAATCTGTATTGCATTATGTCCATAAAATCAATTATGAATGAACGTATGGAGTATTAAAAAAACACACCGCTCTTCCAGCATAAAACACATAAATTCAAACAATGTTTTTTCAACGTTTTGCAATTGACAAAATCCAACATTAGAGAACAACGTTGATGCAAATGTCTTAAATTTAATGTTAAGATAACAATTCATGAATAGTTCGTTATAGCATTACAAAAGATTGAACATTGCGTTGCCACAAGGTTTCCACAAGGTTTCCACAAGGTTGCCACAAGGTTGCCACAAGGTTTCCACAAGGTTTCCACAAGTTTGCCACAAGGTTGCCACAAGGTTGTCACAAGGTTAACAACGTATCAAAGTTGGGGATAGCTGGGAAGGTAACAATCTTACCTATGCCATCTATATTGGAAAAGAGATCTGGGTGTTGTGCAGTTATAACAGGTGATACAATTGTTGTAATTAGAGGTGGGAAAAATAAAAATGAACATCTTAAATCAGTAGCGTGTTTTGAAATGTCTTAGTCTTAGTCTTCTTTTATTAACTAGTAGATGCTCTTCAATACAATCACGACAAAAATTTGTTCGTTAGGTTCACACATCCTGGCATCTTTAAAAACGTTGCGACAAATTGAACAGTAAAAAGTTTCGTCAACCGTTGTCTTCAATTTCGATTCATCAGTTCCACTTTCGTCATCATTAAGACAAGAAGCCATTTCAAATATTTCATTATGTTAATAAGTTTCAAAATACATAAAAGACTTGATAAAATTATTTGTTTATTCCTACAAGTTGAAAATAAAAGATACCTTGAAATTTGCGGTCGACGTTTGATAAACGCGGAAGTTAAGAGCAAAGAATAGCAGCGCCTAATTTTATATTTAACATATTTATGCAAAGCGAAGACAACTAAATCTATCCAAACCGCTGTTTAACAATGACTTTTTTGCAATACACCGAAAGAGTTAATTGATACTTTCTCTATGTAGCTCTAATATTGTATTATTATGTAATAAATGAAACCTATATCCAATGCTTGTGTGGCTTAAATTTCTTTGGACGAACAGTTACAAAGATTGGCTTTATCGACACAATTAAAAATCCACATAATAAAAACATTGTCCTAATGCAAAGTTAATATAAAAATATTTTGAATAAGTGCGTGCTGCTTTAGAAAACGTGCCGAAGGGCCTTTAATCGCATACGATTCTACCGCAAGTTGTAAAGCGATAGTTTTAAGCCATTGGAAAACCCCATCAAGAAGCAAGTCATGTCAACGATTTTTTCTAATTCCTGATGACAGAAAGTTTAATACCAAACACATCTGTAATTTTGCGTGCTGTGAAGCAATGAAGCATCACAATAGAACCTTTTGGTTCAAAATGTAAAGAATTTGCATTTAAATTATACACTAATTTGTCTTCATACAAACATAGCGATATTTTTTCTTTTGAAAGAGATATAGATTTTTATACAAGTTGTATGAGTTCAAATCATCAAAACAATATGCCTGTCGAAAGTTTAATTCTCTCAATATTCAATTTATTCATGGACAAAGCTGGAGATGAGACATTAGACAACCTTCAAAACGGTGACGTCGCTAATGAAAGATTTCACGATGTTTTTAAGCAAGATTTACACGACATCAAAACTAAGCTCGATAATCATTCGAAAATAGATCTTTGCTCCAGTTTAGACTACTTGGAGGAAGGATTTCTTCAACTTTTTAAATGCTTTGATGAAGTGGAAGGTAATGTAGCATGTGAAGAAGAAAGTAATACCGACAAATCTCACACAACTTGTGGTGCCATCACCACCAGGTATGAACTTTCCAGTGTCATACAAAATTCAAGTCTTTTTGAATCAGCAAAGAATCGATTTAAAGATGCCCGTAAAGAAGCTACAAGAGCTTTCAACAACGAAAATTTAAGTTTGGAAGACAGAATATTTGCCACTGCTGTGAAAGTCATGGCTCAAATTTTTGAATGTCCCGAGCTCCCAGAAAATGCAGTTGATTTGTGTTTGACATATATAAAAAGGCTGCATCAGTTGGATGGTGTTAGTGAAATGTTTTCTGTTTTTATCGATGGTGGCTTGAAAGCAATGTTCAAAAAATCCCAAAGAAAGGACAATATACAGTCTGTCATCCTTCTCAATCATCATTTATATCAGTTTATTGTTAAGATCAAAAACAATCACGATCATTCATCAAATTGGCCAGGTATTATACTTGAAGAAGAAAAAATGTTTAATCCATTATTGGACTGGCGCAATAAATTTACTCTTGAGTCTTGGAGTAAAAAGTTGTTTAAACCTTCCAAAGAAATTGAAAAAATTGAATCCACGATGTTTCGAATTTTGGAAAAGTTGACAGTAAATGAACATTTTGCTCCATCATTGAAATCACCAGTTGATTTGGTGATGGACTTAATAAGAGATGATATTCTGGTTGCTGGAGGTTACCCAGTCTTTTTAGGAATTGTCGAAATATTTTCATGGAGGAAAAAAAAATGGTTTAAGATTGCAACAATGCAAAATGAACACAGCTATGCTTCATCATTTATTTTCAATGATAATTTATTTGTTGTTGGAGGTTATGACTGCAAGTCAATAGAGACATTAAATCTCAATGAACCATTGACATGGAAGACATTTTTTGGAGAGCTTGTGGATGAATGTTGGAGTCATCAAACAGTTGTTTATAAAGAGCAAATCCTTCACATTGGAGGATTTAATTGTGATGAAGGAACATCTGATCTGATCAGTGAAACAAAGATCTCTGGCTCCACATCTTTTGTTTTAAAAAAGATGTGTCATATGCCTGAACCTCGACGGAATCATGGAGCTAAAGTTGTTGATGATAAAGTTCTTATTATTGGAGGAAGAGGAAATGATCTCAAAATACTATCTAGTGTTTTGGAGTTTAATCCAATAACTTGTACATTTAAGGAAATGCCTCAATTGCCTTATCCATTGTATAAAATGTGCGCTGTGAGCTGGAGAGATCAAGTTGTTCTTCTTGGAGGTTTTAATGATGTTGGAGAAGCATTGAACAAAGTTATCATGTATGACGGCAAGACAGGTAAGTGTACAGTCTTACCATCCATGTTGGAAAAGAGATCTGAGTGTTGTGCAGTTATAACAGATGATACAATTGTTGTCATGGGGGGTGAGAATGATAAAGGTGAACATCTCAAATCAGTGGAATGTTTTGAAATGGGAAGCAGTTCTTCATGGACATATCTTCCTTCAATGAATGAACCACGACAGGGAGCCATTGCTGAAGTTTTCTCATTGAACAAAAGTATATCTGTCTAGAATAAAATGTATTAACTAACATATTATGTATTACTGATGCTGATTTGAAAACAATGTTACATAAGATTTCAGTTTTAGCAATTTGTATTTAAATGCTCAGCTGCTTTAGTTACGACTAGATTTGAGAACCTACATGTGACAGTCATCTTCTGGAGAAATATTAAAGGAAGATTTTCTTCTTTTAATGGATTAAAAATGTTGAGAGAAAAATTTTCTATAAGGATGATTTCAATTTTATCGTTAAGTCTCGAAAGGGGCCTTTCCCTCAAAGTAACTGCCTCCTCAAACTTAGCCTCCTTTTTTAACATTTATTAAAGAACTGCGCATCAATCGCCCATCGATTTATATAATGAACTAACTTGCTGTACAACGGCGCCTGGAACCGGTTGTCAAAAGCATGAAGGCAACAAGAAAATTTTGGACGGAAAATTTCCATTTTGAAATTATTTTTATCATTTACTCCCTCGTGATTTCTAATGCAGCTTTTAAACAAACCAATATACCTAAATCATGAAGATGTGCTTTGGTGTGTTATGAAATGTACAAATTAATACTAAGAGAATCTATGATAAAAAAAAATTGTTATGTTTGAATAACAATTATTTGAAAAAATAAACTAGACAGCATTTCTCAGTGAGTTGATTGTAAATGTCTTTAAGTTTACGTTTGTATAACCTTTCTCGAACATGCGGTATCTGGTCGTTTCGCCATTGAGCAATGACCTAGAACCCAATCTACTAGATATCTGACGCCAACAAAATTATATAGCTATGAGCATTGAGTTCTATTAAATTACCTGGACGGAGAAAAGGGGCCTGGAACCGGGTATCAAAAACATGGATGCTACAAGGAAATTTTGAGGTAAATCTTCCACTTTGAAATTTAATTTTTTTATTCACTCTCCCCTGACTTCTAGTACCCTAATGCAAATTGCAAAATACAACCAGGGAAAACAAATAAGTGAAATAAAGTTTTCAAAAGAAAGATAAGCTTTAGCGTTTTATCGAATCCTTATGTAGTCATGAATATAAAGAAAATCTACGGGGACTTCTATAGTATTCAAATACTTTAAATAACTCCAGACAGCACCGTGAAATCGCGAATGTCTTCAAGATGGTATTTACATAAATAGTCACTCGATACGTATGTTTTCACTTCAATTGCTAGTTAAATCTTAACTAAGTTTGCCGACATTGAATTTTCAGTTAACTTTAGAATACTGGGGCCAGTTGCTCAAAATGTGGTTAATTTTAACCTAGGGTTAGAGCTAAACCTGGGTTAAAATCATTAATCATTGGTTATAGTTAAACATGGGTTAATTATGTGTTGCTGAAAAGTAGATTAACTGGTTGATTAGTTATCCCTGGGTTAAAAAAACTGATCCATGGTTAAAAAGCACGCGAACAACAAAATGGCCCAAAAATTTTTTGTCCAAAATGAAAGGAAAAGAAAGTTAAACTTTTCTACATCGGAAATACATATAACGGAGTTAGTAGAAGAGAATATAGAAATCATCCAGTCAAGATTAGCAAATGCCATAACAAACAAACGAAAGCAAGAAACATGGTTGAAAATTGCCGGGCAATTGAACGCCATCGGGGTAGCTGCTCGTTCCGTAAAAGACATAAAGGACAAATAGAAAAACCTGCAAACCACGGCAAAGAAGGATTTTGCAAGGCAAAAGAGAAGTTTTGGACAAACAGGGGGTGGTCCACCTGTCAAGAAACTGAAAGAAAGCACAGAAAAGATTATTCGGTTGTTTGAAAACGCTCCTTCTTTCACTGGACCAAATGGTTTTGAAACAAACGGTAAGTTTCAATCATTTTCGAAGAATTATTGGACAAGTTTGGGCATGTACGTGCTATTGCTGTAACCAGTCTCCCGATTTTACGTCGACTTTATGCATGTGCATAATTCTTTAATATAAACATGGCTTTTCACTACTGTTGGCATGTTTTTACCATTTACAAAAGACAAAACATTTTTTGCTGTCAATGACAAATACAGATAAGTATATTTATTTCATAATTTGGCAAAGTAGTTGGGAAGATTACAGTTTGCTTTGGATGTTGTAATTACAGTTCATTCTACATTTTGAAAAAAAGCTTTATTGTTTATATAGCCCATCTTACAATGAAATTTAATAACATTAAGACAATGATTTCTATATTTTTGCTTAATGAAAACCACAACGTTGCCAGGCAATGAAATTCATAAAAATAGAAGCGGTTTTTTACCTGTGCTAGAAGAAACCAATAGCTGTGAATTTACCAACAGGGAAAACGACTTAAATACCTCACCACCTTCTTTTATACCAGTCACAATTGATGTGCAACAGCATACCAAATCTACACCCCTAGATGTAGGAACAAAGACTACCCTGAGCAAATTCAAAGTCAAAAATAAGAAGGTTAACTAGCAAGTTGTACTAGACATGCAATATGAAGTCCTAAAGTCGCAAAAGGTAATGATTCTGCTCAAGAATGAGAAACTGAAGCTACAGGTAGCAGAGTTGAAAGAAAGGGCAAATGGCAGAAGGTAATGTCTTCCCTTAAGAGCTTATAATTTTTGAATGAGATGTTTATGTTAATGATATTGGAGGGGGGAATGAATTTTGCATGAAATAATTATATACTCTGAAATAAGTGAAGTATAGATTTCATTATTCAGTAGTTGATAACATTAATTGTTTTATGTTAAACAGTTATTTGTAATGTGTGTTCTGATTTGCGCATGTGCCATGCGCACGGAAAACAGAGCTATCAGTCTCAGAACCTTCTTTAGATCTTGATTTTCTATGATTAAGCGGAAGCCATAAATAAGGGATTCTTTTTTACGGGAACGCTCGATTATAGTTTGGTTTCAGGAAGGAGTAAAAACAATCACGAGGACAATCGGGGAGACTGAAAATGATGCATGCAGATTATAACAGATTCATTTTTTTATACTGTAATTGAATCCAAACTGAGGACAAATCATTCATTACAGATGCTTTAATATTAATACGAATATAGGTGCAGACACCGTCTCCTTTTTTCTGAAAACGATCCAAATCCAGTCTATATAATCTGCAGCCTTTATAGTTTTTGCCATTTCATAGTTTTGAGTACAACTGTTTAGCCAAATTTTAGATAGAATTAGGACATCGACATCATTTGATTTTATAAAATTGGTGATTTTAATGAAATGAATATTGTTTTTCAATGATCGAATGTTTAAATGCGCAATTCTAACTCGCGAGATTTGTACGATGGAAGATGAATGTATATGATTCACGTGATCATTACTTTGGGAACCAGATGATGGTGCTTAAGCCAATTGGTTTCACGTCGGTACATTTATGGAGATGGAAAGCTATGACGGATCTATGATTACAGACCACTAAATGAAGATATGATCTTCGCACTTTGTTGGACAATTTAAGCAATTGTCTCATGAACCTGAAAAATCAGGTGACTCAAACACCGCACTGCATAAAACATTCATATTACAGACCACCTTAGCCATGCTTAGCTATGCTTAGTTATGATTAGCTATGCTTAGCTATGATTAGCTCTGCTTAGTAATAGTTAGCTATGATTAGCTATTCTAAGCTATGATTAGCTCTGCTTAGCTATGCTTAGCTATGATTAGCTATGCTTAGCTGTGATTAGCAATGATTAGCTCTGATTAACGCTTTATGTAAATTCTTTTGAAAGCTTAACCTAATTTACTGTTTGAACTTGAGAACTTACGTATTAATCAATATTCTTTTTTGCAGAATAATATTTTTTTCTTAAATCAGTATTGAAATGGTTTTTTTTACATGTGTGGTTGATCAGCGTTGCTCGAAATTTACAACAAAATTGTTTATAGTCATCATGACTTCATGTATCGTGATCCATGTATACTTCTGTTGAATGAGGCTCATCATTATTACATCTCTCAAATACTTAGCTAACTGTGTACACCTACATGTCAATATGAAATGACTGGTATTTTTACAAGATATTTCGCATTATTCATGTACAGGAGCCATATTTTTAGGAAACTGCTCAAACACTAACTGAGTAATTCTATGTCAAATCATTTAGTTATACGCTTGACCATGTTTGTAGCAAGTGATAAAAATATATGATAACGTTTTCGACTTTTGCAGCCGTTATAGCTAAATGAGGTAATGTTGATTTTATATTTCAAAGCTTTTAGCCAATAAACTTGACATATAAATCAGTGTATACAGTGCTTTTAGCTTACAAACCATTTAAAATCCCAGAAAAGCAGAATTGTTAAGTTCATCAAACTGTTTTTAATGCTAGTAACATTATTGTGCGTAATCATTTCAGTGAGTTTATAATTAATTCACAGAAGTTTCGTTTTATTGGGACACCCAAAAGTAGCGTGTGAGGGAATGCGGGAGAGTATGAGTAAATGAGAGTGATGAGATAAATGAATGGAGGGGGATGGAGGAATGGAATGGAAGGGAATGGAAGGAATGGAAATGGAAGGAATGGAGGAATGGAAGAAGAAATGGAAGGAATGGAGGAATGGAAAATGAGAAGAAAATGGAATGAATGAGGAATGGAAATGGAGGAATGATGGAATGAGAATGGAATGGAATGGAAATGGAATGGAAGAATGGAATGGATGGAATGGAATGGAAGGAATGAAAGAAGGAGGAGGAATGGAAGAATGGAATGGAAGGATGTGGAGGAATGGAATGGAATGAATGGAAAATGAAAATGGAATGGAATAAAGGAATGGAATGGAATGGGAAGTGAATGGAATATGGGTGGAATAATGGAGTGGAAGGAGGATGGAGGAATGAGGAGTAAATGAGGAGTGAAGGAATGAGTTAACGTGGAAGTGTATAATAAACGAAGGAGAGTGTGAGTGAACAAGAGAGAGTGTGAGTGAACGAGGTCGTTATCATCATTTTTCGTCGAAGGATTATAAAATGCCTTTACAACTTAATGACATTAACTGAAATGCATCATAATGCATATATTTTAAAATATTGAATTTGTGCTTTTCGACTAATTTAGTCAGAATTTCCTTTAAATGGAAAGATTAGTTCGAATACATGATTCCCAAGCAACGATGGGTATCTAAAATTAGTCTCTGCAGTTTGTGATGATTGTTGCTTAATACATTTGACGCGCAATTTACTTGCAATTTTGTCTCTTATGAACGCCAGACGCTGAGGTATTTGCTAAGAATACTGCATGTTGTTTAGATACCATATAAATGCATCTGCTAAGAGCGAGACTGTCGCAATGATGTAGACGGAAATAAAGAAATAGGTCAACACCTGTGTAGTTTTGGAGGAGACCGGCGTCCTGTCGTTTACGATAATCATAAATACAAATATGCCAATCACAACTGACATCCCAAGCGATATCCTCTCTCCAGATTTGGCAGGAAACAAAACGAGATACTGGACAAAGATTTAGCAACACTGATGGGACGATTACCGTCTCTACGTAATATGACAGTTTTCTTTTTTATTGAAAAATGTAAGTTAGGAAGTGAAATGCAGCATGAGGATTTAATGTAGCCAAGCTTAGCATCGACAAATTCAACAGACTAAAAAGAATTGCTTTTCGGGTCCTTTAACGTTAACGGCACCCATTCCAAATTCAACACAGAGCTATCGTATGTCCAGGAACCAATTCTCAGTGTGAAGTTTTGAGTATCAAACGGGAATTTGTTGATGTTCATATTACATATGGATTTCAAGAGGAGAGGACAAAATAAAGTGACGTCACCATTAGATTGTACCCTGTCTTGATAGCTTAGGTCGTACATCTTTTCACCTTGCTCATATGCACTGATAAAAAATTAATTTTTGTAGCTGTATGCGCCCAATTTTCTGAAAAATGTTCTAACCCTTTAAAGCCTAACCCCACATTCGCAAATTTTTAAGTCCAATGCAAAAATATGTTAAAATGATAAAATTTCAAGGACAATATGTGTTACGCTCGGTGTAAAAGTTTTTTTCTAATCAGTACTGACGAAAACAATGGAGTATAAACCAATAACTCAAGTCCAGCTATCCTAATTTTTTTTCTCTTTCTGCTTCTTCTGTTAAGGGTAACTCAAGTGAATCATTCTGTTCAAAAACTCCACAGATTCCTCTCGTAGACATTTCCACACTTTCACGGAGATAGCATCATGACTAAGGCTTTACCACTCCTTATTTTCTTCATTACACTCCTAACTCATCTTTACTAATATCTGCAACTTACAGGTCTAAAGCAATTAACTCCTCTATTGTTAGCTCTCCCTCATTTTTCTCATTCATCAACTCTTTGAAGTATTATAGCCATCTTCCTATTATATTTCTGGTTTCTTTAAATACATTTATATCCCTATGCATTATGACCTAAACATTCTATGCATCTTACATATTTTTATTTCTTTGCTTTGTTAGTCTGTATAGAATATTTCTTTCTTCACTAACATTCCATTAATCATTCAAGTCATCGTAGTCCCTTTGTTTAGCCTTTCTCAATTCTACCTTATGACATATCACCCCGTACTCAAGTTTCTTCTATTCTGTCCTCTTGCTATCCCATTTGTTTTTTTGCTGATTTTTTCCTGTGTACACACTCCCACTGTAGTTATCTGGAAGCTAATTTTAAACATTAACAGCATGTTTTGACTCTTCTCTAAAAACCACACCTTCCTTTTTTATTTTCCATCATTTTGCTTCATGTGCTGCTTTTATCTTCTTCATCTTCCTTACCACTAAAGCTATTCTGCCCACCACTATTGTGTGCTATCTGACCACACACTTTACAATAACTAATCCTTTTAAGATTAAATCGTTTAAACTAGAGGCTATCTATACCGGCTCCTACCGTCACTCCTGAAAAGCATCTTATGTCTCTTCCTCTTCAGGAAGCCTTCAGTATATTCAAAAGGTCTGACATGCATGCATATATTGCGAATATATTTCTTAAGATTATATTATCCTTTGGAACTTTATTGCTGCTGAAATTATGCCCATGAACATTCTCACCACAAAGGAAGCATTCAAATTTTTTGAAACGTCTAAATTTCACTTCATGAAGACATTAATTGCTGAAATGCTGTAAGTTAACATTCATGTAGTATTGGAAGTGAAGAACAAGTTTTTAATATAGAAGATAATCAAATAAGTTATCGTAAATTTATGCTACTAAATATATTAGTTGGGCTGTTATGCCGAAGAATTTACGATAATGATAAACGCAAAAGGAAGTGAGAATTGCAATTGCTGTTTGGTCAATCAGCTCCTTCAAAGTGAATATGGTTGCTTAAACATGAGACGTTATGAACGTACTCTTACAATGCCTTGGAAAACGTAACTGAAGAAATTTTTATCAAGATCTTCTAGAATATTAATTAATCAAAAAAGGCATTTCCTCAAAGATTTTAATCCGAGTTTTCTCAGAAGTTTGATGAACTTGTAAATTTCTAAATTTTTGAACTTGTAAATTTCGAACTTGTTAATTTCTAAGTTTCGTCCTACAATTTAACCTGCCTCGACTTAGCAATCACTAATACGTTTTGTAGATTACAACATTGCTCCGCCGTCGACGAGACGAAAATATATTTAACACGCTCGACTCACCGCACGCTTATAGATATATAGTCAGCTCAATCGTTAAACTATATTACGTTGTTACGAATCAAGTCGCGTTTTGACCGCTTTGCAGTTCAGTGCAAAGTTACTGACCGTTTTACTTAAAATTGCCGGCGACAGGTGACTATGAAAGACGATATAAATAAAATAAAGATACCATTCTATGAAATTTTGCGCCCTAAGAGTGTTACATCACATGCCTTACGTTCATGTTGACAGTGGACACACACGGTAGCAAATCGAACGTGCGAACGTATTATTTTCTGCTGAAAGTTTTTTGTTTGAAAATGCTTCTCAGCTACGGATGCACAAATTACCTGATATCATTATGTCATTAAAAAGATGATAGCATGAAGGGAGAATTATGAATTATAAATAGTAACTTCATTTGTAATTTTTATTGAAAATCGGACAGGTTCATACAAACCTGTTAAACGTCTGTGTAGTAGTATTGGCTTAAATGCCAATAGTTAAGTCTGTAGTAGTTTCATGTAAATGTTATAATAGTTTAATTTGAATGCTAAAGTCTTTAGTTTGTTATTTGTGAAAGTTTATTGTGGTTCATGGCAGGAGAAATATCAATAATTAAGACTCGCTTATATTCATATATGCATGATATGTACTGACTTAATTGAGTTCCTAGTTGATTTTCTACCGATTTTATGATGCACATACAAATATGAGCCCCCGCAAACCTAGAGCTGGCTACCACCTGTATTTCATTTAAAATAAGAATGCTTAACATCTGTAGATCTTCTTTGTTGAATGCTTTGTTGAGTGCAAGAAGTTGCGAAGCAACAAGGGTCGTTGTGGCGTCGCCTTTTGTCTTTGCTTTGCTTTACTTTATATGACCTAAATATAAAACTAGGTGTTGTTATTATTTGCTTACATCTTCGACGTCTATCAAACGTCCACAACAAATGATACAGTATTTTATAGAGTATTGTATAAGAAGACTTGTGTAATGGCTCGCCGTCCAACCCATTATGAATGTGGATATGAAGTAAGAAGATTTCAGGCCACTGTTGACAATTGTTTTCTCTGTAGGATTTGCCTCAAAGTCGTTAAAGATGCCAGAATGTGTCACCATACAGAACACATTTTTTGTCGTTGTTGCATTGAAGAACATTTACGCGTAAATGGGCAAAAGTGTCCCCAATGTCAAAAAACGTTGACTATAGCTACACTTCTTTCCGCCCGCTTTGTAGATAAAACTATTTCTAAGCTAAATATCGTTTGCGAATTCGCTAGTCGTGGATGTCCTGAATTTATAACGGTTCAAGATCTTCAAAGACACGTTGAAACTTGTGACTTTGCTCCGGTGTTGTGTTCTAATGAACGTTGTGGACAGGTGATTAACAAACGAGACAAGATTAAGCATGAAACTGAGTTATGTGAATACCGAAAAATTCCTTCTCATTACTTTATAGAGATTAAAGAAATGTTTCAACAAATTGTTAATCAAGAAGCTCAAGCGAAAATGAAAATGGTTGAATTGAATGCAAAAATGAATCAAAACTTTGTTGAAATAAATAGATCAATAAAAGAGACAGCAGAGCCATTAAAAACCCAATTTTCACGTATGCAATGTGAAATAATAGAATCAAAGAAAGAAATAAAAGATGTTCGACAAAATCTTTCTACAGTAACCAAAGAAATGATGGAATCAAGGAAAGAAATTACAGATGTTCGACAAAATCTTTCTACAGTAACCAAAGAAATGATGGAATCAAGAAAAGAAATAAAAGATGTTCGACAAAATCTTTCTACAGTAACCAAAGAAATAATGGAATCAAGGAAAGAAATAAAAGATGTTCGACAAAATCTTTCTACAGTGACAGAATCCAAGTTCTTTCAAATTTTGGAAAAAGATGTGATACAAAATCATGTTCAAACATTGCCTTCATCAATTGAGATAGTGATGAGCGTGGTAAGAAAAGATGTATTGGTTGCTGGAGGCTACCCACGAGGTCGCTCAAAGAATGTCGAAATATTTTCATGGAAGGAGGAGAAATGGTTTGAGAGTGCAAAGATGAAAATTGGACACTGGGCTGCTTCATCATTTGTTTATAATGATAATTTATTCGTTGTTGGAGGATGTGATTTTAATTCAACTGAGGTTTTAAATCTTAACCGGCAGCCTCTGACATGGCAGACATTTCCTGAAGAGCTTCCTTTTAAAATTTGCAGTCATAAAACTGTTGTGTACAAAGAGCAAGTTCTTTACATTGGAGGATATAATGAAGATAAACAAAAAACATCTGATACGATAAGTGAATTGCAAATTACAGGTACTCCATTTCCCGTCTTGAAAGAGTTGTGTCATATGCCTGAACCACTGTTTGACCATGGAGCTGAGGTCGTTGGTGATAAGGTTCTTATTTTTGGAGGAAATGGAAAAGATGAAAAAGCTTTATCTAATGTTTTGGAGTTTGATCCAAGAACTCTGACATTCAAGGAAATGCCTCCATTACCTCACCCACTGACAAGAATGGCAACTGTTCGATGGAGAGATCAAGTTGTTCTTCTTGGAGGTGTTCATTCTTGTAGCTCAAACAGTGTCATTATGTATGATAGTAGCACAGGTGAGACTACTATTTTGCCACCCATGCTGGAAAAAAGAGAGAGAGGGTGTGCTGTTTTAACGGGAAATGCAATTGTTGTCATTGGAGGAGACAATGATAAAGGTAAACAGCTTAAATCAGTGGAATATTTTGAAATGGGACGAAGTTCTTCTTGGTCATATCTTCCTTCAATGATTGAGCCACGATCTAGAGCCATTGCCGAAATGTTACCCTTAGGACATGTATATTTTTAGATGGAAATAAATATCTTATAACGCAAATTGCAAGCATGTAAAAGTTATGGATCTGAACAATAATTTATGTGAGATTTTGCACTTTTGTTGCATTTTTTTAGTGTATTTAGCCTCACCATGAATTTATTATTATAATTCGATTTCATCCAAAAAATAACGTACGAAAATTTCATCACTATAGCTTTCTTATTGTAATTATTATAATTTGATTCTAATATACTCACAATGCATGCCATGTAAATATCACTTTGTCTAACACCTTTATCACACTTTGTCCTTTACTTCCTAGCTATTAACTCTTATGTGTCATTTATCGTCATGTATGTTGCTTTTTCATTCAATAAACATTAAAGTATTTGCTTTGCATGGAACAAAATATGAACAATGCCTGCTTTGTCACTGTTTATAAGTATAATTTTCATTGATTTTAATGTCAAAGGGAATTGCTTACAATGTGAACAATAAATCGCCAAATGTGTAAAATTAGTGTAGCATATCTTGTTTTAAATGTATATTTTTTACTTCAGATAATGTCCAGCAAAATTCTAATCAGTTGGCTTAATGCTAAATTTTTTAAATGTTTAACATATGGTTAACAAGAAATTGGGAAGTCGTGGGTGTCAGTGTGTCCGTAAACCCACAGACTTTCGAAAATTTGCGCATTTTGCTACGTTACACAAATTGTGTTATAACCGGAAGTCAAAATTGATTGTCAAAAATCTACGCATATTCTTTTATAACTTGAATTTTGATATTATATGTTTGTAGTCTGGCATGTAATTGTTAATTTAGCAAAGTATTGAAACAATTGCGCAACTATACAATATTTAAGACGTTTTGAAGCTAAGCCTTTCACCGGAAGTGATAATTTATGAATATGAGGTGGTAAAACTAGCAGTTTTTTTAAACAGCAATAACTCAATCACCGTTTAAGATATTGACATTAAACTCTACATGTGTTCGTTTTGTACATATATCTATGATTCGTGCAAAAATGAGCGAAATCGAAATTTTAGGGTTACAACCGTCAAGTGATTTGACGTGGAATGACCCAACTGTGTATACATGTCGCATGTGAGTTGACTCATATTTTCACAAAATATTTTCTTTATACATATCCATGAGCCATATCATCACCAAATTCCTCAAATACTAACTATGTATAGCGCAGGCCACACTATTGTTGAAATTCAACGAATTTCGTGACGCGTTGCTCTTTAGCAAGAAATCCTAACAAGCTCTGGGTGCCACAAAACAAGCATGGATGAATATCAGCGAAGGAAGAAAGAATAGTATTTTACTGCTGCTAACTAAACGATTAAAACGCTAGCTGTTCAATAGTAAGCACATCACTAGTCATGAGATGCTTTATGTCCAATAAGAGAAGATCACTCGTCACTCGTTGACGATTTCGATGTTCATGCTCATCGTCGACAAATTCAGTCGTATCGTCATGTTTTCTCGTTAACGCGCAACTCATCAAGAAATTCGTTGCATTTCAACGATAGGGTGTCTGTAAATTGGCTGACGGGGCTTCTAAAACGTGTGAAATTGCATTTCATACATTACAATTTTGAAAATTTTTTTGGTTGACCAACGTTGAAAAATTCCTGGATCCGCCACTGGCTAGATGAGCAAATTTTTAGTGACATTACAGAAATTTGAATGTTTGAATTAATTATTTTCCCATGTTTTTCGTTTTTTATAGAGATTTGTTTTTAGAGCTGCTGTCTTACTTATTTTTACGTTGTGTGTGTCAAAAAAGGTGAGCTGCGTCTTTCATGGGGAAAGGGATGAAGAGAAGTTAAAGTTCTAATAAACAAGTTTGAAAAGCAACCTACCCATCCAGGATTTAACAACGTCCTTTAATTGAGAATCGAAAATAGCAATCTGAAAGTTTTTTTATCGTGTCCGAAAAGTTAATTGCAATCATTCCTCAAGGAGTCAAAGAACAAGTTATATTCGCCATGTAGGTTGAAAGTTGAGTTGTAAACAATGATTTAGAACCCTGTACTAGATATCCTGACTTCATCGAAATTCTTTAGTTACGAGTGAGGCGCACTGCCATCTTGAAAGGTGTCAAATCTGATGATATTTAAAGGGGTAGTCAGACCTTAACACAACTTTCGCTCATATGAAATTGTATATTGTTCTTACCTCTCTCGCGAAATCCTAGGTTTCCAATTCAAATTTAACTCGAGAAATAATGCCTTAAATGTGTGTATTTTTGCCTCTTGTTCGATCGCCATTGTGTACATGCAAGCGAAGCCGCAGTCCAGCAGCGGTTTTTCGTCGTGACGTCACTGCGCGGTGATCGTTGTCAACATAAGAAAAAATATACTAGCAAAAGTAGAAATTACGCATAAGCATATTCATCGTTGCATTTTATTTTCTAAGTTTTTAAATTATTTTGCGCAGTGGATACGGATTACTCAAACGATTCCTCTAGTAATTATTCTGGAAGCAGTGTTTCAAACTACGAAGAAATGATTAACGATCAAAACATGATTCAACCATATGCTTATGAGCCGATTGAACCAGATTCTAGCGACGAGCCTATGGACGACTCCGACGAAGTTCAGCTGTTGTAACAATGAATGAAGACTCAGCACAATTTGAGGGAATAGATACTCCGGACTGTATTACAGATAATCCTGTTTTTCGAAATCTTTGTTTAAATTATTGGGTATTACGACTGGCATGGAGTGAGTACAAACAACACTATGGTTCAAGAGCTGAAGAAGAACCTGAACACAAAATACAAAGACACGTGGCTTACAGGCAACTGGTTCGATGGTGTTGGAATGTATTGAGCAAGGAAATTAGAGTACCACTACCATCTTTTGCTGTTAGCTGCATTCGAACACATTCCCAAACTGCAGGTCTAGAAGAGGACTTTGTCTTTGAGGGTTTTAAATTTGCTGATGAATAATAATGGTAATGTAAACTATTATAGCCATATTTATAAGTATCGTTAATGATGAATTACTAATAAATAAAAATATAAATTGGATTTAGTAAATGAACAATAAATACAAATTATAATGGCCAAGCCAAACCAATTCTTTATTTGTGCTATGCAAGGATTTTGGTGTACATAATTGAAAAGTGCCTTTGCTAATGAATTTGCATAGCAAAACAAAAAATTGGGCTACTTTACTATTAGAGATTCTCTTATTACTAATAAATATTGATATATACATAAATATTTTTGGGGACTATTTACCCATTCTTGATTTGTGTGCTTGTATAACACTTTCTTTGTTTGGCTTTTCTATGGATGCAATATTTCTTGGAATGTTTGCTGGTAAAGAAATCTTGTAATGTACATTTTTTACATTAAAACAGCAGACATCTTCCATCATACCTTGCACAAAAGAATATGACTTACTCGCCATAATTGGCTTGGCTACCCAATTTTTTCAGCCTTTTGGGAACATGATAAGCACAAGTGGAAGGAGGGATAATACTTTATTAAAAGTGCTTTTTGTATAAAGGTATGCTTGCAAGAACCAAGTTGGCAGTGATAGACCACAATGTAAACACTGGCAGAAAACAAGCACAAGTTCAATGTGGAAAGCAGCAAGGGGAAAAGCGATATAATATCGTGTTCCCAAAAGGCCGAAAAAATTGGGTAGCCAAGCCAATTATGGCGAGTAAGTCATATTCTTTTGTGCAAGGTATGATGGAAGATGTCTGCTATTTTAATGTAAAAAATGTACATTACAAGATTTCTTTACCAGCAAACATTCCAAGAAATATTGCATCTATAGAAAAGCCAAACAAAGAAAGTGTTATACAAGCACACAAATCAAGAATGGGTAAATAGTCCCCAAAAAATATTTATGTATATATCAATATTTATTAGTAATAAGAGAATCTCTAATAGTAAAGTAGCCCAATTTTTTGTTTTGCTATGCAAATTCATTAGCAAAGGCACTTTTCAATTATGTACACCAAAATCCTTGCATAGCACAAATAAAGAATTGGTTTGGCTTGGCCATTATAATTTGTATTTATTGTTCATTTACTAAATCCAATTTATATTTTTATTTATTAGTAATTCATCATTAACGATACTTATAAATATGGCTATAATAGTTTACATTACCATTATTATTCATCAGCAAATTTAATACCCTCAAAGACAAAGTCCTCTTCTAGACCTGCAGTTTGGAAATGTGCTCGAATGCAGCTAACAGCACAAGATGGTAGTGGTACTCTAATTTCCTTGCTCAATACATTCCAACACCATTGAACCAGTTGCCTGTAAGCCACATGTCTTTGTATTTTGTGTTCAGGTTCTTCTTCAGCTCTTGAACCATAGTGTTGTTTGTACTCACTCCATGCCAGTCGTAATACCCAATAATTTAAACAAAGATTTCGAAAAACAGGATTATCTGTAATACAGTCGGAGTATTCCCTCAAATTGTGCTGAGTCTTCATTCATTGTTACAACAACTGAACTTCGTCGGGTCGTCCATAGGCTCGTCGCTAGAGTCTGTTTCAATCGGCTCATAAGCATATGGTTGAATCATGTTTGATCGTTAATCATTTCTTCGTAGTTTGAAACACTGCTTCCAGAATAATTACTAGAGGAATCGTTTGAGTAATCCATCCATTGCGCAAAATAATTTAAAACTTAGAAAATAAAATGCAACTATGAATATGCTTATGCGTAATTTCTACTTTGCTAGTATATTTTTCTTATGTTGACAACGATTACCGCGCAGTGACGTCGACGAAAAACCGCTGCTGGACTGCGGCTTCGCTTGCATGTACACAATGGCGATCGAACAAGAGCAAAAATACACATTTAAGGCATTATTTCTCGAGTTAAATTTGAATTGGAAACCTAGGATTTCGCGAGAGAGGTAAGAACAATATACAATTTCATATGAGCGAAAGTTGTGTTAAGGCCTGACTACCCCTTTAAGGCTAATATTTGTTTTCCTCAGCTGATATACAGTTACAAAGTTGATAGTCTTGGTTTGATCTTCAAAATGTTTGATAAGATTGGGTTTTTAAACCCTTTTAGCTTATTTTGCATTTTTAAATTTGCTTTTTGCCACCTTTCAATATGGTGTCCAAGCCTCCCCTTGATGCGGTAGTCAAAAATCTAGGGGATTGGGTTCTAAATCATTGGTTCTAAACAAGAACAATAATTGTTGAGCTTGACGAAGATGGCGGCTGTTACGTAGCATGCAATCACCTGTACTTAGTATGAACCACATGGTGGCAGCGGATGGATGCATACTGCTGCCTTGACAACTGAAACACATTGTCTATGAACACTGGGGGGTGGGGAAGTATGGTACTTTCGGACCTGGAAGGAATGTAATAAAGTTACTACAACCAAACTGAAATATTTTGATCAGATTGACTGAGAAATTTTGATAATTTCAATTTATATGCGTCAAGGCGAACTGTTGTTACTGTGGAAATTAAGAATCATAGACTTTATAAAGAATTTTTATTGATGATTAATTAAAACATGCTTTCAATTATCTAACATAAAATAAAAGA